AAATAATAATTAACTTATATTAAGAAATACATAGATAACTTAAAGTAATTTAAAATAAAATAAAAAAATATATAAATTAAAATAGAATTATAGGACTAATTTTTTAAAAAAGAGATATAATTTATATACTATAATATTTATAAGGCTATAAATTATTAAATATTAAAATAAATAAGCTAAGTAATAAACTTAATATTAAAAAAATAAAACCCTATGAAATTCTTAAATAAATTAAAGAAGTAACTTATAAGCTAGCTTTATTAAATATAATAAAACTTTAAATTCTAGTGTTTTATATATTATAACTTAAAAAAGTATAAGTAAATAAAAATACTAGAAGACTTATTTTAAATAAAATTATTATTAAAAATTAAGAAGAAAAATATAAAATTAAAAATATACTTACTATATACTAGAATTCTAATATTAATAAAGTTAAGTACTTTATTAAATAAAAAGGATACTTTAACTTAAAAAACTTATAGGAATTAATAAAACACTTTAACTTTTAAAAGCTAATAAAGAAGTTTCTTTACTTAGTAAAACTAATAGGCTTAAATTAGTAAACACTGCGTTTTAATTAATTATATTAACGCCGCTATTAAACTAAACCTTTACTACTGCCTTTAACTTAGTATAATTAAGCTTATTTAATTTATTAAGAGACTAAGTACCCTTATAAAGCATTTATTTACCCTATATAATAATTTATAAACACTACTTATAAAAATATAATAATTATATAAAACTCTTATTTATTAACTAAGACAATAGCATTATTTACTATTAATATTTTATTAACTTTTACTATTATTAAAGTAATTTTTATTTAATTTACTGCTTTTTAGCATTTAACTTCTCCTTTTTAAACACTAATTATTAAGCTATAAAAAGTTAAAACCTTACTTATTATATAAAAAAAATAATTTATTAGCCGCTAAAGAAATACTATTTTTATTATATATCTTACCCTTATAAGTATACTTAAAATATTTCTAATACTTAAGCGCTATTTTATATAATAAACCTTAAGTATTATAAAAAAAATAAAGTATAATTAAAAAATTAATAGTATTAATTACTAAAGCGTAAGCCTTATAATTTTAAATAGACTTTCTAAGATTTAGCTAAGAAAATTTAATAATACCTTTAAGTATAATAAAAGGACTAAAATTACTTATAGTATAAGATAGGTAATTAAGGACTTATATACTTTAGGTCTTAAGGATAAGACTAATAAAAGAGGGGCATTATATTATAAATTAATAATATAAAATCCTTAAAAATATATATTATAAAAGAACCTTAGAAAAGGTAATTAATTATATTTTAGGAAAGGTAACTTACCTTTAAAGGAAGCACTAGTAAAGTAAGCCTATAACACTAAGGTGCTAGGCTTACTAATTATATAAGTATATTATAAAGTAAGTTACTTAAAATAACTTATTATATAAGAATATTTATTATATTTATTAAGTAAAACTTAAATAGTTAATTATTAATATAGCACTTTTAAATAATAATTAAATTAGTTATTTATAACTTTATTAGCTATATAATTACTTTACTTATTAAATCCCTTATATCTCTCTGCTAATATAAACTAATGCCTTAGTTTATAAATTAGGAACCTACCCTATACCTAAGTACAATAGTATAGGTCAGGATATTATATTAACTAAGTAATTATATAATATACTTAATAATAAATATCCTATTTTATTTACTAATATAAATATATATATTTATCCCTTAGGAACCCCCCCCTTACCCTATAACAAAAACCTAGAATCTAAGGACTAAATTATTACAAATACTAAAATAAATAAAGTTAATATATTATATAAAATAGCTAAGTACTTTATATTTTTTTATATTAATTAATTATTTTTATATTCTAAGAATTAATATAGTAAAAAAAATATATTTATTATAAGTAATAGTACTATAAGATTTTAATTTATATTAGAATATATAATACTTAGTTTAAAGTAATTTTTTTACCTTTTAAACTATAGTATTAAAATAAATTTACTTATATTCTAGTAAATAATTAATTTTATTCTTAAAGATATTTAAGCCTATAAGCTATTCTTTAATTACTTTAATTAAATTATATAATAATAAAAATATTTTTATTACTTACTTTACTATTTAATACTTATTATAGTTTTTTAAATTAGGGTTTAATATATTATTATAACTTAACCCTTATAGTTATATTAATAAGCTTATAGGGTAAATAAAACTAAATTAACTTAGGATTAGTTAATTAATTAAAAAAGATTTAAAGAAACTTCTTTTAATTTATTATTAAATTAATAAAATTTAATTTATTTTAAATAAAACTAAATTAACTTAGGATTAGTTAATTAATTAAAAAAGATTTAAAGAAACTTCTTTTAATTTATTATTAAATTAATAAAATTTAATTTATTTATAAATTAACTTATAATTTATTAATTTAATTTAAATAACTAAATATATAAGTTTACTTTACTATATTAACACTGTCTTGGATAACCCACTTGTGCATAAGTAATAGCCCCCCGCTTTAAGTATGTAATTTGCTCCATTCTTTATTACTCCTCGGATGTTCTAACTTATCCCTCGGCTTACAATCTCCTTGCAACAATGTCGCCTGCATCAACGCCTCCGCGTCGCCATAGGTCTGCTGTGGCATGTCAATCATGTCGAGCGCGAAAGGTGCGATGCAGTGTCCTACTTACAGGAGTACCATGCGTCACATGCGCACAAGATCAAGTTCAATGTGTTGTCATAGGCAGGAAGCGAAAGAGGCAAGCGGCCCGGACAGATGATTCACATGCAGTTCGCGATGCTGCAGGAAAAACTACATCAATTTCTTTGGGTGATCGCTCGGGTATACTGGACAATGACCGAGAAAACAGCAGTCCTGCAGAACCTCCTATAACTGCTTCAACTCCCTCCTATGGGTCAGTGATTTCAGACAGGTTGCCTACAGAAGAAGACAGTACAGAGCTGGGGGACGAAGCACGAATCCTGCCGAATGAGAATAAGAGCGACACGAGCAATGCACCTGAGGAAAGAGTTGGTATCGAAATTGCGGAAGCCCAACTTTGTGCTTCGCAGAGACAAGGTCAAGTTTTATTCTACTCAGGTAAATGGATGGTGATTATTATTTGCCTTGTATTATTGGGGTGGCCGCTAACGCTGAAATATCAAGGCGATCAAACTGGACCAACGTCCACTATAAATCTGTGTTCCCCTGAGCAGTCTTTACCCAGGCATTTCCTGATTCCCTCCAAGGCACAAGAGCCTCAAGGAAGCGAAGATAAAAGATACCTCGAATTCAAAGGCGTTTACTCGTTCCCAAAGCAATCGACAGCCGATGATCTCCTCCGCGCCTACTTCCATCATGTTCACCCCATCATGCCAATTGTGGAAGCTGACATTATTCTCGACTATCATCGACGAAGACGACTTTATGATTATAATGTGCTATTACTTTGGAGTATTTTCACCATCGCCACAAATGTAAAATCCGTTGTCTCCCGTGTCTGGTGGGACACGTGAAAGAGTTTGGCGGGAAGCCCATGTGACTGACATGAGTTGCAGTTTATTCCTAGCGAAACATGCAAGCAGGAGGCATACTCATCCCGAAAAGAAATGAAAGCTGTCTACTATTCACGTGCAAAGGTATAATTTATCTTCATCTAGTATTCTATCCAATTGACAAATTCGAGCGAATATTAACTCTGTATTGTTTTTGTTGTAGTGCGCTTATTATAGTAGTGGGGAGAAGGATAAAATCGTTCAGTTGCAAGCGTCTCTATTAATCGGATTCTGGAATTCAGATCTTGATGAGCACATGCAACCATGGTATTGGACAGGGATTGCTATTAATCTTTGTCAGATACTTGGCCTCCATCGAAACCTGGATTCTGTTAAGAATACTTCATCTATCGATATCCGTCAGCAATGTTTATGGCGTCGTCTTTGGTGGACCAGCTTCTTTCGGGAACGATGGTTGGCGTTGACGCTCGGCAGGCCATTGCGGATCAATCTGGACGACTGTGATGTAGCCGATCCCACTCCAGACGATATGTTCATTGACATCGCAGATGTTGATGAATCCATGGCCTCTGCCTTTCTGCCCGACGACATGGCCCTTCTAGCAGGATACTGGGTTCAAATTATCGAGCTAAGTAAGCTTTTGGGAACAGTACTTACTGTGAATTACCAGAGGCGTAGGCCCAAGCCAACTCTCACTCAAATCGAGGGACTAGAGCGGGAGCTCTTGCACTTCAGGCTGCCCGACTTGCAAAATCCTGATTTTTCACGCCTAGCGTTTTATTTCTCTTATCATCTCCATTTACATTTTCAGTTAGGTTTGTCCGATTCTGTCTGCTCGTTCTCCCACTTACGATATTTTATAGAGCGCTCCTCATAACGTTTTATCGACCATATGGATCAGAGAAGCCAGTTATACCAAATGGCTTAAGTTCTTTCAGACAAAAACACTGGCAAGGCCAGATGCGATTGAAAGTTAACTTGGCTGCTTCAAAAGTCGGCGATATGGCCTATGTCCTTGCGCAAGACAGTTTTATACATTATGCTGGGCCCATGGTGTAAGTGAACTGACTTCTCCCTTTGAGTTCCCCAAGGATTATCCTAGTATGCTACTCTTTTCAGACTATGCCCTCTCTTATCTGCAGTCATTACAGAAGAAAAGAGAGGATTTTAAATACGGTGGAAAAACAATCTTGGTTTACAGTGCTGGCCTCTGATGGTCTACGCTAACATTGGCTGTAGGCCTACCATCATGGTTCCGGCAATGCAAATCTACTTGCTTAACTGCAAATTTGGCGATTCTTTCTTGAAACGTTTGAATCTGAACAAATTACAAATGTGCATGATGATAATGGACGAGTTCCAGAAAACATATGCTGTCGCCTCAGTTTGTCGTGGGATATTTATGAAGGCTCTTCAACGATTCTGTTACGATTCTAAAGATGGTGATGATGTTATCGTCCTTCCTGCAACATCTCCTCACGTTACCTCGGCTGAAACTGTTCCTCCAACACCAATAGTCACCCAGGTCGCTTCGAGACCTATTTCGCCCAGTGAAGTATATACGAGTGATGAATTCATTGATACATTGATGAAAGAGGCATCTATTTTCACCTTTCTGGATATATGGGATGGATCGCAGAATCAGGCTTAATGTCCTAAGTACGAAAAGACATATTGGTGTCTCATCTACTCAAGATTTACTAAAACACATTTTTCCCTGGTTGACCATTAATTACTAGTTGTGAAGGTCTTCCTGTTAAGTTTAACCACTCTCTAGGAAGGTAGAGGGGAGGGATGTAGTAATATTCAAGATCTAAATGGAAAGGGCTAAATATGAACTTGTATTGAATAGTCTGGACCCTAATGCTAAACAGAGATTGAGGTAGAACCAAGTCCATGTTATGCCTAGAAATTCACTAACTAGTCTTATACGTTTCCGACCAGCATATAAGGTTTCGAGCCTGTAAACTGCCACGCCATATGCCTATTCATTTGGAGGACCGCTATGTTATCTGACTTGTATTCTGTCGGGACAGCGCAGGTTAACGCATAAGCGACTTGCATAAAAAGGATTAGGGACTAGTGTATTTACCGACTCTGTTTCCATCATACTACAGCATGTAGATGAAGCGGCATCCTCGGCAGTCGCTAAGAGCTTTGGTCTATCGGATGCTACACAGCATCGGCTGAATAAACAGCATTTCCGTTACTACTACAGTGAAAGGCGGAATTAGTGTCGCCCTTTGTTAAGTTGATTGACTTAGTAACGGGTGCAGCAATAGTGGCTCCTTGCATCTATTGTATAGCTAGGTACTGGCGCCGCGGGGCCTAGCAGCGGCCAGTACCGGCTGTAAGACCCACTGTAGCCTGATTCACAAGAATCAGCTCTTGTCCTTTGTTATGTTATTTTAGAGAGGTACTTTGAGGTACATGTTAAATGCTGCCTGGTGGTCTCTTGTGGACTAAAGCTGCCCCTCCTAAAATAATTAACTAAAGAATTTAGGGACACAAATTCCCCCTTTCACTGTAGTGAAAGTGGCCAAACACCGATCGATCTTCCGACAGTTTTACCGAGGTGTTTCGGCTCTTCGTCGCCCAGGAAGCACATTCCAAGATTTCCACAAGAGTCTTGAACAGTTCATATTTATACAGGAGAGGTTGCAATCTTGTTCATTCAAAGTTGGTCGCATTCTGGAACATTCTGACCGTGTATCATAGAAACCAGGTCGCAATGGGTTTATCGTTGGTACCAAAGATGGCTTTTCTTACCATTCTCCGCCCAAAAGGTGAAGAAAATATACAGGAGGTAAGTAAGGCTCTAGTTCCTCACATCTTTCGCTCCATGGAGTACAGCCGACTGGAATACGAGGCAACACAACTTTTCAAGATCGTTTAGTTCAGTTTTTGGCAACTACATTCCAGATCTTAGAGATGATATTTAACATACTTTACATTGGCAGATCATCAATACACTGCGATCCCCTGACGAGTCCTCCAAACCTTCAGGCCCAGAATATATTTCCAGTCTATACTTTACTCTCGCAACACGAAAAGGTTCGATGTGACTTCCCATTTAGAGAATAAATGAACATCATCTCCAGCCCTCATCATTGCTGATACAAGTAACTAGGCGCAATATCAACCTTCGGTAAAGGGGCAAAGCCCACACTCCTCGGTCACCTGGAAATGCTACATCCAAGCCAGCCCGGATTTAGCAGAGAACGAGACTTGCAGGATCATAAGTTGTTATATAATTCTTTACTTGAGCAAGGTTTGTGCGAATCGAAAGAAAATATCACGTCATGGCAAGTCGCCGGCGGCTTCATTACCCGTAGGGATGAAGTTATATCAACAAAAGCTGGAGTTCTTATTCTGGCCAAATTTACATCCGTCAAGAACAATGAAGGTCGGAAGAATCTACTCCAACATTTAGAGTGAGTTGATTATCACAGTTGCTACTTTCACAGCGCAATCTAATCTCCTATTACAGCAAATTTTGCAACTGGGTTCAAACAAATGAGCCATCGACTTACACCTATTGTGTGCTGACAAGCCAGACTGTGGCAGAGGAAGTCTTGCTTTTTGAGCGCTATAAAGATTTGTCCGCTCTTAAAGGACACAGTCGAACAAAAGAAATGCAGTCGATGCTGTGAGTCATCTGCAATCTTGATTGGGCTGCACTGATCTTTTTTTTATGCTGGTCTGGTGATTGTGAAGCTAATATCGTGCGCAGTAAACAAATATCGCCCTTAATCATTAAAAACAACACGGAAATGAGTGAGTGGAATGAAGTAGATGGCTTCAGGTTTGTTAATTTGGGTGTAACTCCCAAGGTGCGGCTTTGAGGTCGGACCCATTCAGAGAGGGAGCCAACGAACAGAAATCATGAAGTCTGGAGATATACTTAGTCGTCTCAAGGTGTCCAATTAAAATTAAAGATTGCATTTTGCAGAGTGTCAATTCGCCGGCTGAACGCAACAGCTAATAATTTACCCGAGGTAGAAGCACCTTTGTCAATTCTAAAAATATTTGCCGAGGCAAAATGGAACCATTGCGGAAGAGAGGAATGCATCAACGAGTTACGTGTTCAAATGTTTCTAACTTGACTTTGAGAAAACAAAAAAAGATTAAAGGGGGAATGTACTTTCGTATATCGGCCAGGATTTCAGCAGCCGACTCTCTCACGCTGGAATAATTGGTTGTTGTTACTATCAAGCTTGCGAAGTGCGCTCACATGAACTGGTGCCTCCCAAAGTCACATTTTTATCTCAACTTATTGCTTAAACTCTGTATTATAGGTCAACTAATTCAAGCCATAGGCTACGCGCCAGTTCCGATTCTGAAATGCTGCGCGCAAACACTCTTCAACGCTCCTTGGCTGAATAGAGGGGAACCGGGAATTGTCCCATGGATAAGGCACCAATGTTCCCTGACGGCCTTGTACTAGCTTATGACTTGCCGCCAGCTCTTGTTCAATGTCCTCGCGTCTTTTGGCATCGGCTTCCTCTATAGAAGCGCTCTCTACCTCCAAATAGGTAACATTATATCGTCGTCCAGTGACTCGTTCCAACGTCTCAAAAATCTCCTTATATGTTGGCGAGGATCCCGAGATGCGGTAGGTGCGCTTTTTGCCTAGCAACTGGCCATTCTGGATCTCGGCAATAGGCTCTTTCAGAGTCTCCAGCAGGTAAGCGACGGCATCATCCACACCAATAAGGCTTTGTTTCCCCGCTTCTGTGCCATAAATGCTAGCTTTAGCGTTGTAGTTATCAATCCCGAAATGTGAGATGATAGCCCACTCCGTCAACCTGCCAACTACAAAGTACGTCCAGCCAAGGTCAGGATATTCTGCAGCCCTCTTCTGAAGATGTTGTCGTGTCATGACTTTGTATTTATAATACCGTTGATTCCAATTGTCGCCGACTAGTAGGTCGGCCCCATATTCGCTGGGATAGAAGTGCCGCACACCACCAGCGATCGCGGAATCAATGATCTGTGGCTGCTCATGCAACCCGTGATTGCCTGCGAAGATCATGACGCAGTCAAATCCGTGAAATGGCTCTGGATTCTCATAACCGCTGCCAACCACGATCTCAAGGCCAGATTTGCGGAATTTCTCCAATTTGGCCTGCTTGGCCTCATCGGTAGGTCTGGCCGTATTGTGATAAACTGCTATGCGAGTAAATATGTGGCTTTGAGCTGCCAGGGCTTGAGTAACAAAGCCTCCCCAAGTCCCAGTTGCGCCAACGAGAAGAATCGCTGTCGGTTTAAGCATGCTGATTGATTGAAGGATTGGATCTGCGGTTTTGGAGTTGATAGATCTTCCGTGGTTGATGGATTACAGTATATATTAATTAGACGAACGTTGGCATTTTTAAATATCTGCGCTACTGTGATACACAATTGTTGCTGAAGCCGACTGGAAGCCGACTGGAAGCCGACGAAAAGCCAAAGCTCGATTAATGACGATAGTTAGTACTGTGCCTCGGCTCCGCGCGGTAATTAAATTCTTGAAGAGCTATATATTTATACCTCGGATTTGTCTGCTAATCTGTCTACCTCGGAAAATTCAATTCCGATTTAAGTTTCTGCCAGAGCACTGAGAGAGTTTGCTTTTTGCTTGCTAAAAGGATCTATTTATGTAACCACGGCTTGCTTGCACACGGCAAGATTTGAACAAATAACCCATCATCTGGCTGCCCTTTCCCACAAATTGGACTAATGGGGACTTGGAATACTCCGACTTTTCCAACAGATACAAAACGGGGCACCTTACGTAGGCTCTATAGGAAGGGCAAAAGCTCTTTTTAGAAAAGACTGATTCAGAGCCCCCTAAAACATGCAGTGTACGTATACGGTATAGGAAACTTTGTTATTGACTGATCTACATAAAGCCATTCGCGTCAATTAAGGTATATTATGACGAATCGTGTTTCTGTGCCCTTGTATGTCACTATTTCCAGGGAACAGACCTCTAATTCAGGGCTTCTGTTGACGGGACGGTTAGATCGCCAGTCACGCAGTGTGTAATAGCAAAAAGAAGGATCTCCTGGGTTCAATTGGATTAACTTGTGAGCTTTATGCTAGCGACTGGCTATATAAGCTAGTTAATGTCGGCCTGCATCTATCAGTAGCTGTTACTCTTACTTTTTGCAAATCATAGGGAGAAACACAATTTACTAGCCAGCCTATGTAGTAAGATTTAAGTGCGTCGGTAGGTGTGTCGGCAATAAGGTGAGCCCTCACCACTCCGCATCCTCGGCATTCTTGTCTTTGGTCGGCGGAGTAGGAAATGTATGTATGACAAGATTACCAAGTCCATCGATTCCGATGAATGCCGAGTATCATACTGGGATTCAAAGTTCGATGGAGGAAATTATATGCTGTGGTACCTGTAAGAACTTTCAAAATACAACAAACTGCCTCTTTTTTGCATTATGGTCTTGGATTTTTTCTGCTTTAGGATGGACCGATGAGGTAATGTTATTTTGTCCGTAGTTCGAATTCCAAGACTTCCATTTTTGCACCTAATGAAATTAATTCTCTCTCCTAGAAACAAGTCTGGATTCAAATGAGACAGAGATAGAGGGATGCAGCAACAATTGAATTACTGTCATAGCTGAATAAAGATAATACCAATCAACTGCAGAAGCTTTTTGTTGTGTTTACCGGCGGTCCTGATGATTGCGTCTTGGCTCATGTCTTGGCTCCGAGCAGTTGGTAATACATATACAATCAACTTTGAAAGCGGCATTATTGAATCATAATTGCAGAACTAGAACCTCGGGTAGACTCTTGGAATTCGGGGCCGAATTGGTAATGCAACAAAGAAAGGTAGGGAAAGTGACTCGCTAGTTGCTTCAAGCATCCAGCCACTGACGTAAATGGAAGGCGTTGGTTATATTACAGCAATTTCAAATTGGTCAGACCATTAATATGCAATACGACGCTTGAAGTTTGTGATATTATGAAAGCATCGCACTACTATTACATTTACTTCACTTTTCGTATATAGTGAGCTTATTTGAGTTATGAAGAGTATTGAAAATGTAAGATGCACAAAATTGTTAATATCTAATTTAAATACTGCTTCATAAAAGGCAAACGTTCTTTACCTTTTACTTCCTGATAGTAGTACCAATATCTGATTAACTATTGAATCATTTTCTTCAAGTCTTCACGATTCTCAACCTCCTGGAGCATGTCTCTAAACTCATCGTCATAATAAGCCTCAGCTTGGTCTTTGAAGTAAGCCATATTATCTTTAAGCCAAGAACCTTCGTCGCCGGGCTTTGATTCGAATTAGCAAGATGCGATATCAAGCAAAAGCAAATGATGTTTGAAATGGGCAGACAATATCCGGAAATTCAGTGCAAGTGGTAGCTATTCTTTTTGCTTCATATAGGATTTTCTGGAATAGTGGATGTAAGAAATAAAATAAGTTCAAAATTTACTCACCCCGGGTATAATGACTCCATTTTCAATTGCGGCATTCATTGGATAAAAAACCACAACGTGCAACTTCTTGGCTCGTCTCTCCGCCCTCATCTCGGCGCTGACAAGGGTCGAAGGGTCATCGGGAAAGCCTACAAGTTCATTCCATTTCTTCTGTATGGCCATGCCAATTTGGTCAAATTTCTCTTTCGGGCGAGTAGGGCCAACTCGAACCATGGCAATGACGCGATTTGGGCTGTGAGCCCCATAGGATTTACCGCCGACGTAAAAATCTCCCTCTGCCTCAGGACGAGTGAATTGGACATTGACGAAGAGAGTTGGAGTCAAAAAAGCCCTCGAATGCAAATGGGTTACGAAATCAACCAAAGCCTCTTTTTGCGTTCGAGACAGCTCGAGGGAGTGACAGAACTTTTTTCATGTTAAAATCGAACAATCGCAATGACAAATCGGTCGCATACTAACCTCGTACAACGGCATCTTGACGGATTCTTGAGTTCAAAGTTTAGATTGCAGATCGATTGGAGTTATTGGTTCGCAGCATGTAGGAATGAGCTTCAGTCGGGTGCAAAGAATGAGCTTAAGTATTCCTTGAAGTGTCTTGGTCAAGCACAGAAGGATTTGTTAACAACAATCTTACCTCGGTATTTCTCCTTGATGAATTGGCATTACTCTGAAGATGTATTGTGACCTGCTTTGATAGATTCCGAGATAATACAACGGATGCTGGTTGATGATAGGCGTACGTCTCGTTTGGCCATTCAGTTAGCTATTCGTGAGCATCCTCGGCTCTTTAAATCTCGATACAGACGCGAAGGGCCACCTTTAACCTCGGCTCGGCGGTTTGGATATACATGACCCTACCGTTAGAGCTATCGTAGATCCCGAAAGATTCTTCGAACGCAAAAGTAAGGGAAAGGATAACGGCTGTTTTCTTGGCTGTAATGTTGCCAGCACTATACTGAGTGATTACTGTGTCAATTATCTTCTAATGATGATGACTCTTCTTCTGAAAGTCACGCCTGTTAATATCAATAATCCTGCTTTCCTTCAGCTATATTTCACACGTCAATCTCTATATCATCCTATCCTTCACTCAAATTACTCTTTCCAAGCACTAGAATTATGGTAAATACAAGATCTCCTAATCGCTCCGCTAATATAAATCCAGAACTAAACTCTAGGTTTATCCCTTAGGAAGCCCTTATATTACTAACTATCTAGTGTACAGTTTGTCACAGCATTATATAATTAACATCAGATCCTTATACGAACAAGCGAAGATAAGCGGATGCAGATGTGCTGGGCGTGAATTGGGTACCTTATCGGGATACGGACGTAAATGCCAACCGGGGATGGTCATATAAGCTTGTCTAATCGAGCGGCGTGTTATCTCATTCTTAGAAAATGCACAACATAATTATGTTACTCAGCCCCTGCTATCAGAGCAAAGTGATCCAACTTGTCGGAGAGCACTGCATCGTCACGATCCGTGCTGAGGGTGACATCCTCCCACCGATCCATCACTACGGCCTCCTGTTGTCTTTTGATCTTCTGCCATCGAAGAGAATCCGAACCCAGAGCAATCCGTGAAGACCAGACTCTGCCAGCCGCCATACCCTCGCCCTTGACAACATCAGCCATTGCCTTTGCGACCTTGGCAGGGTCTCCCGGAGGCATTCCCCATTCAGCCATATCCTGCGAGGCAGCGGTAAACCCTGGCACGTATGCTTCGATGGGACTCTTGTCCTCCTTGTTCTGCTTCGACGCGACTTTGTCCTTCTCGCGCGGTTCGAAGAGGCGCGTGGCAACACCGCCGCACTCAAAGGCGACGCAGCGGATGCCGAGAGAGGAGACCTCTTTGTGCAGCGATTCGGCAAAGGAGCTATTTGTCCACTTGGTCATGTTGTAGTACGTTGTGTAGGGCATGTTGCCCCAGAGTTGGTTTGAAGACGTGAAAGTGATTGTTCCGGAGCCCTGTTGGCGGAAGAATGGGAGAATGGCCCGCGTCATGTGAAGCTGACCGAAGACGTTGGTTTGGAAGATGCGTTCTGCGTCGTCGTCGCTGCGCAAAGCACCAGAGTCAGCTGATGAGACCCCATCCCAAAGATGGACCTGACCTACCTGATATCCTCGAAGGGGGCGAACAAGAATGTGCCGGCATTATTGACAAGAACATCGATGTGTCCGAAAATCCGCCAGGCCTCCTTGATTTTGCTTGCAATGACCTTGGAACCAGACGCAATGTCGAGCTCAAGAAGCGACACATTCTCCGAAGCGCGATCGGCCATCTGATCGACCTGTCTGTTGGCAGCAATCACTTTGTCGCCTCGACGGACGATTTCCTCGACGAGTGCAGCTCCAATTCCCGCCGAGGCTCCTGTTACAAGCCATACAAGAGGTGCCATTGTCGCGAACTGCAGTGCCTCAACGGAATCAATGAAAATAAAGGTAAGAGAAATCGAACTGATGATTTTACTAGAGATAGGCAGTGAAAGTATGCAATGCACTTTCGTAGTATTCCTGGTTAGAATACCTCGATCCGTGACGAGGAGACTCTTATATACTGATTCGGGCACACGTGTAGGCTCTTATGATGAGATCCTACCTAGGCAAACAGATTAAACAGAAAGGCTCGTCCGCGCACGAAACAGACGATTAATAAATAAGCCAAGGAGGTTATCGACAATCCCTGGAGACTTTCGAATCAGATATAGTCATTAGTCATTCGACAACAATATTCCTGCGACGGTTATTGACAAGTCTGGCGACAACATTTAGCTGAAGGTGGAGCACAGCGGCTCGATTCGCTCGCTAATTAGGCCATTTCGTCCGCGGACGAATTCGCCCATCCGCGGCAACCCGCAACTCTCTCTCGGCCAGCATCACTTCGACCGCGCACAGTGACTCGATGGGCTATCCATCTGAACGTCTCAAGCATGGTGCGCGGCTCCCCGAGGACGTCTGCGTCTGCATCCGCGTCCTCGACCTCGACGCTGACACGTAAGAACATGCGGAAAGGGACACACAGCTGCACAGAATGCGAGTACCTCCCTCCCACGCCCAACTGCTCCGGCGGCCAGCTCATGCGCATTTGTCTAGGTCGTCGTCGGAAGATTCGGTGCGACTCGATGCCAGGAGATTCAGTCTGTTTCAACTGCAAATCTCGTCGCACACCATGTGTAAGCCAGAGCGGTGATGGCGCGAGACTGCAGTTGCGTCGGCGCCCAGAATCCGATTCTCCGAGAAATAGCAGCAGTGAGGTCCCTACGTGGGCGGCGAGGAATCCAGGCGTCCCGCAGGCTGCAGACGTTCTGGAAAACAGTGTCACAGATCAGCGAGCACCCTTCCTCGCGGTTCTGGAACCGTCTGGAGTGAGTCTCCCATGTTGGCATGCAGTTGTACGTTCAGCAGACTTAACGAGCCAGCACAGCTCTCCAAATCTCCCAAGACGGACGATGCCAGTGCATCATCTCGGTCACGTCTAGCCAGGGACAGCAGTATGTCTCACTCGTCAACAGGTGACCGTAGGTCATCTCGTGTTTCCAGCAGATTGCCTGAGCCACTCTCACCCGGCCGGGGGGAAAGTATATGCGAGACACTACGTGCAGGATTACCGTCCTACGATTCTATCATGAAAGTTGCATTGGCGCACAAAGGCTGGTGGGTTCGAATACACAGAGCTGTTCATGGCATGTATAACGGCACGATTGAGTCTTTCCCAGACTTCGTCAGGCGAGCCTACTCGAGCGATAGGCCTTCAGAACTAGGTAAGATGGCGATTGCGTTCGCTTTCGCTTCTGATGTTGATGGGTTCCATATATATACCTTGGTCGACCACCTTGTTGTCTCCGACATGGCGTATATGTCTACTATGGAAGGCTTGGAGTGCCTGATCTTGCTGGCCATTCTCTATGCGGACGAGGGCCAGCCCAGAAGATCATGGATGATCTATCGCAGAGGAGTAATGGTCGCGCATATAACGGTATGTCAACATCCTGTTCCGGAGACGAGTGCTGGAAGCTGATGATGTCAAAGGACCTGTACCAGGCTGGCCTCCGATCAACAGCCAAGAGGCGGCTCTGGCTGTCCATCTACCAAGCAGACCGCATGATGAGCATGTTCCTCGGGCTGCCGTACGGCTTTGTCGATATGCACCATCAGCAAATCCTAGAGGTGCAGCCTGAAAATGAATACTTGGATTCGACCATGACCATCCGCTGTGCGATGATAGCCGGAAAGGTCATTGACCGAAACCACTCGCGTACAAAGGCTTCCATCTCTAAGACACTGGAACTGGACGAGGAGATGAATGAGCTTGCAACGTCTTTCCCAGAAACCTGGTGGGAGCTTCCTGACCGGGTCCAAGCCGATGGCCACGATTTCGACGTAATCCATGTCCGGCTGCACCAGCAACTCTTCTTCTTCCACCTGCGACTCTACATTTACCTACCGTTCCTCAGCAGTTCCGAAGAAAACTCTGTGCACGGTTCAATCGTGCGCGCCGCCAGCATGGAGGCTGCACGACAGCTGCTGAGGTGCTACCTTTGTCTGCATAGTGACGCGGAGGGGCTGAGCCCGTCTGAGTGCAAGCTCGTGGACTTTATGGCATTTACCGGCGCCATTGTCTTACTTCTAGGTTGCTCAAGGTCCTCCGGCCCAAGGATGTCAAGTGATGGGAATGACATCGAGGCTGTGCTGTCTTTGATTCGGTGCTTGCAACGCCAGGAGAATCAAGAAAACTGTCCCATCGCGTCGCAATGCCGCAAGACGCTTACGGTGCTGCTGTCGAGATCGAGCACGGACGAAGAAGTCCGCATCCCGTTCTTTGGCACAGTCGTCAGAAAAGGCGACCAAATTGTAGAGCAGACCGCTCAGGCTGATCAAAGCTTCATAACAAACTCGAATACGGGTGATAGTCATGCTTTACCTGCCGGCCAACCATCCTCGTTGACGACTGTTACCAACTCTACTCCCGCGAGTGAAGACCTGGCGCTGCCGAGTTCTGCGTATTCGGAGGCACCGTGGGGGATGGAGCACCCAGGCCACATGCCAGAACTGGGCTTTTTGTCCCATCTAGAGGATTTGTCGGCAGATTTCGACATAGGTTGGGAGTTCATCATGGATCTCGACAGCTTCTCGGAATCGTTAAGCTGTCCTTACGCAAGATAATGATTTCCAAGGTTGAGAACTGTATCCATCGTTGAAGTATGATCTGGTCCCAGCATCTTCTCTCTGCCTTGGAGTGCTTGCCTAAACATTGTCTCAAAATCGCTAAGCCGTCCTTGATCTTTATAAACAAGCCCCATTTTGTTTACAGAATTTAAGGTTGAACTGTGATCTAGTCCCAGTGCTTTCTCATAGCTTTGGAGTGCTTGCTCATATATAGTTTCAGCATCAACAAGCGAAAGGGGGAAAGGGGTGGCGGTTGACCTGCAAGGCACTGTTAGAACGGCGTAATACGAGCCCTGGAGGCCCAAAAATTGTCACGTGGGTGTTGATTAGTGTTGCTGGCTAAGCTAATTGAAGTCTTTGTTATCTATCAGAGTATACCTATACTATATAAAGTCACAAAGATATAACACTATGGAAGAAACCTTTAAATTTTAAAAGTATATTAGCAAATCAGAAGCTATATATACTTATACCTGTACTGCATAGCATTTAGAGGGGAGAAAAAAACAGGGGAAAAGGCCCAGGCTTCCAGGAGCAACTCAACACAGCCCCTTTCTCCAGTTTAAGTGACTCCGCTCAGTAGTAGTTACAGCGAGGACTGTAAGCTGGGGGAGGAACGCCATTCGGTTCCCCGATCATAATAATGCTTTTGTCAGTAGTGCGGTGCCTAGGAACCTCAGTTAGGAAAGGAAGCACTGAATTAAACAGCGGGAGTGGGAAATACTCACGCCCATCCAGTAAAATCATCGCAGAAAGCTATAATATTGCCCACATAGTACTAAGACAAGTAAATTAGATAAGACTTTTTCCAGTATATTATAGTATGCGGAGCGGTAATGAGAGAGGAGCAACATACAGCGACAGTAGTATGGGCTATTGTGATATGGCGACAAGAGTCTTGGTTCCGAACGCTAACTTCAGCTTCTCCATAGGGAGCAACGGTGCGCGTTCGTAGTGCGAGCCTATCGATGAGTTAGCTTTCTTTGAGCAGCATGAGAGAACAATAAAACTCACACAAATGAATCCGCTGGTCCGTCTTGTCTTTTCAACTGAGCCTGCAGTAGCGCGAAATCTCTTTTATACTGCGTCTTGCTCCCAGAAATGCCTTCTGGGTAACGCCAGCACTCGTCACGCGCCCTGATATCTCTCTTCGCCAACGAGGCTTCGTCGTCGATTCAGCCAAAGGTGGAATTAGTGTTAATTTCTAACGGTTCGACTCTCCAAGTCAGTCCACCCATTTGATAGACATCGCCAATCTTCAAGGATCGGATGTTGGTGGTTTCAGATAGCGTGGGTTCAGATGGCGTAGGTTCAGATGGCGCGGCGGCAGCGAACTGGGTCACGGCAACTGCAGCAAGAAGCAGGTTTAGGGCCCTTAGAGACATGATGAGTGTTTGTGGGCTGTTAAACCGAGATGAAAAGTATTTGGCTTGCTGTGTATTGATGCAGGATGGGCAAGAATAGATGTGAATCGTTTGTTGGCAGCCAATGCTTTTATACACAGATCCTAGAATCTAAGTCGACCGGCTGTGTGAACTTTACAGTAATTAGCGAATTCCAGGCCACACTATGTTTCCAAAAGATCAAACAGCACAGCGCGCGCTGTATACTTGGCATAAGCACTAGTGTCATAAATCTCAACTGAAGTACCTATATTATTACGGCCTACCACAAATAAAGCCTTTAATTTCATACTATACTGATAGAAACGTGGTTATATGATTAATTTATTTTTTTAAAAAAATATAAGTATATTTATAAATCCTTAAAGTATAATATATACTTATAAAGTTTATATTTTATTATAAAAGCTATTATTTATTTATATTTTTTCTTTATTTTAATAAGCTTATAACCTTTTAATTAAGCTTTAATATATAACTGCCTTAGTAAAATATATAATTAAACTTTCCCTTTTTAGTTATAATAATAAAGTAATTCTCCTTAAATTAAATTTTAAAGGAATTAAAAGAAAAAGGCAGCTAAGAGCTACCTTAAATTATTAAATAGCCTTTCAAACTTTACTTTTATTACTTACTTAAATAACTTTTGAAATAAGTTTAATAATATAAAATAAAGAGTAATTACTTTTATAAGCCCTGCTCGCTCTGGATATGCCTTTCATGGGACATCAGCCGTGAATTTGGAGACACATTGAGCCCTTAGACATGAGAAGCCTTTGGCCGTCTGCAGGGTTGCTATTTTCGGCGCTCCAAACGATCGTTGCGGCAACGTCTCGCACATCCATAAAACCCGCTGTTGGAATCAACGGCGGGGGAGTGTCTTGTCCAGAGAAGATGTCCCATATCCATCGTGTGGTTGGGTGTATTTTATCCGCAGACTCAGCCCGATGAAGAATCTGTCCACTGTTAATGTTTTGGCATTTATGAAGCGGGCTCGATCGTCCTATGCCGGATTGATGGCGGTCATACTGAAAGACGGCTTGCGGTCCTTGAAACTCCAAAAGGCCCGTTCCGCACCCACTTTGCTCGCACGGTAAACGAGACCACCGAGGCAGCTCATCCCGTGCTTTTTAGCAGCTTCTATAGCTGTCAAGTCCCAGTCCTCTTCTGTATATTGATACGGGGCTTCTTTGGTTGAGTCAAGCATGGTGCCCATAGAAGACATCAGCACAACCGCCACCACTGTCGGTTCCTTCATCGCTGACTCCATGAGACTATCGATTGATGATGTTGTGATCTTCATTACTAGCTCTGGGTCTTTCAGCTTGAAGCCACTAGGTGAAGCTAGGTGGACGATGACATTAACGCCTGCAAGGAGTCACGTTAGCTTTGTTGTAGTAAGCTCACAATGGCGGCTTCCTAGCTGTCACACTACCTTTCATGGCTTCGTCAAATGCCCCAGAAAGCGTGATGTTAGGTATCTGGGTAGTTTCCAGGTCATCGCTAAACCGTGAAATTGAGTTCTTAACCGTCTCTGCTGCTGGTGGCGACCTTACGGTGCCATGTACCAAAAAGCCTGCCTCGATAACAGCTGCAATGGTCCGTCCAGCAAGATATCCATGGGCACCAGTAACCAAGACAGTGCCTTGCTTATCATTTTCAATACAGGTTCTCGTCATTCAATCAAATTGATCCTTGTTTACTAATTTTGCGGGTTGGAGTCTGAGTCCATTATTCTGTCAAAATCGATTCAGGCAAGCCCAACCACTATTTATCAGCCGTGATAGCTACGAAGGGTCCAGGCAGTTTAGACACATCTAGGTCACAATGCGTACTAATGTCCATTGTAGAAAGGACTATTAACAAGAATCTGACATTTTAACACAATGTGGCTTCCTTATGGCTTACATGAGCGGAGCAAGAAGATCATATGCTTGAATGGTCGCTTCGCTGCCGTGATCATACCGGGTTCCCTTCCATGCTGTGTTATAAGCGTTGCTGGAGTCCATACAGAGTCGGCTGTTGACAAGTAGATCTAATAACAACAAACACTCCTGAACTTGGATTACTCGGTATCCTGTCAACTAGAACTCGCAACATTTTGAGCCATCAGGTGAATGATCTGGCAGCTCACAGCCAAACGTTTGTGTAGCGGCGAAATAAACCCTAGTCTAGGTACTAAACAGCATCAATGTGATTCACTTCGAATGAGCGATGATAATAACTTGACCATAAAACGCCCGCCGCGTTGTCCTGTTACAGCGACACCCGTGACAACTATCCGTATTGTTAAACGAAGGTATCAAGGCTAAGGTTAACAGCATCGCCGCAGTGTCTTCAGTGAAATAGATCGTTCTGTCTAGATCCGATGTGGTAAAATAATATTTTTAACCAGGATAACTGAATGAAGAGATTCACTACCTAGCTCTCTAGATACTATATGTGTGTCCTTTGTAAATTAATCACTGGATTTGAAGATGTTTTGCCAACCACTGATGGATTGTCCTCAATGTATGTGGCGCTGATACATGTAGGGTGAGATCATGTCCTGTTTGTGGAACAGCGTAAGTCTCATAATGTTTTGAGCAAGGGAATAAAGATCTGGTGGCTGTTAAGATTTTGTTGCATGAGCCGAACTCTAGATTGCACAACAATACATCCATTTCACCATTAACCGCAAGGATAGGCCCTTCAAAGCCGCGTGCTGGTGCCAGACCACCGACCAACGACAGAATCTCTCCAACACCAACGGTATCTCCAACCACATAGTCCTCTAATGGGACGATAAGATTAAAATTGCCCGCGTAGAAGGTAATTTTGCGGGACATTTCGGTCATATGCGTAACGTAGCCTTTGTCTAAACCAGCAAAGCGATTCGGATGGACATCAACGGCCGGAATAAACTGCTGCCGAACAGCAGCATTCCGCGACAGCGAGGTACTCCAGCCCGTTATAACAAATGCATCAATATCGGTAGGATGTGAGCGAACCAGGCTCACACCAGTGGACGAACCATAAGAGTGAGTGACAAGAACAATGTTATCGAAAGTACGGTTGAGCGGGTTTGTCATGCTGCTGTTGCGGATGGCTGAGATAATATTGTGGTTGATCTCAGCCTGTAATGCATTTTGAACCACGAGGTACGGATCTGGACGTGCATGATTGTCACCATGACCCAAACTATCGAGAGTTAGAGTATGATAGCCATGATTTGTCGCGAACAGAACCCAATTATATTCGTTATCAATGCCGAGACCCGTCCACATGGTTTGGTTGTAAGTTGCCCCGTGGATGAAGTACTGCAAAATTCCGGTGTCCGCCTCCGAGCTAGCAGGCTGACAGTATGTGCCGCCAATCTCGAATTCTCCGCTTATAATGAGTGTTCCATTTGTCGGCGGACCGTTCGAGAAGCCGTTTGCCAAGTATTCGGCAATGGCAGTGGAATTAGTAACTTCTGGCAGGTCAACGAACATCATATTCTCGGCAGTAGCCCTCACATGGAAAGTGACCTTTGAGCAATACTGTTGGGCATCAGTTGTTCCAATAAGTGGCAAACAGAGCAGCCACAAGGAGGGTCTGCTTAGAGAAGGAAGCATATTGAATAGTGGTACGGCCTCATAAAAAACAAGAATGTTTCAACTCTGTTTGCATGAATGTAGCCGAGACCCACGTGAAGTCCTTTATATTACATTTCCATCCATTCTCGCCGTAGGTGATAAAGCTTCTCGCTAAGCCTTCTCTTCCGATGCCCGGGCTCCATGTCTGAATTCGCTCAAAACTCGGGGCGAGTGTCCGACTAGCAATCTGTGCTCCTCTTGAGTCCCAAGATTTAACATCTCGGCGGTCGCTTGCAACATGGGACGCATACAGTTACATCGTGGCATCTCCAAGTGGAGGCACTCTAGAATTAGTAGCAACTGTAAGAGATTCTTTAGTAACAGCTTGACCAATATGCCGTGCCGAAGCCATGCCGCCCAATCATCTGTACGGGGATGTTAGAGCCAATGAATACTCAGCTACTGCAATAGTCAGGAGGGGCCGCGGCGTAAAGTACCATTCGAAGCGGGTGGTGCGGGAAGTTGCGGTGCGGGACATTGTGGTGTTATTCGCGCCACCCGAAACTCCGGGTCCAGTCAACCCTAAAAGCATGCTTACATTTCATAGCAGAATTCGTCAGCGAGGCGCTGCTCCACAATAGAAAGCTCGGCCCTGTTTCGAACTAACTGCGTCCCACTATCTAAACAGCCCACTATACTTGACTTACTGCTGCTATCCCCGTTATGGAATGCTGGAGCGAGCTGATTACCTTTCTAAAGCGCCTGGGGTATTTGAGCTCCGCTCTATAACTCAATTAACCACCCATTCCACCCTAGTTCTTGTTGGAGGGTTGAGACAGTTGCGAATGAACCAGTTTGATAAGGCCCTTCCGTAGTCGATGGATTGCGTTGGTCAAGTTCTTGATCTGTTAATCAACAAGAGTTCGTCTTGGTGGAAAAGCATCCTAGGAGGCCTTGCACGGAATACGCGATACGCGCCAGCATAACTTAGGATGATGGACGTACTAGGGCTTGCATCGGCAATCAGGCGTTTCTGTCGGTGGTAATAGCTCATTCTACCGGAATTTGTCGGCCTTATCTGGTTATTCGAATACACATGTCTCCACGCGACTCTTCACAGGCCAAAGCCTGCTTTTCTAAAAACGGCGGCGTTCTTCACTGCAAGTGGTGGATCGTGGTTTGTCCGCAATAGTGACCGGGTTAAAAATGGGCCAGAAGCAATCTATCTCACCTACATGAACAATATATATCCTCCAGAGGCATATATAAGTAGAAGAGCTACTCCTCGCATATTTCTATTCTTCGTATTCCTTCTGGGGGCATTACTACATGTCACCAACATTATCGAGATGACATCGAATCCACCCGGAAAATGTTGTACTGTTGGCGTGAGACATGAGTAAGTACCAGCAAAAGCTTGACCAGACTCTGTTTCATCATATTTTGAATATACTCCGAAAATATCGTATTATACAGTACGTTCAGCATCAGCAACTAACGAGATACTATTTCGCACATTCTAGAGGTACACCGTCTGGTAATATAATCAAGGTTGCCGAACACTACGACGTATACCTTGCCACACCACCCGCAGGCAGAGTGCATGAAGGGGTTGGCGTGCTGTTAATCCCAGACGTTTTCGGCATCTGGCAGAATAATCAACTGATAGCAGATCAATTTGCAGCGAATGGTTATACAACTATTATTCCGGATATTTTTAACGGCGATCCGCTAGATATTGATATCGACCCCGTTGTCCCCGGGGGGTATGATGTCATGGGGTGGCTGGGGAAAGGTCGGAACGGTGCTGGTCCTCATACCCCTAACGAGGTAGATCCGGTCGTGGTTGCTGCAATTAACTACTTGAAGGATACAGTGGGGGTAAAGAGACTGGCTTCAGTGGGCTACTGTCTCGGAGCCAAGGTAAGACTCGGCATTCTATCACAGCGTTGTATATGCGGCGGTTTTCTCTGTCCTCTCTGCCAGAGGGGTATCATCGGCACACAATGCTAATTGAAAAACAGTATGTTGTTCGCCATTTCAAGAGCGGCATTGATGTTGGCTACTTAGCACATCCGTCTTTCGTCGAGGAGAATGAACTTGCTGCCATTACTGGTCCGCTATCTATCGCCGCAGCCGAAACCGATCCCATATTCACTGTTGATCAGCGTCACAAAACCGAAGTAATCTTGCGTGAGGCAGGTTACCCGTATCAGATTTGCCTCTTTTCGGGTACTTCACACGGCTTTGCATCTCGACTCGACGCATCGACGACAGCTCAAAAGTTTGCTAAAGAGCAGGCATTCGCGCAGGCAGTGCGGTGGTTTGATGTATGGCTGCTAGGCTAATGAGTGGAATCGCTGTACGTATATCCACGTCAGTCAATCAATTCTCCATGGACTAGTCCGATAAATACATCATTCGTGGCTCTGCAAGTGTAGGAGAGCGCCGACTGTAGGAAGGTGATTGGCACGGCACACACACACCGAGGGGAGTGATAAGGTCTATAGCATCAGAGGATAGAAGCTAGATCGCTATTCCATAAGTACGGGTCACCTTCCCGTAATATGAATTTCTGATCCCTTTACTCAATGTGTAAGAAGTTGCTTTTGTACTCTTAGCCGTGCGTTCGCTGCAGGGTAGCCACTGGGTCTTTTGCTCCTGACGGTGATATAGGCCGGAGTGGTGAGATGGGTAACATTTCTGGATCATATGACTTTCTCAGCCAACAATATTACTGCTTCAGAAACCAGGCTATCAACAGAACTGCGTAGCAGAAGTTTAGAGTCCGTCTTGCGCATCGATAATTCCCCAAGAGGGAGGGGGGCAGGGCGGCGGGGTTTGGTTGGTCGTTGGACTAGCAGCTCCATCCTGCATTTGTTGCCTTTCACGCTAAAAATCTTGGTGCACGCCCATCTCAGTCAACTTTCTGTACTCTACTCTTGTCCCTGAGTACACTTATGTTTCTGAGTCTATTGATAGACTTCGGGATTGTTAGTATAACTTGTCGTCCATTTTACCGAATACAGAGTAGTATATAGTATATTTTAATTTACGGTTCGCTGCTATGGGGAAATGCCTACTCGTATAGAGGGGTATGTAGTCATCAGCATATGGGTAGTGGCTAGCGTTTACAGGGGAGGAAGCAGGGGCTTTTTTATGTATACTGCATTAATTTTACTAGTTTCTACATAAATAACGGGAAATAAAAAATAAAAAATAGTTTATCTATTAGCTATTATATTAATATACTTATATAAATTATACTAGATAATTTTCATTTACTAATTTAGGCCTTTTCTTAAAAGAACTATAGAGGGAAAGTTTATAGGGTAGGGATTGTGTGGTACTTCAGACCCCTGTCATTAGCACCCTGGTCGGTACTCATGCACTGTTGAATATTTCTGCCCGCACCTAGTAGGCTGTAATAAGGGTTAGGCGGCGAAGTTGCGCAGCGGGCTTATAGAGTGGAGCGGGCCTACACGGCGGGCTTACGGAGCGGAATCACACGGGGCGGATCTTTACCCCAGATTTTATCCACTCTTCTCGGGATGGACGGAAACCCTGTTTACCCATAGTGTAAGCCAGTGATATATATACATAAATGCCTATTCCAGTCACCCTTCAGCACATCATTTAATGATGCGGGCTTTCATGACGGCGTGAATGAAAACCCGTCCCGCAAACGCTCACACTTCATAGCTTTACTCCGCACCGGAAATTCCGCAACGACTGTCAATGATATCCCGCTCCTTGACCATCCATGAGCCGGCCCTCCGATCACAATGAGTCATTGGGACGTCGCCGCTACCACGCATTCACCATACGCCTGTTTTCCCTGCCGCCAATTGAAGAGGCGTTGCGACCGAAGCCATCCAAGATGCACCCTCTGCTTGGAGTACGGCCCTGAAGACCATTTCTATGGAGCCACTTAATCTAACAATATTTCAGGAAGCAAATCAAGTGTCAGTATCCCTCTCGTCGGAAAGAGAGGGAACGGCGAGAACCCCGGCAGAGCCAGAAGGCAGCTCTAGCGATTCGAGGCTCAATAATCAGCCATTCTTCCGTCAATGAACAAAAGTTTAGCCCCCCCGACATATACAACTCGAATGTGTCTGATATCGTTGCCGCACGGTTCCTGGATCCAACTGTCTTCCATAAAACACAATTAGAAGTCCCGGACGTGGATGTCACTATCCCAAAGGGGGTTACTGATGCTGCTGGCAATGTGCTCGATATCCAAACCACTGCCAGGATGTTTTTTGAGTCTACCCACACATGGATGCCAATATTGTCAAGGAAACAGTTCTTTGCAAATTTACCTCGACGTATATTGCACAAAAGACCTGAATTATACTTGTTAGTTTTGTCTATGAAATTATGCTATTCTCACGTCACAGTGGCAAAAACGACACTATATCGAGTTACAAAACAATTCTACTTCGACCTTGAAACATCTGGAAAACTATCCATTCAAATTCTACAAGCTGGCATTTTTATCGCGCTTTATGAGTTCGGACATGCCATATATCCTGCGGGGCTGCTTTCTATTGGGTCGAGTGCTCGCTATGCCACCCTACTGGGAATTGACAAGTCTCTCGTGCCCAGCAACGATTCGAATCTATCATGGATAGATGAGGAAGAACGTCGTCGAGCCTGGTGGTCGATATTGATACTGGATAGGTTAGTTCTAAAGCTTGCACCCGTCATCTCCGCCGGGGTGGAGGCGTGGACTCATAATGTCCTACCAGTTTGCTGTAAAGTGGCGATTCATTGTATTTCGATCAATTGTTTATATTGACCGAGTTATTTGCAGATTCATGAACCTCTGCGACCCTGGACGGCAGTTGATGACGTCTGAACCAGAGTCCAGATGCTATCTACCAGTAGATGATGCGACATGGGATGAGGCGGTGAGCAGTCATGGGGTCATTGCCATTATCGATAGTTGATAACGAAATGTGCAGCCATCGCATCCTGGGAACACTTTCACACTCGCTTCATCATCCGGCATTCATTTGGGTAGATTTGCTCGTTTTGCGCAAGCAGCACACCTACTTAGCCAGGCGCTCGAGGCCATGAGAGGCACGAGGGAGACAGCACAACTGCGCCGCACTATTTTCGCGCTTGCGATCCTCTCTGAGACGGAAGAAAACGAAATCGGATCTGCATTCTGCACCCAGATGGCAGCGTGCTATAGGTATAGATAAACTCCCTGTCGTGAGCTTCAGCTTGGCTAATAAGACAGCGCAATACTTCTGCTCGAGTTCACGCCCATTCTCACAAGTGATGTTAGTGGACGAGAGCTGCACAGGGCGGACAGCCTGATGTCGACGGAAGCTGTTTCTGCGCTAAAAAGCGCTGTTAAAATGGTCCAGGATTTCTTAGCAGGACGAGAAGAGCGGAAATGTGACAGGGTCTCTCCTTTCATCTTGCACTTCATATATATGGTCGCAACTCTGTACTTGAGGATGGAACGCACGGATCAGAGGGGAGCTATTATGGATCAACAGGATATTTGGAAACGGGCGTTGCGTGTCCTCAGTCATCGGTGGTCAGCTGCAGGTAAGATCTCGTTTTGAGATTTTTGGAAGTACAAAGACGCTGATTTCGCCTGCCAAGGAGCTTATCTTACGCTGTTGGAGAGGCATGAAGTCTTCACCCTCTTGGTATTTCAATAACGGGATGATGGCAAGATTTATTGGGCATTATGGTTCTATGTACGTCCTTCCTATCCTTACGCTTTTTTTCACACTAGAGCAGCGTATATCAGCGTCTTTCGATTATTGATCACCATGTCAGATCCACATTATACAAGCATCCCATGTATTTTATTGAAGTATGTCCTTTTTGTCGGGGGCTGTCGGCACGTAAGAAAGATTAAGTCCAATGTTAACGTGTCCGTTCCACGCCAGGTCGACACAACGGTACTTAGCTAAAGAGCGCGCCACCGACTGAGGAAAAACGAGCCTTTCTGCTCGGGCCATAGAAATACATGTTAGATCTGCGACATTATCGGTCTGCCCGCTTGCTCACTTGATTTAAATAAAGCATGGTAAATCTCGTGACAGACACTGCGTATACAATAGAGCTTAGAATGTTTTACGGTCGCAAGAGTCCTTTGTCAAGTTAAAAGAGAGTCGAGTCTATACTATACAAAGAAATCTCTTCTGCCAAATAAGGGTTAGCGGTCCCTGTCAGCCATACTTGATAAAAGTTACTGCACGTAGCTTTGCTAACTTTTATTTCCGCCGGTCTCCACGCATTTAACGTTGTTCCGCTGAAATTTTCGATCCCCGAAGCCTTCTTCTGTCTTGGCGCTGTATATTGTAGTTTGAAGCCCCCGCGGCAGCAACAGACGATTGTGAATAGATCATAAGGATGGGTTTTGGCTTTTGAGTCGGAAGTCCTCTCTTAAAACTTTTTCTCTCCGAAGCTGATATTCAATCTTTCTTTCGGGAAATAGTAATTAGTGCCAAAATTACGGGATCAACGCATCACGATCCAGCATCATCCAGCACCACTGTAGTTTGAAGAACGATGCTCTATGTACAGTATTGCCTGAATTGGTATGATAAATCTCGCTCTTACTGATGTCGAACTCGCCAAGAGGGGATTCTAGATCGAATGTCCTGTAGTAATGTGGGTTTACTCTGCTCCAACAAATTTGATGCGGTTCCACTGGTGTAGTTGTTGAGTAAAGCCCCATAATCTGTAAACAAAAGAAAGGCTTTGCCTATACAGCGTGCTACGTTTTCTGTTTGAGAGCCCAGGAAACTCAATGTATCGAGGTCATTGATTTGTCGACGTACCGCGATACCAGCTTTTATAGCGCTAAACTCCCTTCCTCCGGCTCATCTGTTTGTGCATGGTGATGAGATTATTGGAGATGGCGTACGAATAACCCATGTTCAACATGTATGTAAAGCATTTGAAAACGTACTGACACCATTCGCTGCCGGTAGCTGGGCGTATTCCTACTTGTCGTAAGAGCAAGTCTAATAGAATAGCAATTGCACCGGAGGAGCAGTTCACAATCGACTAAGGGCCTAGTTCTGGGCCAGGAACGCATTGCCTTAAGAACCTGGTTTAGGCTTCTGTCCCGCTAATTCTGAGACTGCTGGCCTAATGGCATTGACTGAGCCCGCTTATGAGTCAAACGGCGAGTCAAACGGCGACATTCTTAAATCCAGCAAAGGAACTCAATCTGGACGCATACAGTGACTAATGCAAAGAAGGGCTGGCCCAGTTACATGTGTCTCCAATTTTAAGTCCTCTCTGCTATCCTGCGCGGTATGTGAAGATGTTCTCTTTTACTTCTTAGTGACAAAGCCGACACCATTTCGAATATATATGGCTAGCTAGCTAATTCCGCTCACACGGCATTACATTTGTCATGTCATGCCCGCAGAGGCATAGCCTAAGCAAAGGCATAGCATGAACTATTTTGTTCCTGGACTTGCCTCTTCCACATGCTCTTATATCTACGCGCAAGATCCCCGTTTTTGGCCCCACGCTCTCTACACCCTAATCTCCACCCGCCTCGCCAAATTACCCACTCTGTTTTGAGCGATGGGGGGCGCAATTACAGTTACTTTTGTTGCGGCCTTTCCTTGTGCCCGCAACTGACATGCAGTTTCGAGCCCTTGGATCATCGCTAAGATCATTGTCACAATGATAACATCTCTGCTGCTATGAAGAGTATGCGATGAGCTTAGGGCTCTCAGATAAGCCGCTTTTTCGGTACCTTTTCGACATTATGGATAAACTACATGACTCATTTGGTCCCTTCAACGCTGTGGCTGTCTGCATCACAGCTCGAAGGGCTGCCTTAACATCCCTCTTCGAAATAGCTTTACTCCATGCCGTTTCGTGAGCCTCGGTAGCCCTCAAACTTGAAGACATCAGCGATATCATTGTGTTGTTTTAGATATCGACGTGATTACTCAAGCATGAGGTGATTTTGCAACTCATACTGCACTAATTTATTCATCCCCTCCCACCTTTACACATTTGTTTGCTTTTGAAGTGGCCTATGAGAAACATGCCATTCGTTTCAATTAGCCCAGATTGGGTCCAGGGCTAACCAAATGTACCCCTTCTTTTTTTTTAGGCTTTATTTTTTTTAAGCCACGTAGTGAGAGCAGATCAAATAGAGTATGGCGCGGTTGCTGTGTACTATAGGTAGTAGCTAATCTCCACACGTCCCCAATATTGTGATCAATATGGAGGTTGTCTGAAGTTCTGCTACTGGCGTGAATATCAGTTTCAAGCGAGAACTTTCCCAGCGTGCACGGCATATTTAAGGCTTCCTTGCCACCACCACTGCTTTACAAACTTCAAGCTGGCTGTCCAGTATAACTTTGAAATCATTTGACATACACAGAAGTCTATTCCATCATTATCCCGAAGAATGCCGACTCCAGAGGAATCGAGGAACTTGGAGGTCGTCTCGAAGTATTTCGAGCAATATTGGGGGAAGGCTAATCCAGATATCGTTGATGAGCTTTGTGCTGATGATTTCGTGATTAACTATCCCATGCATGGCCCCAGATTTGGCAAAAAGGATGCCAAGAAGATGCTGTCAGAGTTCAAGGCAGTAAGTACAAGGGCACGCCACAGGGAGATGCTTCTTTACCCATTGTTATACGACTAGTAATATTAACATCAACAATATTAGGCATTTCCAGACATCTCCTTTCGCGCCTACCAGCATCCGTTGATTGCAAGCGGTCCCTACGTAGTAGGCCGATGGATTGGTGGAGGAACTCACACTGGTGTGGCTTTCCATGATCTTGCTGTGGGCTCTCTGAATGAGCCCAATACCGGAAAGGTGATGCATTTTTCCGGAACGACAATTTTTACGCTTCGTGATGGCAAGATTATTGATGAAACAGGGGAAGAGGGGGCATTGACAGCTTTACAGAACTTGGGCCTACTTCCTCAGCCAAATTATGGGAAGGACATCAAGTATCTACATGAGTAACTGCTTAATAATGACTATAGAAAAACAGAGATGATATCTGGGTGCTTGCGATATTTTGAGAATCTTAGTTTTGGGCTATCTTGACCGACACGTGATTGAGACTCAGGCACTGAATCAGGATGCAGAATCGTGGTTGTGTGCCTAGCATACATAAAGATCCCTCTTCATATACGATTGAGTCTTGGACATGTCATCAGAAGCTAATCAGTTCGTCTGAAGTGGAACGAAATGGGGCTGCAGGTTTTTGGTATCTTATCTCGATAAGTTGATGCGATCGTGGGGGCGCGAGTCGGGAGGACGCGCTTATATGAGGGTGGTTATGGTTGAGTGGCATGAGGCGAGCCGCGAAACAGAATCGACAAGTCTCTAGCAGCTGGTTTATCAGAGGTATGTCGCTTTCGTGATGCAATATCGGGATTGGTGTTGTCCACCAGATAAGCAGGATAGCTCTGATTGGGTGCCTAGCTATTTTGTTTAATCTTGCCATACTATTTTATTTTCAAATGAATTAAGTACCGCCGATAATTGCAAAAATCCTAAACATAATGTCTCTGGATACTATACTTTAGCTCTATGTATTATTATTGGCTTAACGTAGGCTTTGACTATTTGTTTTATGGCTTTAGGAGGGTAACTTGGTATTGCATTTGCTAGATCCCTAAGGGGGGAAAAGCAATGGATTAAGCTTTAGTTATTTATTCCCTAATACAAGTTTCAAAGACAAGTCTCTAATTAAGCTAAATATTAAGTTATTTTATAACTTAGCTTATTAAGTTATTGATTTAGTTTATTTATAGTGCTTTGATTACACTTGGCTAAGCTACCTTAATCTGCAAAAAGAAAACCTTAACCCCTGTGTTAAAAAAACCACTTAAATTCACAACTTTCACTAAGCTTAATTCCTATGTAAATATTCGATTTTGGAATACTACAAGTTGACCCTTATCTTATTATATAAATGTGGTCTTATATTATTAAGATTATACTTGCAAAAGAACAATTATTACAAGCTTGTCTTCGCATATATCCCCGCTCTCTCCAAGTAGTAAATTTTTATTAGCTATATTATTGGGTTGTTCCATTCACTGTATAGTTCGATGGCACCGTTACATTTAGAATCGAGTTTCCGAGAACGCTGACCAGTGCATCTTGAAGTGCCTGAACACCGGCCGAATTCGCCATTGACGTGAGGATCGGAATAGCCTGAGATCCATCGCATTCTCCTGCTACAGCAATACCAGTGGTAGTATCACGCTTGAAATTGATGCCAGGCTTAATAATCGCGCTACTTTCATGTTCAGCAAAAGAGGAATTTTGCTAGGAGAAGCGGGCGAAACAAAGAGAGAGCTCACCAGTTGTACTGCGACTGCGCCGCACGCAGTTGGCATATCTCGGCCGTCTTGCAGGAGCCAGTGCATGCCGAGGTGTCGTAGTTGCGGGTCTTGCGGCCGATGTACTCTTGGAACACCGTATCGTTTCTCTCAAAAAGAACAGTGACGTTGTGCCAGAACGCAGGTGTAAGCTCCGTCGATATATCAGTGGCACCGAGGAGACTGCCGTAGGTATCCTTGACCGAGTACAGGACCTCCCATATTGGGTTCGTCTGGTACGTATCCGAAGTGATATCCGCGTAATAGACCGTCATGTCTAGGATGCCGAAGGTCACCGGGTCAACGTCATAAACGCTTTAGAACAGGGTTAGTCATTGTATCAGACGGGATATAACGTAATAGTCTTGATCAATTACCGGAAAGTTGGGTTGCCTGAGGTCGGCGTGAGCGCCGGGGCGATATAAGACATCATAGTAGCAGTGGAAAAGTCCTGGTGAGTATAGTCGCTGTACGCGATCTCGAATTCATCTTTGTGCGTATGACTGCATGCCTCGTTAGCGGTGGGTTACTCCCAATGACCTGAGATTGACAGAAGGCGAACCCGTAGAAGATTGCAGCGATTGTAGCATCGAATCTCTGAATGACCAAATCTGATAGTCGTCAGCGTCTGCACCCTTATGAGTTGGCTTGGGAGAACTGGACTACCAAAGTAGTAGGAGGCATCATGGAAAGCATCGGATGCCCCCATCGGCATATGACCTTCGTACAGACATTAGTTTCGTTATCATACTTCCTAGGCGCATGTAATCAATATTCGATGAACCTACCGAGAATCCAAACCCTCTCTTGAGCTGCCTCGGCTTGCTCTAGCTGCGAGACCAACCACGCAAACATGTCGGATGGGTCGTTCTCCCAGTTCTTCTCGTACATCCAAAAGTTTTGTTTGTACCAGAAGTTGGTGTTGATGCTGACGATACGGAGTCCGGAGCTGTCAACAACGGAGTAGCTGCCATAGTTAGACGACAGTTCTGCGGCCGCCGTGTTCCCGACCCAAGTCTCCCAGTTCGCCGACATGGCATCATACGCCCACTGCGTGCTGATGGTAGTGTCAATGCCCGCCGGTGGGAACGAGTTGACTGGGCACGCATCATGGTTGCCCGTCACGGCATACGTCTTACCCAGAGCCCGCATACGCGTGTACGCGTCGTTGAGGTCGTTAGTCACCTCGGCGTCGGTAACCATCCACACGGCGCCCTCGACCACGTCCCCCGTGAAGATCGTGAATTCCCGGTCCGGCACGAGTGACACGATGGCGGCGTACATGCTCTCTTCAAGCGACAGTGGAGTGTCGCAGTGAACGTTGCCGTACGGGCCTGCGGGGGTGTCATTGTTACCTGGTTCATCGGTGGCCATGTAGCTGCGGCAGCAGATGTTCTTGGTGCAGTTCCAGCTCGCGCCGATGGTGTAGTCTAGGTCGACGTGGATGTCGCTGATGTGCACTGCCTTGATCGATTTCTTACCACTGGATGCGGGGCGCAAGGTTGCCGGCTTGGTTGTCATGGATGGAGAATATGAGGTGTTGACGTCGGGCCATTGGCACAGGCCGAAGACAGTGAGGCAGAACAGGGTCGAAGTTTTGGTTCCAATAGTCATCTGGCGAAGGTCATGTGCTAAGATGGGCCCTTCAAGACCGATTGCTCCGGAACTGGCAATCAATAGAGTGAGAAATGGTCAGGCAAAGATAAGAGAACTTTCGCTGGTAACAATAGGACAACATACCAGACGTCGTCGTCTTCAACTCCCTGTAAGATAGCTTGTAAGCATCTATAATCGTGTACTTCTAGCTGATCCATTACAGTGCTCACGTACCAGCGTCTGGCAAACTTTCACGATGACGTCCACAAAATCTTTGTTGCCCAAGTGAGCCAACACTTTGAGAACAGTAAGTAACGCCTATAGAGTCCATTGGCAGATCAGTCATGAGAGTTCTATCAGCTGAGTAATTATCGGAAACTCCACTCACCTCGCAAGAACTACATTCGGTGAGATTTTTGATGTCCGCCAGAATATCTGAGAGTAGGCTCCTTTCTTCAAGCTCCTGCCTCGCAGCCCCTTGCGTCGCGAAAGCGTTGATAGAGTTGCGCATAACATCGCCGATGGTAAGGGCGGTCGATAGAGCTGGCAGCCACGACAGCACACCTAGCATCGTAACGACTTGCATGTCTCTGTTTGCTTTATTGGGAGAGTAGATGGTCAGCCACTAGCAAAAAGGTGGCAAGGCCAGAAAGAAGAGAACTGAAGTAAGGAAGGCCAGAATATAGCGGCATGGCACTCCATAGAAATCCTCATAATTTACAACGTTAAGGCATGCAATCTCCTTTCGGAGTCCGACTTCACTATCTATCCACGTGTAGCAGTCGAATGGCCATCAGTCCCCATGGAGCCGAATTTGCTTTCGCATTGCGAGGCTTGCAGAGGTAGGTGTGCTCGGCCTATTGCCGAATATCTTAGCCTCGGCACATCTCCATATAGCTACATTTGGTACACAACCCGATCAGTGCAACCATGCAGCCTACTAGCGGCCGGGAAAAGCGCGTTTTACGCGAACACCAAACACTTCGTCGTGACATGTGCTCGGTAGTTATAGTCCCGAGAACCACAAGCCCAAGCAATTGACAGCAGTAGTTCCTATTACGCCTGGCGGGGTTAACAATTTACAAAGCTCGACCCCGTTTATGTGCCGGAGCGCACTTAACTCTTCTTTACACCAATAGCTCTTGATATTAATCGCAGCCTAGTATATAATTATAAAGAAGAGAAGACACTATGTTGACTTAATGTATTTTCAAATTAAACCAGTATAGCTACTAAATTATACCTTTCGAATATTCTTTACTATTAACTGCTAGCAATAAACTAATATTCAATACCAATTATTATATATGTTTTACACTAAACAGTAGTTATCTCGAGTAAACTATAGCATTGTGCTTATTGATTAGTGATATACCATCATTTCTCCATGAGTCTGGCTCGACATATCCCAACTTTGTAGCATTTGCGTCAAAAACATAATTTTCTCCAACTCCAAGCGAGTACTTAGGCCAAAAGCTTCCAGGGTTGCCACTATACACAAAGTTTACCCAAGCCGTGCTCATTTTGTCACTAAGGTCCTTGTAACTCTGGGGCTCTCCGCTGAAAGGGTCGACTGACACCGGCGGGTATCCTAGCCCGCCCTTGTTGTTAAATACAAAGGCCACCTCTTGGAAGTGTGTGGCCCCAATGGATGACGGCACTCCATTTGGAATAGTGTTGAAACGGTAACAGTATGCATGGACGTTGTTGCTAGCCCAAGTCTGACAAGTAAGCCGGCGATGAGCGATCATAGTTGCATCCCCGTAGTAGGCTGCACTACGGCGGTAGCTTGATCCAAAGGGCTCGGGAAGGACGTCAGAAGGAGGTAGACTCGTGGGAACAGCCCCATAAGTTATAGTTGCAGGATAGGCAGAGAGAACAGCAGTAGCGAATGGCGCGGGTAAAGTCGCTGCAGTAAGTTAATTTTTCACTCCAGGACATAGGTCTGGGAATAAAGTCAACGCTTACATTCAAGTTTGTCAAGGAAGTCTTGTGTAGAGTTAATTCCGACTGGTCCAAAAGCAGTACCTTCATCTGAGTTCGCCCCTGATATAATAGGCACGTGAACGAATTGTCCTCGCTCGAGCTGCAGACTTGTATAGCCCTGGATAAAATCTCCGTCGACCAGAGGCTGCCAACCAAGAGATGACTGTGTAGCATTGATCCAAGTATTAAGTGTTGCAAATGGGATCTGGCGCAGACACTGAAGCTTGTCAGATGCCGAGCTACATCCTAAGGAATTGATAGCGGTAGTAAAGGAGGTCCTATTCCAGCCGCCGAAGCTGCCATAAAAGACAGGATTGCCGCTCTCCATGATAGCACCGCGGAATAGGTGGTCATCTCTCCCACCATAAGCTGTAAGGTGCATTCCCACGGAAAGGGCACCAGCTGATTCTCCCCAAATAGTGATTTTATTTGGGTTGCCTATATGAAATTGTTTAAGCAAAGTAAGGATTAAAAATCGGGATATAATTGAAACAGAGCAGTTACCACTTACCTCCGAACGAAACAATATTTTCCTTCAGCCAATGCATCGCCAGTCTCTGATCTCTGAATCCCAAGTTGGCAACCCCGCTCTGCAACACCTCGTCACCTGTTATAAATCCCCACATACTCAACCGGTAATTGATAGACACCGCTATAATAGGCTTCCCAATGTCCACAGACTTCTTGACAATAAAAGATATGTTATATCTTTGATCAATACCCGAACCTTCGGTAAGCCCCCCCCCATGAATCCAAAGTGCCACAGGAAGGTTCTGGGAAGCATATCCAGAAGGTCTCACTATGTTAAGATATAAACAGTCTTCTGATAGCTCAGGATACACCGAGTCATCGCTTCCGTAACCGACGCAGGCAACAGAGTATTTTGTTGCAGGTCTTGTACCAACCCAGGAGGAATTAAGCGATTGAGGAACTTGGAAGCGAAGGTCTCCCACAGGCGGTTGAGCGAAAGGGATACCTAAAAAGTAGTCCTGATTGTATGGTATGGAATGTAATCCGGCATATGTCCCATTTTTCACTGTAGCAGTTGGCGCTGCACTACTCTGTTCTACAGCAGGGGTAGCAAGAACAGCAGTTACCCAGACCAGAGCACCGGTGTAAAGCTTTGGGAATAACATTACTGTATAAAGCTACTATGCCTTTTGGAAGAGTATAATGCAGAAAAATGAAGAAGCCACGGTCTAAAGTTGATTCTTCTTTCAGCAAGTTTTGTACCTGTATATATAGTTCAGCTGTTGACAGCGGAATCAACAACATCAAGAAAGTATTGCTATTGGATCATAAACAATCCATAACTAGGATATTGTAGTTACACCAAGAAGTCTCGTATTCTAGCAGCCTTACCCTTTCAGGAAGGTATGATCCTTCACTTTGGAACATCAATTCTCGAATTGTTCTTAGGCTTGGTAATATGGAGCAAACGCGGGGTAGTTATTGCAGTTAGCAAATAGGGCTTTTTACGGTGCTATTATCTATTCAGTTTGCCGACAATGGTGCGATTCTATTTTCGGGTGTTATATAGTATAAGGGGAAAAACTTTAGCCGGGCGTGGTTTATTATCCTCTTTATATTAGGTGCTAACCCTGTATATACAAAATCACTTGTACCAAAAGCGAAAAGATCTGCCGGAGTTGTGTCCAGGGTAGAGAGATAGCAGGATAAAGTTGCCCTTATATGTCTTTATCTTGAAAAGCGTAACCTAGAAAAGAAATATTAGTAGTTATTTCCCCCAAGAATTGGCTAACAAAAAAGGGAAAAAAGATTACCCTTGAATCGCTGTTTTGGTGCAAAAGACCCTTTGGTTCTGGAAATCCGCTCCACAGCCGACGGTGTCACCGGTTGTGTAGCGGTCACTATATGAGTTTCCGGAGCCACTGTGATAATATGACCTTCCATCGTCGTCATAATAGCCCCACGCCTTTTCGTCCCAGCCAAGCATCTTGCCGGTAGTAGGAAACTCGTCGGCACAAAACCCAACACCAGCGAATTCAACTTAGTTCAGCGCAATACGTTCGAAATATTGTGCACAGTAATCTTAGGACAATTCTTACTTTTACCATCCGGTTTCTGCCAGTGTCACTTCAAAGTAGCATACTCCATTGCCATTCTTAGGCATAAACTAATTCGCTTTAGCGGTAACGAGCAATAGCCTTTTCCTCCCCTCTTCGTCTACCCATGTTTTCAATGCTGGTTCTATTTGAGATAACGTGATTCGGTAAATGAACAATATAGGCCATATTGGTGAATTTTGGAATGGGAAGTGGGAGAAGAACTCACTCGATATGGTGCACTCAGTCCCATTTACATTGAGAAGCCCATCATTGCTGCAGCTATTCCAGTTTGAAGGGGCTAGCTGAGCTTCATTTCTTTCAACGGCCCCTCCCCCCGTAATTCTCTTCCCACATTAACTCTCTCATACTCAATTGCCATTGCCAGCGGGGTCCATCCGTTGTTGTCAATCTCGCTGATGTTTATATCTTTTTGAAGGAGTTGGCGGAAGGCTTGGTCCGAGTTCCCGGATGATAGCGCCATGAAGGCCCATGCTTCTCATTCTGGTTCTATCCTATAGCTCCTCACTGTCGAGCCATTTAAGAATGACGTTGAGGACGTTTGCGGAGTTTCCCCGAGCGGCTCAGTGACAAGCACTTCTCTGGGATTGGTCGATCTCGAGAAAACTAGCACCTTTATTCTAGAGAGCTTCGAGTGCATCCACTTTGGCATGTCTTTACCCAGTAGGCTTATTAGTATAACTATAAGAGATAAGTTATAATAATGATATAATTACAGCCTTCCTATTATTAACTTTATTATTTCTATGGAATAGCTATATTAAAAATTATTCTATAGTTTAATTAGTACAGGAAGATTCCTATCCTTATTAACTGTTTGTAATATTGGTATAAAATAATGTCTGCGTTAGGCTAACTGCTGGCTTCGGGGCTCTTAAAAATACTATAGTCACAGACATTTATTCTCCCCATTCAGATACCACTCGAAAATCGTGCCGAATACAGTCTTTGCTTCATTTTCAATAACATCTCCATGACACGGTATAATGCGCCTGAAATCCCAACTGTATATTCGTTGCAACGACGCAGCAAAGGCGACACGGTCCTTCGCTCCCAATATATACCATGCTAGACGCCTCTGCCAAGTCGCAGGATACGCAGTGGAGAAGATCGGTGTAACCAACTTTGTAAGAACCCCGGCGGTTGGCGATTGACCGGACTTGGAGAACTGCTCGACAGCGGGTACATTAAATAAAAGATCCGCTTCAATGACAGTATGAGTGGGCTTGTGGAATAAGACAATTTCATGAGAGTCCATTGAATCAATGTATTGTACATCAAATTCATTATCAAATTCTTCCGAGATGTGTTTCTGGCTTTCCAACGCAGTGTAAATGATGTCGAATATCTCGAGACCTAAGCCCAGTTTTTTGGCGCATTTTTCGGGTAGGCCTTCAGGGACAATGAGACATGCGCCGGGAAATTCTGCTTTCCAAGAGCCAATTTGCATATAATGCTCCAGGTTCGGAGCGATGATGTATTTGACTGTTCCGCTCGTTACAGTGAGCGCATTACGCACAACATCCGTCAATCTCACCGGCGATATGACTGCAAGTGAGCCGGATTGAAGCTGCACTATAATATCGTCAGAGCAAGAGGATTCTCATAGACGAAGACGGCTTACCGATCGTAGTTCGCCCACCCGTTTTGAGAAGTCCCAACTGTGCGAAGGGAATGCTAACAGTAGTGATACTAGGGCTTACTTGGCGAATTACTGTTGAGTCGGAGTCTTCTGTTCCTAACGCTAGCTCGTTTTTTGGAGACATCTTTCACGTCCTCGCGTTTACAAACAAGTTGAGGAACAGGAATATTGGATAAAGTTGTATTGCGATTCTGATAGCCAACAATGAGTACAATACCAATATTTATAACGATTGGAACCTCTGTTTCAGCCTATATGCTGTTATGCGTTATGAAAAAAACCATTGGCCGAATACACTGATGGTGTTCTATACGGAGGACAGTTATGCTGACTTAGTGCGCGGAGCGGGGCCGATCCTTGCCATTAGCAATCAGTGCTAAGGCTCGTTGCTGGTATCAATATAAATCATTTTACTAACAGTATATACATTCGATCCCTTCTAGTAACGAGGTCGCTGAATATATGACATATTCCCTAGTTTTAGTTGGTCACTCTCTGTATCCACTTTTGCATTCAACTATATTCTTATCTCCTCCGAATGTTTTACAAATGGCTTGACTGGGATCGGAAACGGCCCGCCGGGCGAGGGCAGATTCTATCTAGAACTTGCAGTTATGAAATGATTGATATTGAGATAGCGCTGTTTGTAAGAAAGGGGCATTTTGGAAGCAAGTATAAATATCTCTCATATGTCTCGCGTTTCTCAACTCAAGTCAGTCGACTGAAGAAGCAGCTATTGGAGATTTAAACCGGCTTAATAACAATAATGGCAAAACTTTCTCTACTATATCTTTTATCTACACTCGTGGCCTATGCTGCCGCTGATGACGAAGTTCTTCGGCACCCAAAGCAATCATGTGCCCATCTCAAGGCGCCATGCATCCCTGGTGCCGAAATCATATCGATTAATGGGACAGAATTATGGAATTATACTGTCCCCGCCGTCCCAGGGCTTCTCCCAAGCCCAGTTTCCGATCTGGATATATGTGCCGTCGACGTGGTTCTTACTCATCCAGGCGCACATGACAAAGTCCTCGTCAAAGTCTGGATGCCCCTAGAGGGTTGGAATGGGAGATTTCAAGCCAACGGGGGAGTCGGCTACGCAGCCGGCGAACTGGATCTTACCCTAGGCCCTACCATTAAGCAGGGATACTCCTCCGCATCTACTGATGCTGGTGTAGGCTTCAACCCATCGTCGCCTGAGGCCTGGGCCTTACGACCAGACGGTTCCGTGAACCGAGATGCACTCGTCAATTTCTCCTATCGTTCAGTCCATGATATGGCGTTGGTCGGCAAGGAGATTACGGAGCAATTCTATGGCCAGAGGCCCAAATACTCATATTGGAACGGATGTTCAACAGGCGGACGACAGGCAATGGTTGCAGCGCAGCGATACCCAGATCTCTTTGATGGGATACTAGCAGGTGCTCCTGCAATCTACTGGACAACATATGTAATTGCAGAGCAATGGCCGCAGGTGGTTATGAACATGGAGAAGTCGTTTCCTTCGCCTTGCGAGCTAAAGGCATTTACCGACGCCGCTATTGGTGAATGCGACGGATTGGACGGCGTCATCGACGGCGTCCTCAGTGATCCAGATGGTTGCCACTTTAACCCATACGCACTGGTTGGACGAAAGATTTCCTGCGATGGGGTGAATGTGACTATCACAAAAGCAACCGCCAGGGTTGTTCAGAAAGTACTCCAAGGCCCCTTTGGACCAGATGGAGAGTCAAGGTGGTATGGTCTGAATCCTGGTGCTGCGTTAGACAGCCTTACGAACACCAATATAACCCATGGGAAACGAAGCGGCCTTCCCTTTTTCGTTAACGATGCTTGGATTAGATACTGGATCGCGAAAGACCCCAACTATGATCTAAGCAAAATCGACTATTCCACACTAGATCGGCTATTTGCCCAGTCAGACAAAGAATATGACGCCATCATCGGGACTGATAACCCTGACCTTTCCGGATTTCAGAAGTCGGGCGGGAAATTGCTAATGTGGCACGGCCTTTCCGATCAGCTCATCTTTCCCAAAGGAACGGTCGAATACCGGAATAGAGTTGAGCGACTGATGGGTGGCTCTGAAAATGTGAATGAGTTCTTTCGGCTTTTTCTTGCTCCTGGCGTGGACCATTGCGCAGGCACTCCGTCGCTCGGGGCGGTGCCCACGGATCCGCTTGCGGCGCTGGTAAACTGGGTGGAAAACAAGAGGGCGCCTCTCAGTTTGGCCGCGAAGATAGCGGGATCTCAAGGTGGCGCTCGCATTATCTGTCCTTATCCCCAGATTGCCCAGTACATCGGAGGAGACACAAAATCCGCCAATAGTTTCAAGTGCATCTGAGCTGGCGGTGCAATGCAAACCGGGAATCGCTAGCAATACGCGTGTAAAACTTCGTTTCGCCTTCTCTTCCACTTCTGAAGTATACACTGTCTGTTTAGTGTTATTACCTTTTAGTATTTGAGTTTCCTTAGTCCAATAATTCAACGTGTCAGATTTTAGCATCAAATCGCCCATTCTTAACAGACTGTTACCAGGGCTTATATTCAAGACCCGTGAGGCTGAGCCGACAGTCACGGTCAGCTCGGCAATTCCTTCTTTGTCGCAACGCCAGCGGACTCCCTTCAAATTGACACAGTAGCTCATGATTGCTGGGACTATCTGCTCAACAACAGACTTGGCTGACATGAGACGGCTATTTCTCCATTCCCATCTCAGGAAACAAGATGACAACATCGACAGTTAAAGACGGTCGTGCACTGCAAACGTGTGGCAATTGCAGAGTGCGGAAGAAGAAGTGCGATAAGGTCTTTCCTAGTTGCACAACTTGTCGAAGGTGAGTTGATTTATCTCCAACTTACTGAAAAGTTCTCTGATAAGAACAGGAAATTTATCAGCTGTAATTATGAGGAAAATCGATCTCAGCATGAAATACGCACGCTTCGCTCGCAACTGGAGTCGCTATCAAACGGACTGAGTGTCGTCGGCGGGCCTTCACTCATTCCGTTATCCTTGGACTCCACCACGCAGCATTACCCAATTCCATCTCAATGGTATATGCCATTCTTGGTCAATCACTGTACGTATTTCCTAGAGAGAGTGTTACGCTCGAGTGTATGGGTAAACTCACCGTCCCGCTGATTATGACCTCTGTTTCCCGAGGTCTCTTAGAACCAACTTCAATCACTCCCACGAATACTCAAGGAATCAATGGATGCAAGCCTCATTCCAAGATCCGTGCATGTTTCACGGAATTCTTTTTGCTGCGTCATCCCATCTAGAAGTGATTCGAGGAGAAAATGGCAATCCCGTAACTCATTATCATCGGCGACAGGCAATAAAGCTCCTCTTGGAAAATATTTCGGCCTCTGGAACTGCATCTGACACTTCAATAGCCACGGCAATGTATTTGTGGCACTATGAGGCAAGTAGGTTGTGCAGATGAGACGTTGGGCCAAGGCTAACACAGTGAAGAGCATGAATAGCCACCTAGATGAAGCAAGGATCCATAAAAAGGGCTTACTGCAAATGATAAATGCAAATGGAGGCCTAAAAAAGCTTGGATTTGGTGGGTTTCTATCACATATGATTACACTGTAAGCCGATCCGTCTGTTCCATAATTCCACAGTCACAGTAACTGTTCATTCAGGATTAGTATTGGTGACGCCATTCTGAGTGCCTCGAAACCAGTCTTTGGTGCCATAGACGGATGTCAATTTCCTGAGGCACCAATCACCCTTCTCTCAGCTAGCTTGCAACGTCCGGACAAGTTATTATATTCCAGTGGGCTCAATGGCTCGTTATTATCACTGCTCAACGAGGTTCATAATGCTTTGCTTACTTTCGATCCACAAACCACACCGGGAGACTACTGGGAGACACCTTTATATATAAAAGACAAGTACCCGACTGGAGATTTTGAGGAAGATGGGCCTTTCCATGCCGCATGTTGGTACGCTGCGAGTATCCACCTAATTTGCCTCAAGCTTCATATACCTTTCTCATCAGACGAGAATCAGATATTTTTGGAAAAGTTACGATCCTGTATTATGGTATTTTTCAAAGATAATAACGAAGACCTGGAGAGAGAGATTTACATATGGCTATGTTTTACGGGCGCCGCTGTTGCTAAAAGAGACAAGACATGGTTTCTTGCAAAGGTCGGTCCCACAGTCGCGTCACTACGTCAAAAACAACTAGGTGATTTTAAGAGAGGAGTTCTACAATTTGCTTATGTTATCGAAAAGCTGGAGAGCATCAGGCGTGGTATGGAAGAAGTATAAATTCGGATTGCTATAATGTTAATTAGTAATTTAGAATTAGATAAGTATGAAATATTGCTGTTATTAATATAAATATATATATTTATGTGTTAAGAATCCCCTAAGAATCCCCTAAGAATCCCCTTACCCTATAACAATAACCTAGGATTTAGGAACTTAATTATTAAACTTTAATAAAGGTAATTAAAGCCTTACTATTATAAGTATATAATTTAGCTTGGATTAGGTCCCCAGTCCTTCCAACAATAGCAAGTTTAATAAGGTAAATAAAAGTATAGTTCAATAGGGGCAAAAATCAATGTAATAATATTACTGGAGATAACACATTTCTCCAAAGTCTAGCGACTATCTCAGAGCTTAAGAGCCCGAGATATTAAATAAGGGGACCCGTAGAGCAAATAGTTAAACTTTAGGTCTTATCTCAACTTATTTGGGTTTGCGGTTGAGAGCAGAAGGTGAGTGTACTTGAGATTCCTAATTGACGATTATTTATAGTGCTGGCTTTGCTACAAATTGTCCACTAGTATATAGGTTCCTGTAGGGTTATTACTAGAGTTGATTAGAGTCTTACCATAGTAGGGACTTTTTTGTACCGATCAATATTTTTAAATGCGTTGCCCCTCTACGTCTGGTCTTGGTATGGGTATCACAATGGGATATCGCTTAACTTGGAGCTTGCATGTCTAAAATACTGATAGTTTCTTGGCTTCAATGGCCCAGCTCTGGTACCATCAATACAAGTAACGGTATGATGGATGATGATCACAGAGCTCCTCCAGGCTCTTGCTTTCGTCCGGGTTGCGCTCACCTCTCGCATCTAATTCCGCTGCCAGAGTGTCTTTCTCTTGATTGTGGCGTTTCATCAAATATGTCATCAGAATAAGCAAAATGAAGGTGAGAATGAAAAAGCCCAAAAGCACGCCATGGCCCTTGAAAAAGCGAGGAGGCTTGTTATAGATCCTGCTGGCCAGAATACTGAATGCCTGACAGAAGATCTGGGTGATCCAAGTGGCAGCAGCTCGCTTAGTGTAGCCGGCGTTGCTGCTAGGAATCCAGCCCGACACAATAGCGACACCAGGATATACAGCTGCAGTCACTACGCTGCTGGCAAATATACCGACAGCCGGTCTTGTCTGTGCCAGGATGATAATGAAGCCTATAATAGCCACACCAGTAACAATAAGCATAGGGATGAATCGCACGACCAGCCTGTCTGATATACGCGTCACGGCGATCAGTGAGATGAAGGCCACGCCATATGGGATAATGGTGTAGAGCTGTGTGACCAGCGGCGGTACGCCAAATGCATGGATGAATGTCGGGAGGAAAATACTAGACAAGCTCATTAGAGGATTGTTTGTTACTTCTGACAAGTGAGTGGGGAACATACGAGAATCCGGTCAAACCAGTCGCGTGTGTCGCAGCGATGAACGCCATAATCCAGACTTTGATGTCTTTGATGGCTGTCTTGATCTGCCAGAATTGCACCTTGGCGCCCAAAACTTGCTGCGCTGTAAAAAAATGTAGGTCAGTACTTTGTCCTTGGATAAAAGCTTGGATATTTGGATAAACATGCCTGCTTGAGATCTAACTTCGATCAGGCGTCGTTCCTCCGGATCCTTGAACCAGAGGGGCCGTTTCTTTGCTAGCTCTTTTTCGGGAATCTCCGGAAGGACAACCCAGATAACGAAAGCCCATATCATAGTTGCCGCGCCTTCGATTATAAACAACCACTGCCACGCACGATGGCCCCCAGCACCTTCCAGACCCCGATTAACGCCGTAGGCGATGAGACCCGAAATAGCTCCTGCAATAGGAGTGAATGCAAATAGATAACTTGCTCGTACGGACATTTCTTCGCGACGATACCAGAGGGACACGTACACGAACCCCGTCTGCACTGTTGCTTCTCCGAAGCCCATAAATAATCTCAGGACAAGAAGATGGGCATATGTTTTGGCGTAGGCAGTAAGGAGTGCGGAGACGCCAAAGATAAGAGCAGATATGGCATACACAGTTGGAGCGTGGAAGACACGAATCAAATAAAACGCAGGGCCTTCGAAAACCGCGTACCCAATGACTAAAGAGCAGGTATATGATCAGATCTGTGCACCTTTGAGAAGATGAGTTAGGTTCGAGCTTACAGAAAATCAGAATGCAGTTGAAGAAACGATCGTCGGAAAGGCCAAGATCTTGCTGGAGACCCATGATTCGAGCATTGCCGATAGCACCACGATCCTGTTACTCGTTATCAGCATCTGAAGTTCATAGTCATCCCATATTCTTTATTTCATACCAAGTAGGCAAAAAAGTATGATAATCCGAACATCATACAGACGACAAAATCTGTCTTTCGGACGAGTTTCTTCTCGGACTGGGACTGTTCTCCAGTAGGAGGCACCACAATGTCGGGAGCAGCCTCTTCTAAGTGGACCTCTTTGGGCATCTTCTCGTCACCTGGCTCTGGGGACACGCTGGTCCGGTCGTGGCGATCCATAGTAGTGGTGCTTTATTGAAACACGATGGGGATCTGATTTGACTGGATTTTCGCAAAGTGCCAACAATCGCAATCAGTGATTGAAAGTGAGTGTCAAAAACATTGTCTCGGGATGAGCGGTCTTTAAGTAGTGCAGAATGCCCATCGAGGCAAGGGCCTGTCGTTAGACGATCCCCAAGTTAACACCTGGAGTATGGAGATAAGTCTTTGATATATTGGATCTAAACAAGCCGCAAACGCACAGTGGCCTTAAGGTCCATATACCCCGGAATCTATCAAAAGCTGGGGAATCCGGGGCTTTGCTGGGCTTCTAAAATACAGTGCGTCGTATACTTAGAACGCGCTGATGGCAAACTTTCTTTAACAGGGGTTCAATCGGAGGGTTGCGGCAGGGATGCCGATATTCACCTCCTAGATACCTGAGTATAAAGATAACAGTCTACTTTAATCTATTGGATCTAGAACAAGCCGCAAACGCTAAATTCCCCTAGGGTACAATATAATCATGTAATTCTAACTAAAGCTGGGGTTATCTGGGGCTCTGTTGGGCTTCTTAAATACAGTGTGCTGTGTACTTATTACGCACTGATGGTAACCTTTCTTTAACAGGGGGTCCAACCGGGGATTTATGGCGGGTTTTCCGAAAATTACCTGAGTCCCCCTGGGGGAAAAGGGCATATCTCGCCGGAGCGCGGCGGATCTAGATGCAATATGCGGGGGGGGGGGGTGGGGGGGGGGGGGGGGGGGGGGGGGACTGTTCATGCAATGTCGAAACTGCAGACCAATCCAGCAAAGCCATTTACTATAGAGTAGGTATTAGGGGGTGCAAGCCTCGAACCTATGAGCACACTCACTATTCCGGCCAACTCACCTTACAGAAACACCGAGTAGCAATCCGGCCCGATGCCGCAAGAGTGGCCGGCTTCGGACCGTTGAAGCAAGTATTAAAGTGAATCCTGTTGCAAGTATAATGCATTGCAAGTTGTTATCTGTCTGTCGAAACACTCTTAGTTTCCAGACAAAGCTGATCTTATACATTTCCCCCAAGTCGGTAAAGCTTGAAATATTACCTGACTAGAGTCCCATACCTGAGATACATCACAACCAAGAGCCTCGAGCCAGTATACTCCATACCAACAGATTTGGCAACATGTCTTCAGATGAGATCGTTCGCCGTTATGATTATAAGGGGGATGCAAAGCGTGTTTACGACGTGATTAAAGCCGGCGGAGTCGCCATCTGTCCCGCGACAATTGGCTATGGGATCATTACCTCAGAACCGCGTAAGCTTGAGAAGATCTTCCTCACCAAACAGCGCGCAGCCACCAAGCGACATGCTATGGTCGGATCGTACCCTATCCACCGAGCCCTTCATGTTATGGACAAGCTTGGCCGGGAGATTGTGGACCACCTAGTACTCGACCTTGACCTTCCCCTAGCCGTCATCGCCCCGTTCAACAAGGAGCACCCAATGTTCGAGAAGCTCGACGATGTAACCATGGAAGCTGCCTCTGTCAATGGCACTATCGCCATTTTGATTAATGCTGGGCCTTTCCAGGACGAGCTCACAAAATTGAGTCTAGCCGACAACCAGCCAATCCTTGGCAGCTCGGCCAACATTTCGCAAACAGGTATGTCAAACTTCGCCAAATATTCATAAGTAGAGAGTAGCAACAATAAATGCAGTCTATAAAGGGTTTACTAATGTTTATGAAAAGGCACAAAATACCGTAGAGAAGACATTCAGCCAGAACTGAATGAAATTGCGGACATTGCACTCGACTATGGCCTTCTCAAGTACAACATGTATCGACGAAGCTCAACGAGTATGTAAAGCCTTTGAGAAATTATCGACTCATCTCATAACCCACACCTACACCGGAAGCGCTTGACTGACTGTTTTTCTTGAAGTGATCGATTTCAGTGGACCCAAGCCGGAGATTATAAGAATCGGAGCGTGCTACGAAATTATCAAGGATGCGCTATGGCGCCACTTCAAGATCGAGACGCCTGAGGACCTTGGGTTGGATAAAAACCCGTTCGGACATCTTAAAACCCAAAAGCCCCTAGAGTCCCTTGAAAAACTCATTGCGACCCCTGGGAATAAGATGTCATAGGACTAAGCCATTGAACTTATTGTTCTTATAAAGTCGCTTTTATAGTAGCACTCGGGTATAGTCTTAATAATAAAATAGATAAATAAATAAATAAACAAGTTAGTTATTTAAATCTAGAATATAAATAGTTCCTATTTCCGAATTGCAGTAAGGTAAAATATTTTATAAATTAAGAAAAATTACAGTAGCTATAACAATCTGTTATACTATTAAGCCAACAGGGGCAAAAGATTAGGCCAATAACCACTATAAAAGCAGTTACTGTAATAGAACCAGCTGCCTATAAGGTATCTATCTGTCACAGTGAACCAGGTTGTGACAGATTCGGAGTTTATTATTCGCCTTAAAGTGCATGGCAGCAGTAGTATAAGGCTAAGCACCCTGTAAGACTATAACGTATATGTATCTCGGAGCTTATTAACATCCGAGTTATTGCGGCTTAACTTTAATTACTATCCGCAAGCACCACCTGGTATGTTTAGAGTCACTAGTATATAATGTCTATAAGCAGTAAAAAAAATACAATTTGACATTAACAAACAACACCCCTTAGCTTCATCCATAAATATCCAAAGAGATATCAAACATTGCTAATAAATCTCTATCCACCAAGTCCCAGCGACCATATTAAACCCCGTGGTGCAAAGCCCCTAATCTCAAATATGCATGTTCTAGTTATCGGTGGGGGTATTGGTGGGTTATGTCTTGCACACGGCCTGCGTAAAGCTGGAATAGAAGTACGGGTTTTCGAGCAACAGGTCAGGGCTCTTCACCCAGGGCAGCATGATTGAATTTTACTAAATCATTTACAGATTGAAAGGGCCGAGAACTTGGCTGGATATGGTCTTCATATTGACCGAAATGGCCGACGAGCTTTACGCTATTGTTTGCCGCTTTCCAACTGGACACGACTCCAATCACTCTTAACGTCTGCTGGAACGCAGCTGTTCTTCCGTGACACTCAACTTCGAGTCTTGGCCGAGAAAAATGACGTCGAGTTGAGTGGGAAATCCGCACATGAAGTCGAGCGAAGTGGTGTGGGAAGGTTGGATCTTCGCGACGTGTTGATAGATGGGCTTGACCACGGAACAACCGCCGTCATCGAATGGGGACGAGCTTTTACTCGATATGAACAGCTTGAAAATGGAAAAGTGCGCGCTCATTTTGCAGATGGTACCTACGAAGATGGCGATCTCCTAGTTGGCGCTGATGGTCCCAACTCGGCGGTCCGCCATCAATTCCTGCCACACATAGAACGCCTGGACCTTGGAGTATCTGCAATCGCAGGCCGATACATTCTCGATGAGAAGAGGGTCGCAAATCTCCCTCTAGAACTGACCAACGGAGCGCTGAATAACATCGTGCCATCTGGAAGAGGATGGATGTTTATCTCGGCGTGGCGCTCAAGACCTGCTAACGGCGATGAATCTTCCGCACCTGAGCACTACATTGTCTGGGCCTACGTTGCACCATCAAGCGACATACCACAAGGTGAAGGTCCGGTATACGGGGCGGAGCTACATGATTATGTTCTCAATGCTATCAAAGGATGGGCACCAGAGTTGCAAGAGTTGGTGACGAGCAGTGATACCTCTACCACCAAGTGTTTGTCATTGCGTTCGATGCCCATTCTGACATCATGGGAGTCAAGCAACGTGACGCTTCTTGGCGATGCAATTCATAACATGACGCCAATGGGTGGCATGGGAGCCAACAGTGCGCTCCGCGACGCAGAAACTCTTACGCGCTGTCTTATCGATGCTGCTGCCGGAAGGCTTTCCATCACTGAAAGTATCAAGACCTACGAAGAGGAAATGAGAGTTTATGCAAACGACGCAATCAAGCTGTCAACATCCAACGCGATCAACGCTTGTAAAGGAGGTACTACACAACGCTTGGTGTTCCGGGGCTTCTTGCGTGCTGCTCAAACTTTTCCTGTTATTATGCGAGCGACTATAGGACGCTCGTCGGTAAAGCAAGCATGAGGAAAATATTGCATTTGGTGCTTGTATTAGGTGCAAGGAGTTGGAGATAAGAAGGGCAGGACTGTATAAACTTGCAATTCTCAAGAGCTACGTAATTAAGTTTATAAAGACATTTATATTATTATCTAGTTATACTTATTTTCAGATGATGGTTTTATTTAGTAGCTACTATTAAGTATGAAAGATTAATATTACAATTGTTTAGAATTACTTTCTATTACTTGGTGCTGTAAGACTGGATTATATGTAATTAATAATATACCTTTTTAGAGAATTCCATTATTTTCCATCATTATATAACTAAGCTAGCTATAAAAGAAGAGAAAAGCTTTCACAACCAATTTCTTTATAAGATTTCGCTAGTTATTTCTTTTCTGGACTGGCCTGATTAAATGTAATGCTACCCACTTCTTGATTAGCTAGGGACCTGCGCAATAGCCCGAGCGCGTGACCCGGAGCTGAGACACAGCTCTGGGTCGAATAGGGTTCCAGATTATGTCTAGACTGCAAAAAAAAAAACATTGTATATATATATCACTGGACAATGGATCATGCAATATTACTTATTGGTATAAATAACAGAACATGGTAAAGATGTTGAATTCTCTACCTTTTCAGCAAAGCTATACCAAGGTCTAAATAACAAACAGATCAACAAACAAACAGCGAACCAAGCAAGCAGACAAACACCACCTCGGCACACGAAACAACACATGATCACTGGTTGTAGCTGTGACACTGTCCTCTTTTCCCCTCTTCGTGTCATCTTCCGATTCGTTCTCGGCTCCTAGGGTACAGTTTTTCTCAAATTCCAAGACAACTGAACCACTTTCGAGTTTGAGAGTAAAACTTGTCTCCGCATTCGCTAAATTATCGGAAGCAGTTTGGCAAGAAGCAGCTTTTAAATTAGCGTATGCAAAACATTAGACATTTTAGAAATCTTCACAGTTTGTTGTTGCCGCCTATACAATGGTTGCTAGGAGTATAATCGATATATATCTGGAAGCCTGGCTCTTCATCTTCGTATTTCGTATAAGACTTATACTGAGAAGATTTGTTAAGTTTATATGTCAAATGTAGTGCATGGGGCAGTTGCTAAAACATTAAGTGCATTGACAGCTAAGACCCAGAAATACTCGTGAGATTTATAGATATATTTATGGTTTCTGTAGTTATATTCATTGTATGTAGGTACTTTGTATTACGTATACGAACAACCTATTTCTTTTGCTTTGTATATGACAACTGATAGAGCCAGTCGCTCCAAATAGTGAAGATAGTATAATGAACCGACTTACATAGTGAATATCTCCACTATTTGGGATCACTGGCACTACTAGTTAGTACGATCGCCATACTGCGCCCCGTGTTGTTCAAGATAGTGACTTCATTGTGATTGTAACTGCCTAGTTTCTTATACATGGCAGCGTTAGTCTTAAAGCTTTTGAAGTGAGTGGTGACAATAAGTTAATAGCATGTAGGCAAACTCGTAAATAGGAAAATGTAATCTACAATGTGCCCGTGCCGGCAAGAGCCACACTCTTTTGCAGTTGTCGGGGATGTCTCCATATCTGGTTGGTTTAGCGAGCCAATACTGCCATCTCTTCTATACGCCCAACCTAGAAACCGGTGGCCCGGTGCATTTAAACCCTTTGCTTCTCGATTGGCGAGTTAAGATTTCTGCTATTGGGAGCATCGTTTCGTTTTGAGTGTCCCACAGAGTAAAGAGCCGATCTATTAGCACGTGTGTATATTGACAGCATAAAAGCGTCTGCTTCGAGAGGATTATGACCACCGTGTGCGTTATAAGCCCTTAATTCCCCATTAAACCTCCACACGTGTCTTATTACAGTCAGAGTTCAGAGGTGGCTTCGCTAAGCAATATCCATAGTCGTAATAAGCGGCCATGTTATCTATCACTAACGGTGGCATTGCGCGAAACTCAACCCCTTACCACTATAAAGAAAGCGATTGAAAATTCCAGCCGATTTTGGTTTGATAGTATTCGACAAAGTGACAAAGGCCTACAGATGAAGTCATCCTCATGTCCAATCCTTGAAGCGATGTCGAGAATACGAATGCCTTATTGAGAGATACCGCCCACACAGTGTTTGGCGGAATTCCTTATGTTAAGCTGTCGATTGTGTATCTTAAGAGCCTTTTCTTTCACCTGACCGATACCAATGTACAAGTAGTTGACACCCTTTTCATTACCATATGATTACGCAGCTGATGAGGACGACGAGAATACTGCGTGGATTACCAGCCCGCTAGCCGATCGCCAAAATTATCCATTCCGTAATAAAAGTTGGACATTGGAATCTCCTGTTCCGACATGATGGCAAACCCGTAGTCGTCTGGCCACAGCCCGACACCAAAATCACCAAGGCTCGTATTATCACCCAAAGTATCCTGAGCTCCGGTAACTACGTCTGGTGGCGTAGGCATATATTCTCCCGGACCTGGAGCATTGCTTGCTCGAAGCGTTCTAGTATGCACGGATGGCGTCGGAATGCTCTCTGCAAGATGCATATTTCCAACAGAATCTCTAATCTGGAGCACCACCGCTGCTGGGGCGTACAGTCCATGTGAGCTTGCCTCTTCGAGGGCTTTGGAAACACTGCGCGCATAGTATGCCCACTTGAGAGTGTCATTGTCGATGATTTGGCTGATCTTGTCGTTTGGATCAGTGACGCGTTTTTGCAACATGGCCAAGGCTTTAAAGGCATATGGGATGCGAAAGAATGTTAGAAGTGGCAGCGATCGGATATTCTCTGGACCTGTTTTCAACAGAACATCCAGGATGGACTGACAGTCACTGATAAATGATAAAAGTATGCGGGTATACGTGGGGCTGAGAGGAGCGCGGGAGCCGGGCAGAGGAGCGTCAGTTTTGGTGGCCAACGATGGTAGACTGAGGCTCTGGACATTGTGATCAAAGCAAATGACAAGTTCGTGGAGTTTGCTTTTGCACAGGGTAAGATCAATCTCCAGGGAAGCTGCTACGGTGAGTTTGTGCATCCCAGCCTTGAATACAGATACATACCGGTCATAATCTTCGGGTCAAGCGCAGCCTCCCATTCTCGCAAGCGCTGTTCGAACTGAGCAGACTTCTCTTTGACGTTGATATGCTCCACTACGGCAGGATCAGAGCTCATCTCAGCCTCTCTCTTCATACCCTCTACATCTTCAGCTATGGCTTGCAGCTGAAGCCACGACACGAGTCGCTGGTCACTCGTGTCAGTGGCATATTGCTTGAAGATGGTCAACGCCACGCCAGTGGAAGGGCTGAACGATATGATCCTCTGTCGTCGAAAGCTAATGGCAATTCTACTGACATATTAGATAAGGCGTTCAAAAGAATTATGAGTTTGCAAACCTTGAACATGTCAAATAAACACCAAACATTGCTCGATACCTTTCCAGCATGCCCTCCGAGGCGTCTTGAGAAAGTTCAGCAATGTCTTGGTTCTGTGCCTGCCATGATGTCCTGCCACCAAATCCGAGATCCATCGCCATCGTACATGCGGCATGAGACCACTGCGATATGTTCAGGTTCTCTAAGTCAGTTGGGGGATGTCCCCATACTGCGGTTATGAGAAGTGCCTGAAGCAGGTCAAGGCTTTTATGGCCCTGCACGTAGACTACATGAGCCAGGCTTTTCGTATTTTGCAGATGCATATCTTTGAATAGCTGTGGCTCCAACACGCTGCAGGCTGCTGTAATCATTGCGCGGGTTGAATGCGGCCGATATTCCTCTAATGACTCGAATGGCATGTCGGCCACTGAGCGAACCACCGGGTACTGCGGAAGTAGCGTATTGCAGAAACAGCGAATAAGTTTCGTCTTGCTGGCCGATGTAAGGTTCAACGTCCTAGAGCCGCTTTCTGATGAGCTATGGCCTTTACCGTGTGAGACGTTGACTAATCGCCGGAGTGGAAGCCCAGACGAGTTGACGAGGGGCAAGACATTTGTGTCCGAGGTTACGAGCCCAGTATTCTCGGTCGACCCAGAGTCCAATGTGCTTTCATATTGATGGAGACTATTTGGAGAGTGAGAACCATCGGCAGAGTCCCCAACAGAACCATCAAGGACAGTGTTCTTATCGAGATTGTTCATGGCCGCCGTGAGCGATACAATCTTTTCCTCTAGATCCGTGATGCGCGAGCCAGTGCGGGTGCGGTTTCGGGTCTTTGAGATTTCTTTCCATTCGCAATCAATTACCTGTGCTTGACAACGCCGACACTTGCCGCTCTCTTTGAGCGTGTCGGTGTAGCATCGCGTCTTTCTCCTGCGACAAGCCTGGCAGGCGTGTTTGCCAATGCTGCGAGAAGCCTTGGACGCGGTCATTGCAGTCGGACCTATTATTCAGGCCTCTTATAGAAAAGCGGCACAAATGAGATGCCCATTTGCATCATGAGTATACGAATAGTTGAAAATGATGCCGACGAGATTTCTCTGTTTGAAAAGAGAGGGGCTGTCTCCAGGCCTGCCGTAAAGCTTAACGTCACCTAATCTTACAGCTCTTCCAATTCCGGTGCCGCGCCAACAAACCCACAAATCGCCGGGAGGGGCGCACTTGTAAGTGAAAGCCAGGTAGGAACTTGCCTACCAGTATGCTGATAGTTTCAGAGATATTTGGTTCATGTCAGATAGTCTTGTGAACCTCTGACTTCTCTCTCGCTAAGCGGTCATGGTTGATGTGGTATGGGTACATATAGTCAATGCTTGGTTTTACCACATGCTTCTGATCCAGTGGCCATTATTCAGTCTTCTACAATTAAGCTTAAGGCTGTTAAGCATTTAGCTGCAGGCGGTAGTATAATCCCCAGCGTAGCTCGTGTCACATCTTGCAGACAACGCAAACGCGCCAGTGAGAGACTGTCCAATAATACCTGTTCACCGTGTATTTGAACGCATGAAGTCCAATCATGTCATAAACCAAGAACATTGAAATACAAGACTATGCTGTATGCTGATTGGGCACTCGGTGGCGCCGATGGACTCCAAGCTTACTCCAAGCCTAGGAGTTTTAGACGACGATAATGCGTAAGACCTTACGTAGGACAGGCGCAGCCACGCTCGACTGATTGATGGATAATTGGCATTTATAAAACATTCTTACCCTAGCTACGCGTATGGGGTTAGTCTTTGTCAGGAGGAGAACCGAAAGTACGGAGGTTAATAAGGTCCGACTGATCTAAGGTCGACTTAGCTTGGCGAGCGGACGATAATAACATCCGCGACAATGTTTACGGGGTACGGAGTACGGAGTACACCTGTCAAACCCACGAAATCGAAAGGCTGAGTATCCAGGATGAAGGCATCAAAATGGGTAAATTACGAGGCGAAGCCTGTATACTGCACAGATATAAAGCTGTTTATACCTCCTAGGAAGACTCGTTCAATCTCGTTCGCTTTAGGTACAAACAACTGCTATCAACCATACGACCATATCCATCATGATAAACGGAAAACTACTGTCACAGCTATTGTTGCTCGTCGGAGCGAGTGCACATACCTTGCATGCAACGGAGTTCGCTCGCGAGGCGGGAAAGGCCGCTGACGTCTTGGATAAAACCATTCAAGCCATTGGTGGAACTCAAGCACTGAATGCTGTAAATGGGCTCCAATACCATACTTCGTAAGTCTCACTTACATTTCTATTTCAAGCTTTTCTAATGTGACAAAGTCTCTTTCGAAGTCAGACGCTCACACAGAACTACGATGTTATTCGCTCGGACCAGGGTGTGTCCGAAGCCGGCTCTCAGTCGGTCTCCTTCAGCTTCGCCGAAAAGCAACTGCAACAGCGCATCGATCGAAAGTATCAGTATGGAGATTACTGGGTCTGGGCATTTCCCAACCTCCAGCCAGATATCGACTACTCCATGGTGGTGCAGTCAGGTCCAAATGGCTTTGCGTGCTTTAACAAAGGACAGAACTCCTTCTTCACTGAAGATCCATCTCAGCCCCTAGGCTTCGCGGATCCATTCCTAACCGATTACCTCATTCACTCAGCTCAGCAGCTAGCTTTGCCGTATCTACTGAAGTCTTTTCTTGAGAACCAGTCCAGCTTGATCCTCTCCTCGGTAGTTGAGAAGAACTATGGCGCCGAGTTCACCACGCTCCAGATGCCTGATATGGATCTTCTTTTGCTCATTGATCAGTCTACATTCCTACCATTTGCTGTCCGGGCCCCGGAAGATCATCTCATCTTTGGCCCTTCGACGAGCGACATGGTCTTCTTCAACTATACAAATGTTTCGGTTGGCGGCCATCAAATGAAGTTTCCTCACCGGATTCAGACGTTGTACAATACGGTCTCGGTTATAGAAGATTTCATCATTGACAAGCTCTCGGTGAATCCCAAATTTGAGGCTGATTTCTTCTCGCCCTCAAACTCGACCAAGACCAGCCGCACAGCCCCACGCTCCAGCTCAGACTACCCAAGGGCTGAAGTTCATGAGTTTTTTGAAACGGGACTTTGGGGCGGCCCATTCGGAGAGGTGTACAACTCTTCAAGCGTCCAAGCTGCACCCGTGTTCCCAAACGGTTCCACGCCAGAAATCATGAACTTGTTCGTAGGCTATCCCGACTACGTTCAGATGCTGGTCGAGATGGAAGACGGGCTTATCATTACAGACGCCCCTGCATTCCGATCCAGTATTGTCGTCGAATGGGTGAAGAAGAACATGGGAAGCAAAAAGATCACACACGTCGTGCCCTCCCACCACCATCGTGACCACGCTGGGGGAGTTGGTGACATTTTGGCGGCTGGTGCAACGCTGGTGATACCCGAGGTTGCAAAGCCGTTCTATGCAAACGTCAACGGGGGAAAGTTCAAGACTATCACATACAACGAAAAAAAGCCCTTTGTCCTCAAAGATCGTAAGGTGCAATTTGCATCGTTCTGGCACCCGAGAGCTGCACACGCCGAAGACTGGGTGTTTTCTGTCGCTGCGCCAGCGTGTTGGACAGATGCCAGTTCTGAATTCGCCCTTTTCAATGCAGACGTCGTCAGCCCTAGCTCTGGTCCGGCAGAAAGATGGGACACTGGGTATGCTCGAGGTTTTCTTCTTGACGCTATCGCCGACGGCATCCCGAGAACCGCTACTTTGATTGGATCCCACGGGTCAAGCGAAATTGGACTCGGTACACAAGACGCGCTGGCACACATTGCAGAGCTGGCTGGCGTGCCATATCCTGATCCAAAGACCCTGGGTAAACACAAGTGGTGCTAGTAAGAATATGCTCAACAGCCTGGTTTTTCTGGAATGTGTTTGATAAGATTTAGACTTTGCCAAGGACCGTTTTGTCTTTCTTTAGAATATGGAGGGTATTTTAATAAGGCTTTGTAGCCTACCTTTTATTATCGAACGCTTCAGCTATTGCTATAGTTTTATAATTACTTAGTTACACCGTGACCTTATACCTACCTTGCCTGAAAGGTATTCACTATTATAGAGTTCAATGCTTCTTATTGGGCTAGAGGAGCGAGACTAGCCTATATTGTGAATTTGGCATCTCGGAGCAGCGCCACACCTTAAACACCCCTAAATCAAGACGGGTATTTCTTTTTCTTCCTTGCCTTCTCTTTTGTTAAGAAAATCTCGAGAGCAGCTCGCCCACACTAAGAAGGCTCTCTTGCACTTCAGCAAACTCTTCAATGCAATCTCGACGTATCTAGATCGTTTATCATCATTCATTCGGAAGAGGTAACTGTTCTTACCTGAACGCATCCTCTTCCCTCTACAGTATGCCTCCCGCCTCATTTGACGATCTGCCGTTTCTCCTGATTCGCAACATCTGTGAACACCTTGCGACGTGGCACAAGCCGAGCCTATGCGCCTTTGCGCTTGTCAACAAGTCATGCTACAACGCTGCCATTGCGCTGCTCTTCCGCCACCTTACTCTGCGCGTGACCAAGGAAATTCATCCAAAGTTATCCATTGCACAGCTTCGCCAGATTCTCGAGCGAACCGATAGTTTTCGGTTCGTCCGTCACCTTGCCTTAGACGGGTTCGACCAGTGGAAAGAAGGATACGATCGGCCAAACTGGCATACGCTGGATGTAGATGCGGGGAATGTGGAGCCCACCAACCTTTCAAGAGTCGCGGTTAATTGGGAAAGGCGATGGAAGGTGGACGATGGCGTGTGGGATCTGATCGCAAATCTTATTCCAGATTTGCCTGGCCTTTCAGATGTGACTTTCGCCTGCTCGATTCGATTTCTTCCTGGTCTTCTCCGCGTTTTAGGTCAACATCATCCAAAGTGCAGACTGCACTTAGACTTTTTTGACGTAGACGATATTGAAGGAAGTTTGACGACTCATCAGCACATTGAAGAAATTATAACATCGCCACACCTACACGCAATCTGCGTCAGAGACAGTTCACTCGAGGGATATGGAACGCATGGCACTCCGAGTTATGGCCTAGACGCTGTGCGACGCATTATTGCCGGGCTGGCACCTAATCTGAAGAAAGTAAAGGTAATAAACACAAGTCCTGGCTGGTCAACGTTCCTTGCAGGCGCTCTGGCACAGGAGTGGCCAATATGGCCTGGCTTCGCATTCTCGGATACTAAGGCAGATAAGCGAATCAAGGGCTCACTAGAGTATCTTCAACTCTCCAGCATTGAGCCGCTCAACGATATTCACGACTGGATGTCGTGTATTAATGATTCCACATTACGCGTATTGAAGCTTGAGCAGCTTGTCAGCGAAAATGCCCTGAACTATCTTGCAACGGAATGTCGCTTTCCCGCGCTAGAAACCCTGGTGCTGAACGTGTCGGCATCTAATTTATCGTCTCCTCTGCCCGAAAGCTTTTGGAGCGCAGCAACCAACTTTCTTCTCAGCTTACCTCCTTTACTTGCACTAGGCCTTCTTGGAACAGCAAATACTTCATTTTTACAGCCGATTATCAGCTACCATGGCTCATCGCTGCGAATGCTGTGGCTTCATGGTGAGACGGCTTCGTTCGAGCTCATAAAGCACCTCTCGGAAAACTGCCCCTCTGTTCGCAAGCTGGGACTTCGAATGTGGCGTTCCAAGGGTGATGCTACAGAAGTCGCTACGTACGCTTTGCTCGGTTCGCTACCAATGCTGCAGGATCTGTCTTTGACCTTGGACTGCTCTGATACTCGTGTTTTGGCTGAGCAAGAAGGAGATGACGACTCCAATGCCGAGTTAGAGTCGCCCAATGACCCATCATTTGACGAGTTTGACCAGAAAATGCTCAAGGTACCGCTTGATTACAACCGTTATCCGCGCAAAGGCCACGTACGTGACGCATTCATAAATTGCGCCGTTGATGAGAATCTCGCTCGTTCTATTTTTGTTGTTATCTTGTCAGGGAAAAACAAGAGTATCAGACCTCTCCTATTATGCAGATTAAAGATCGATGTCATCGGAGGATGCAGTTTCGGAACGAGCGTTAGCGTAAGCATCCTCTCGGATGTGATTGACGAGCTGTCACGCTCGTGGACTGTTGAACGCAGTCTTGTACAAGCTGACGATATTTTGCAAAAGCTAGAAGTGCATGAGGGCACAAATCAAATCCAGCAGCGACACTTTGGCTGTAGTGACAGCCTTCATCCGGAGGTAGAGCAAATCTTTCGACGAATATGGCCGACAAAGGGAAAGAAAGTCTTAAACTGGCGAAAAGAGTGGCATAGTTTACCACTTGCAAGCAACATGGTATAGGACCAAGCACAGAAAAATTATATCCAGTGGTGAATGATTATTATGATCTAATATTTATTAATTATAGGAATTGAAATGCTTGTTCCAAGCGTTTATAGTGGAAAACAAAGCTGCTGCGACAATCACGACCATCCAATTTGATCATTAGTACTTTACTTGATCACAGTCAGGCGGTCAGGCAAGGTTTATAAGATCATTTAAAGTCGCCTTGTTGAAATGAAGTCCCCCGGTTATTAATACTGTGACATTTGTTTGTTCTGTTGTCGACATAACGTCCGGTGGTGGTTAAGGTCATAGAGGGTGACATGGATCATACGTCTGCGCGGAAAAAAGGAAACGAAAGGAAAAAAGAATCACACATCCTGACCTATTAACATAGCGAGATTAATTAGGCCTTATGTAAATTATTATATTTGCTTCCTAAAAAAAGATTAAAAAAAAGAGTTACTAAGTTTCGCCCACATCGCCTAGACTATAGACCATAGCCGAAGTAGATAAGTTGCTACATAGCTTTGTTGTCCATTCATTCCCTTAAATAGCCTAAACCTACTCCCGAGAATATGCATACAGTATCATAACCTATACGACGGGTCCATCTTGTCGAGCCATCTCATGTAGACGGAAAGCTCTTTCACGCCATACGGGGCTCCAGAAAATTGCTTGTGTTGCACGACATCGAATGTCTTTTCGACCGTATCTGCCGCCGGCAAGACCAAGTTGTCCTCATTTCCCAAAGCGCAAGCTGACGCGTGAGACTGTATCTCAGTAGCTTTCAAGAGCTGATACATGAGACACCGTGCGGATGACACAGACTCCCCTGCAGTGAAGACTCCGTGATTCTTGAGGAAGAGAATCTTTTTGTCGCCAAGGTCTTCGACGAGGCTCTTCTGTTCGCCTCGATCGACAACGATACCGTGATAATCGTGGTAGGCAACTGGGCCAATTTGGTGGCTTGTCTGTGCGAGTTCGAGGTAACCCTGTTTAACGCATGCAACACCTGTGGCCGACGGTTCATGGCAATGCATGACGCTTTTCAGACCAGGACGTGTGCGATGGATTGCACTGTGGATGACGAAACCGGCATCGTTAATGCCGAACAGATTGCCATTGCTGCCAGGGTGCTTGATAGATCCATAGGCACCAACTTTGATCAAACTAGTAGCTGTAATCTCGCCGTACCTAAGCCCGAAGGGATTGATCAGAAATGATTATGTTCCATCAGGATCAACGACTTTGGCGGTGAGGTGGTTGTATATGTTCTCATTCCAGCCAGCGAGCTGAAACAGCCTGTAGCAGGCGCGAGATCAATGCGTGTCCCCGCTTCGTCGTCCGAAAATTCGCGGAGTAAAGACTTCTGATGAAGACTACCAACGCTAGCAGTGCTGAATCGCAGGTCGGGGGGCGGATTGGTGTGGATAAAATCTGGTCATACTGGCTGAGCGCACGAAGCTCAAGCCTAGTGACGCCTGCCTAGGATATTTCATTGTCGACACCGAAGAAGAGGGGGCAGCTACTGCCCGCAGTCCCGTGAGACGCGCCGCTGCTACACCAACTCTGCGCGCACGAGCCAAGGTAGATGGCGTAAAGGGCATCATATCGATCAGTGCGAGTTTCTTGGTAATAAGAATAGCAAGTCGCGAAGTAGTACTTCGCGTTTATGCTCTTCACATCGACTATGACATCCCTTCTTTTTATATCTGGCCGAATTATTGGAAGCTACATCGTGCACCAAACCCAATGATTGCGTTAGTTACCTAACCATCAGATACTTGATCCGTATCTCCACGGGCCTCATTTTCAGTAATTCGGAGGCGGAACCACGCCACCTCTAAATCTTCCACTACCATCACCACCATTGCTTTAGTACCAGGTCGATCGGTTATGGGTTTACCGAGCTTGTGGGCGAAATGTCGGGTATGAAGAAATAAAGGACTAGCAATCGGCCCCGGGCTTACCGGGTTTTTGGGCGGAATTTCAGGGAATAGCTGACGCGTAGGAATGTGTCGCAGCGGTTTTAGATCGTAGTGTTAGTAGACAATATCGACCAATCGATGCCAAGAAATGCCAAGACCTGTCAAGCTTTGCCAAGAGATTAGATCGCCTGAAACAAACTCATGCCTCCAGAGAACCCTGCGCTATTTACAACTACCATGTTAAGCAGTAACCGCCTCAAGTCCATCCGCAACAGAAAATAATCCTTGCATTCACATTCGGAAAAACAGCAGCTAAAAAATCACCAACTACAGGCTATGCACTACAATGCAATATTGGTCTGACTTAAAGCAAGTTTATGGTAGTGAAATTGTAGCGCTTTTAAAACTCGCTATATTGTGTAAGCTTCCAAGCATTGGTCATGACCTAGAGGTGTTTTGAAACAGTTAGCACTAAAGTGGAAAAACCGTGGCAGTCAGGAGAAGACGCTACCGATATCTACAGCTGCGCCAGCCTCCTTGATACGTTGCTTACCCTCATTAGATCAACTACGTCTCAGGTTCATGACAAGTCGTCGTCTCCTTGCTTTTGTCGTAATTCTTGTCTCTATCAACACTTAGATGAGGGTCTTCGCCCAAATATAAATATCACGCCTAGCCGCTCGCCAAGGCCTTATTTTGAATCATCAGCTCTCCATTCTTCTTACTATAACTATCATTCGATTCTCCAATATCTATTCGTCTCTCAAAGTTTCTGGAAAACGTTTTTGTTTGACACAATGAAGTTCACTTTCGCTACTATTATTATTCCTTGCATCTTCCACAGCGCTCTGGCAGCGCCTATTAGAATTGAGCATGCCCTCGACGAGCATAGATTCGTGGAGAGAGGATTTGACATCAGAGATGCATTTTCTGTGAAAGCTCGCGATGAGTACACCAGGATTGCCAACAATGGAGATGCCGGGGCTGGAACTGAAGTAGCTGCTGTTGAAGCCACCAAGACCGCCGCCGGTGCCACCACTAGCGCTGAGACCTCAGCAGCAGCGAAAGACGACGCAAAGAAGACGGGCAAAGGCAAAGATAAGAAGAAAGGAAAGGACAAGAATAAGGGCAAGAAGGACAAGAAGGGCAAGAAGGGCGTAAATAAGGAAGAGAATGCTGTAGAAGCTCGGGAGGAGTCCGAGGATGATACCGAGGCGGTTGCCGAATCCACCAAGACCGTGGCCGCTACAGCGGCTAGCGCCGAGACCTCAGCGGCGGCAAAGGACGGTGCCGCAAAGGAAGGCAAGGGCAAGGGCAAGGGCGAGAAGAAAGATAAGAAGAAAGATAAGAAGAAGGATAAGAAGAAGGATGAGAAGAAAGGCAAAAAAGAAGGCAAGGGAAAGGATAAGAAGAAAGGGGCGACAGCTGCGGCAGCTGAGGCGACAGCAGCCAACTGAAAAGATCAAGCTCAGCTGCAAGCTGGACTTGCAAAGGTTAATTTTGGATTCAGGCACTTCAGATTGCAATGAAAGCCCAGAAATGGAACATCTGTCTTTTTCTTGACGCTTCTTGCAAATGTGACCAGTTTGTGAATTAATGCCAAGCTCTGCTATTTTTCCCATTCGCCCAAAAACACATCTATTATACGTCTAGATGAGGTAGCTGTCTATTTCCAGCTGTACCATAGCCCGAAACTGAAGTCTATAAAACAAGAGAAGCAAAGATAAGTTTATGATGTAAGGCGTTATGTTTCGTTCCATGTAAGATCACGTCTTTTAGATATTCAAGCTAGTTGAGAACTATGGTGTATTTTGCACAGCATCAATACATTGGCTTAGAATTCGTTCCATATGTTTGCAGTTCAACATGAATAATGAGTTTATTCGTAGTTGTGTCTTCTTCGGAATGTAAAACACGGGCCGAAAATAAGTTGACGACTTTATCCCCTTGGTTGTTTCTGTGTCCCGTGAGATAGTAGGTATTGGTGCCCACCAGGATACCTATGCTGCTGGTTTAGTGGGACTGGTCGTGGACTGCCTTGGCCAGCGAATGCCGTTGAAGACAAGGTTAATGGTGATGATTGTAGTAAATAGAAATAGAATCCACTCCAGTGCCCCAAAGACCGTCGCTGCCACGAGTGGCCCACAGCCGCTCTCTTCTGCCGGGCACTGATGGCTCCCGATGTTAACAGCTACAGCGATGAAACCAGCTAGCCACGACAGGAAAGCTATAGCTTCGACGGCGAGACGAAAATAGCCAACCAGTGTATGATCGGCATAACGGACTCTAGCAATGAGGAAGAAGAAAACGCCCAAAATTGTCCAGCCAGCACAGAACATTAAAAATCCCCAGGCATCAGGGACGCCATAGTAAACATAAAAAGTACCGATGTCAAAATGTTCATAGGCACTACGGCCGTGAAAAAGATGGATAGCTAAGCGACAAGGTTCGATTTAGCAGCACATCGGTATAATAGTATTCGTTCGACTCACCATGCCCGTCTGTTCCCATAACAATAATTGCGAATATGAGCTGCAGCGCTCTCAGGGTAAGCTCAACCTCAATATTTGTCGTTACGTTCATAGCTATAATGTTCAGCGAAAAGCAAACACTTGAAGCTCAAACTCGCTTTCGACAGAGAGTAAGGCTGCCTTTTGTATAATTAAGTTATTGAGGGACGGTGCTTCGTACAACACAATGATTCTAGCAACCAAAATCAAGAAAAGATAATGTATGCACAAGAACAAGCAAAAAAAATGAGAGAACGCGACAATGAAGACTAAATACCTAAAAATTGTGTCGCTGGCTCCCGCCAGATGTAGGTCCTTGATAGTGCGTTCCCTTTTCTAGTTAGGCATTTACGAGACTGTTTCTGGTTAGACGGTTACGAGGTCCCTGCCCACTAATCAAACGCTGGCCTTTATTAGCCTGATATCAACGCTATGCTGAATTTAGCGAACCAAGCCGACTTCTAGATGGAGGCCAGACGCGGCAGCCTCGTACATATCTAACCCTTTTCGACTGAAGTTGTTAATTGCAAAATCATGCAGATCCGGAAAGATACGAATAGTAGAGAGAAGATATATATATATTTGAGCTGGAATGCTTCATGACGATGGCTGTAGATCAGTCAACGAAACAATCTCTTCCAATATCTAAACCATTAGCACCTCGCTCCTTTTCTGCCCTTCCCGTCTATAATTTAGTTCCAATTGTCCCGACTTTACGGCCAAATGCCATCTTCCTGTCCTCTCGAAAACATCAGCAACTGCACCGTAGGGAAATGTCCCCTCAGCTGTGCTCAGGTGGAATACCTACCCACACTTGTCGGCAATATTTTATACGCTGCTGCTTTCGGGTTGCTCGCGCTCGCGCAGCTCGCGCTCGGTATTAAGTTCAAAACTTGGGGTTTCATGGTCGGTATGATCTGTGGTCTCGTCCTTGAGGTAGTTGGATATGCCGGGAGAATTATGCTATACGGCAACCCATTTGACTTTAACAATTTCATCATGTAAGATATTTTGCCCCCAAATCCTCCATCCTGCCAAAACTTCATACAAAAGCCTTAACAGCATTCATAGGTATCTCGTCCCCCTAACAATCGCCCCCGCCTTCCTCGCCAGCTCCCTTTACCTCTGTCTCTGCCGCATAATCATCTTCCACGGCCAACAGATTTCTCGCTTCAGTCCCCGCGCCTACGCAATCACCTTCATGACAAGTGATTTCATCTCTCTCGTCCTCCAAGGGGCCGGCGGCGGGCTCGCAGCTACCGCTAGTAATAACTCTGGGGGTGAGACAGGAAGAGCCGTTATGATCGCTGGCGTCGTATTTCAAGTTATCTCGCTACTTATCTTCATGGGATTGTGGCTGGAATTCGTACTTCGCCTGTCCAGATCCAGTTCGAGTGCCAAAGACCAACGTTTCACAGAGTTAAGAGACACAAAAAAGTTCGCTTGGTTCCAGTATGCGCTCGGCGCAGCTGTTGTGCTCATCTTTATCCGCTCAGTATACCGTGTTGCGGAGCTTCAGCAAGGTTTCAATGGTCCCATTGCCAACAACCAAGTGTCATTTATGATCTTGGAGGGGCCGATGATTTTCCTGGCAGTGCTTGCGATGACGGTATTGCACCCTGGCATTGCGTTTGGTAACAATTTGCACATCGCGGCTTGGTCCATCACGCAGCCCAGGAAGTCTCCCTCTGTTGCAGCTAGCCTCTATATGGAAGACATTCCCTTGCAACACAAGCGCAACTCTTTGTCAAAATAAGTGTGTGCTTGGGGCACTGGAAGCGATTGTAGTAAGGAGGCTGTACCCCGTCGCGCATGGTCCGCTCGCTATAGCAGCTAAAACTTGCCTCGTCTAGTTTGTTGGGGAACGATAGTCTCTTATATGCGCAGATGAAAGTGTTGGCAGGCGCTTAACAAAACCGCTGAAGCATCGCGGAGGCTGTTTCTGGACGAATTTGATGCTTTTGGCATTATTCGGCTGAAATTGCGACTGTAAAATCTCAGATTGGATCTTTAGAGTGCCTTGGAACTTGATGGATCTTTTGACTTAGGCACACCAGGGATATACTTAAGATTAGTAGTTGGTTAACGCCGCAGGATAAACCGTAGACGCCTTGAATGAAAATTCTAAAGTTAAACTCCTGATAGTGCTCTATACATCTAGCATAATGAAAGAAAGATATTCGATGCATCATAATTTGATATACTCCGTGTGTGTTTGCCACTCTCCTGACAAGCCCCACGGCTTTTTCCTAAATATAGCTTCAAGTGTGCCTGGGTAAATCGGGCTGGGCATGATGTCGTGGCCAAATGTGTTATAGTTCAAAGATACATCTCCCAGATTGTAGATTCGAGACTCTTCATCAGGCAGAGGAAGACCATGCAATCTCGAAGTCTCATCTGGCAACTCTTGCCCATTGAGATGTTCTTCTTCAAGATCAATAACTCGTTTGGCAGTTACGTAGGCGTAATGGCCATTCCAGAGCCCTTCCCGTCGAGGCGCCGATCGCAGCATTTCTAGCGCCCGTCTTCGAATGATAGGATGCCGGCATTTCAGCGCAGTATAGTACAGAGGTCCTAAGATTTGCACATCGAAAGATAGTGGCTGTGGTGTTACTAGTCCTGTGCCTGGCTTGGCGATGAGTTCCGCGTAATGCAGCAGCTCTTCAAAGTCGCTGTGGTAGGAGTCTGGAGCAGTTTCACTAGCAGTAGTGCATACTCGTATCCAGATGTAAATGACTTTGAAGTGTACCAAAAGTATATTAAGCGCATCCTGGTTTGATTGGCTGCCAACAGTCTGCACTCGTTGAAGAAGTTCATCTAGCTGTTCGCGCCATGTGTCTAGCCTTGTTTGAAGTTTAACCTGTTCAACGAGGTCATCGATATCAATTTGGAACGTAGCTGCCTTAAGAGTGGCTTTTCCAATGAATCGGAGGCAGGTATCTGAGACTTCATAGAGCCGTCGTCTGGAATCTGTAAGGTCTTTTTGAGGAGTGTCATGTTCAGATGCAGAAGAATACATTCGCGGAGTCATTCTTCCAGCGAGAGAACACAGCACATTTAGGCGTAAGAACACCGGGACGATATGGTCTTCGATGGCTTTACGATCGTTAGATGCAATGCTAGACCCAACATGCAGAGATCCATCATTGTTATAACGGAGCGCAGCGAGGATGTTGAATCCATTCTCAACGTGAAACAAAGAAGAATGGATATTGCCCCTAAGAAGCTCGATACATGTGAACAGAAGGCAGCAAACTAATGGCACCAAATTGGAATGGGGATGCTCTTGAATTCGAACTGATAGGTTCCTCACTGCTGTATTCCATTCCTGATGTGCCCGTAGGTTGGCATTGACACAGCCTGTCGGATGCCGTAAAGATGATTCGACGTCTTGATAAATGATGCTGATGGCTGAAACGGCATGTCGAACTGCTGGCTCAGAATGGGATAGTTGCAATACGAGCTTGCCCCAGAACTTTGAATCGAATTTTCCATCTAGCTCTGCGGCAAGATTATGACGGAAGAAGTCGAGGCCGCGATAATTGGAATAGAGCACCGGTTGGCTTTGTGTAGGAGGTAGATATATCGTGATAACGTTTCGAGAAGGCGTGGCACGCACAGTATTGTAAACACATAATCGGCTTCCAATGGCGCAGCGTCGGCATATGGGTTTTGCTTCATCGCATTTCACTCGCCGCGCTTTGCAAGTGCTACACCCAGTCCGTACTTTGGATGCACTTTCTCGGGTTCTCTTCTGCGCAACATCCAGACTAGTAGTCATCATAAATGACGCTGCGACAAGAAGCAGTCTTGTTATTCTGAAAAGGTTAAGAGATAGAAAGAAGAAGTTTAGCCATTAAGAGTTGTTTAGAGTATAATGCAAAGGAGGACACAGCAAAAAAGGACAACTTTGTTTGTCAATGGCCAGAGTATCAGGCAGCACAGAGGATGTCGGAGCAGTAAGTATTCCAAAAGCGGGTCTGTGGCTATGTATTGCACAGCCCTCAGGATTATGGCTGTGTTTCGGGTCAATAACCGCGGCTTAGCCGAAAAAGCATAGAGCCAATGTTGGTGGGTATTTAATACTCAAAAAGCATCTCAGTGAAATCTCATAGCTTACTGTCTTTGCTGTGAAAGCCTAAACCTGAGCTTCCCAAGATTTTAAGCATGAGAGTATTGTTACTGAGATTTCTTATAAATGAATAACATTTATAGGTATTAGTGAAAAAAAACTTATACATACAAAACTAAGTCTCACTCTCGAAGGACGCAATGCAACATGGCATTTACTATTCTATTTAGGTATCTAGCGATACCTGAGTTTTTAGCAATTATCCCCCCTATAGTTAAAAATTAGCGGTATTAGCAAACAGTATAGAAGCATATATAGCATACTTGTCTAATATACTATAAGCTAGATTTGCTGTCTTTTCCATCAAGCTATTGTATTTGCTACTTTCTTGGTATGTAGCTCGGCCCATAAATTTTTCAAGTATGCCATTATTCTTTCATTTGGTATCATGACCCTATTGAACAGATCCAATAATGTATCCCATCCCCTTGACTGTAATACTGAGATTGCGGCTTTAAGTTTTGTTAGGAACCATATCCTCGTTGAAGAGCCTATTTCTGCAGAAACAGCGCCAATCATAAGTTGAAAAGAAGAAAAGTCCAAGTAACAACAAGTGTTTCTCTCCGTCAGGCATAGTGCCTCCTTCAGTTTACCAGCGAGCACTGCTATATTAGGCTCTATTGGAGTAGGCCAGGACATATAGAGGATGATTTTGAGAGCCAAAGCAGTGCTTTGAACCGCAGCGCTTTCATGGAGACAAAGACTTTGAGTCTCATGATGTAGTTTAGCCAGAAGACCTTCAATTCTTTGAACAATAAAGGCTAGGCCTTGGGTGCAATTTTGAAATAAAGCAATTGACTCCCATAACTGTGCTATGCCATCATAGATTGTAGCCACGCGAAGGATAGGGTGGTTATGATGCAAATTTAGTGAACTAATAATCTCTGAATGATATACTCGCGGGAAGTTAAAGAGATTGTTGATTGAATCGCTGAGTAATCCATTAGCCTACTGAATGGACATAAAGCGCAAAGGCTCTTACGAACGAGAGTAAGAGGTCAGTGAACCATGAAGGAAGATGGAAAATGCCACGGGCATATCTCTCGCGGATAAGGTAAGTCATTCCTTTCATGTGAATGCTCCAAACAATATCGTCATTGGCCAGTCGTCCGCCAATGGCCATGGTACACACTACTGCGAGAACAGCATTCGTATGAGCCTGGCCGGAATTTATTCGTTGGATAAGAGCGTTGACAGCTCGGATCGAGTGAAAATGGGCGTTTTGTTGACGCGATACATCGGCTGCCCAGTGCTGCGTGGTTACGGCCAGAGATGATTCAAGGAGCGCCGGTTCAGATATAAGCATGTTTAACCATTCTGCTTCAGCCGGACTTTTGGGATATTCATCAGAATCCAGGAATATTTGTGACCAAAGTGAAGCAACTATTCTTGTATAATTAGTGATGCTGACTGTTGCGACTTGGCATATACATACAGAGCCGAGCCTGTTGCTGTGGACTACAAGTAGCAAGAGATCGCGCTAGCAGTGAGTCTATGGCACCGCCGGCCGCAAGAACTGATTGTATTCTCTGTGCATTCCTTGCCTCGGCTTCTGCGATTCGCTGTCGCCGCTTTGCAAAATTTGTTCGCGTAACATGAGCTCTGATTCGCTTGGCCTCGGACGGTGGTAGGCTGGGCATACCTGTTGTATTCAAGAACGCAAACCTCGTAGAGCACATTGTTGCCTGTTCTTGGATAATCAACTCTAGAAACTAAGCTGGGAGACTTCGTAAGAAGGCTTTAGTAGCCGAGACTTAACAATGACAAATGGATGCTACTAAACCCTTCTAGGAAAATGAGAATTTATGGGGTATCTACGCTTTATTAGGAAAATGAGAATTTGTGGGGTACTATTAGCTGTAATAGGAAAACTAAGATTGATTGGCATGGTCAATACAACAAGACTACACGCATATCATTCTGAATTACTACTGCTTTTTGTCCATAGAGCCATAGCTAGTCTAGTAGTTCGAAAAGACTTGTCGGATTGCAAATATAGCTCCTACGTAATATGCTCAAGTCGGTACTTTCGATTTATAAGCAGAGGAGATAGACAAATGTTATATATAACCGTGCAACACATGTGTTCTGGCATGTAAAATCTCTATCATATTCCATTATCGTTGAAAATTTCCCAAAATGGGCAGGCAGTGGATCCTTAATAGCCAAGAAGGCTTTGAGACTTCGCTCGAGTACCAAGAGAACGTACTTGAACCAACTGCAGATGAAATTGGTCCTAACGAGGTACTCGTCGAGATTCGTGCGGCAAGTCTCAACTATCGAGAGATCATGATCGCCAGCCCAAACGTACATCAACACCAAGAGCCGTAACAATAGTCATACTGATATCTTTTAGGGCACGCACGTACCAATCCAAACCCCCGTTGTGCCAGGATGCGATGGTGCGGGTCTTGTAAAGGCCGTTGGGTCTTCTGTGCAAAGCTTTCATATTGGCGACCGAGTTGTTACGTATCCAGCGCCCAATGTTGCTGAGTCCCGCGGAGATCGAGCATATGCTGCCATGTCAGATGTCCCCTACATGTTAGGTCAAGGAGCCAACGGAACCTTGCGGTCGGTGGGCATTTTCCCAGAGGCAGCCCTAGTGCATGCTCCCAAGTCTTTGGGGTGGCTGCCAGCGGCGACTCTGAGCTGTAATTGGACAACGGCATGGAACGTGCTCTTTGGAATAGAGGGAAGAGCAGTCGGGCCGGGAACATGGGTCCTCGTCCAAGGCACCGGCGGCGTGAGCATCGCTACCCTTCAGCTTGCCATAGCAGCTGGTGCCGTAGTGGTGGCCACTACATCAACGGAAGAGAAAAGTACTCGCTTACAAGGACTCGGGGCAGTGAAAACAGTCAACTATCGCTCAAACCCTGAAGGCTGGGGCCGAGAAGCTCGAAGCTTCACCCCTGATGAGAGAGGATTCGACATTGTCGTTGACATAGGCGGCAATCAGACTCTTCCGCAATCAATGGAGGCTGTGAGAACAGATGGTGTTGTTTCAATGGTGGGTCAGGTTGCAGATGATGTTGATCCAGTACCACTGCTTTCAATGTTCATGCATACTTGCATTGTACGTGCAATACTAGCAGGAAGTCGGTCTCAATTCCAAGAGCTTGTGCGCTACATTGATGAGAAAAGAATAGTGCCTGCACTGGATGACGTTGTATTTGAGCTGATCGATGCCAAAGATGCTTACAGGCGTCTTAAGAATAGGAAGCACTTCTCAAAAGTTGTGATTCAAGTCGCTTAATATATCTAAAGCTCAATAGAATGAAGAGGAACATTCTTGGCGAACTGGTAAAGAACTCATAAACAATAGATGACATATAGAGAGAGGAAAGATCATTTTTGGGTTGGAGAACACTATACATCATAGCACTCATTATTCTGTATCAAACAAATATTCCTTAGTCAACACAAATCATGGACTAAGCAAATTAATCTGGAAATCCGCTGAAGTTGAGCGGAACAGTCTGACAAGTGCCACCAATACCAGTGCCAGCAGTTGAAAGGCTAGCAATCTCATTTGGATAATTTTCGTTGGAGTATAGCTAGCAGTTAACAACTTTCCCATTGGAAGTAGCAACGGCAAAGACAGAGGTAAGTGCGCTGAAGACAGAGCAATTCCCTTCATTAGTTGGAACATAATTGCCCAATTATGCCTGGCAATTGAGTCCATTATAGAAGACTATATATTCTGAGCCCAGGCCATAGCTTCTCGCGTACGAGCCCGCTGTTGTTGCTGCAATAAGAGCAAGAATAAACTTCATGTCCATTCCATGTCAGTCAAATCTGGCCTTTACCTAGTTCATACCCGAAAGTTGTTCGCCTATCTTCTCCCACTGGCCTTTGTTCATGTATCCAGATAACCAAAAGTTCCCCTCGTTATCCTTGCCAATGATAGGAAACGCATTAGGAAGCACCAGGCCAAACTGGTTGTTCTGTATGTATGTTGGGAAACCAGGCCTCTTGTTTCCCTCTCATGGCCTAACAATCGCCGTTGAGAAGTCCAATTCGTAAAGTCGTGCTTTACTCCAGTTTGAGTATGTAATCATGTGCATTCTAGAGCTGCCGAAGAGTGGTGGAAGTTTTGCACTGGACTCACGCCACAGAGACGCAAAGGCTTCAACCTGCGCACGCGTGCCAAGCTGCCGAATTGCGCTCCGAATAGCAAATGCGACATAACTTAGAGGCTTTTTAAAGATCTCTTGCGTATTTAACAGGACATGAACGAAGCCAATGGCGTTCGACACGTAAGGTGCGCCTTTGGGAAGCAAGTCTGCTTCCAAAGCTGTCCTCAAGGAGTAAGCATTGTTCAGCACAACTAATTTTTGCGACTCGTGCGGTAGATGGGAAATGGCCACGCGTGTCCAGAGCGCACAAATTACATCTCCTTCGGTGAGAAAGGGCTGATCTACCCCGGTACTCGCAAGCTCTTCTATGGCTTTTGCCCGAAGGCTTGCGATGAATGAACCTGGAATGCAAACCATGCGGTTCTCTTGTGTGTGGAAAAAGTCACCAATATTCCTAATTCCGTACTTCACCAAACCGAGCATCGATAGCCGTCGGCTAGCTAAGCCATGTGGCTCTGTAGGATTTCTGCCGAGATCTACCAATGGGTCGCCACCGTCACCATGCGGAGGAACAACCTCGTCGTCTCGGCCCTGAAGTATCAACGTCCAGGCGTTGAGAAGTGACTTCTTTCCCATAGCATCCATAAGCGTATGCGGCCAGTATAGATTGACAAGTGTTTTGTCTTTGAACGTCACGATATAAAGTCCCAGTTGGGGAATATCCCGATTTAGATAATCGTCCATACTCTTTGGACTACCCTCCCTACGAATCAAATCTTGGAACTCATCAGGATCGCATACGATAGCTGGCTGTGAGCTCGCTTTGGGTAGTTTCGACGCAAGTGGATGATCTGCAGCATTAATAGCATAGTCAACGTGGGTGTATGTAAGGCCTGGCCGCTGTTCAGTAAATTCGACTGGCATATGGTATTCGAGGTTTCCTTTATGCTAACAGCCAGTTAATACCTCGCCATAAATGATCTCGACTATGCCACTTCTTACGTTTCTCCGCAAGCGCGCTCCTAGCTTATGCCAGCCGTCGCGTTTGACCAAGGCTTCAAGGCTTCTTTGTAGCTTCTCAAGGTCCAATAGATCGTCAAAGGCAAACATGGAATATAAGATGAAAGCTTTCCAGAGTGGCGTATCATCAAAAAAGCGAAAAGGGATGACCAAATCGGTCGGCACCTTGGCTGGCGCAGCTGGCTTGCCAAGCATCTTGAATAGCTGCCGTTTTCTTTCTCAGTCTAAAAGTTTGACCTCGGAATTCGAGGTATTAATCCAATGATCTTCAGATGCCTATACAGGCTAGAGTCTTTCAGAGCTTGATCGATACTGCTACTAGTACTAGTACTAGGATAATCTACCATTGTATTTCGTATAGAGTACATGACATACAACGCAGACACCGTATACCTTAAGGTATACCGGAAGTATGCCCGGCTCCCGACGGATTGGTCTAAGACCTTATGTTGCAATGGTTTCGACATTTTGCGAATCTGCAGGTAAAGTTCCGGCAAACTGCAAGTACAAGGTACCCAATTGAATTCTCCGCAGACACAACTAGCGCTTGAACTCCCTTGGTATGCATAGGATCAATTGCCAAAGAAAGAAAGTGCCAAAAAAGCAAAGACCTAAAATAAGTTACCTCTTAAGACTGAAACCATGAAGGTCTGTAAGCTTTTCAGCAAGCCGCCCTCTTTAGTGTGGTTTCGAGCTTGAGTATGAGGATTTTAGTGTGTTGGCTGAAGAGATAGGCTTCTTGCCCCGTGATTCTGTTCAGGAATTTCAAGGCGATGTAATCAGAATATGCTTGTTCGTAATGCGAAGGAGCTAGATACTTCAAGGGAGAACTGCGATTTTTCCTATAAAATGTATCACAGAGACCACGCCTATGTATTGAACATTGTTACTCAGAAGACTTGGCGATATTTTGACTAGTTGATTGATATGGCTGATGGTGCGCCATTTTTTGTTACATTGGGACACAGGTGCTGTGTATTAGCGATAAGATGACTAGGCTGGATGAGAGTATCAGAACAGAGGTGTTATGTAATTTGTAAATGCACCTATCAGGTAGAGATTCGAGGAAGTTAAGTGATACAATCTATCCATACCTGTGTAATTGTTTGCTTGCCGAACGTAGAGACGGCAATTAGAGCTCTCTTGGGGCCAAAAAGCACCTAAAGTAGAGAACGCTAGTATGCATAGTGAGGTAACTGACAACCGAGATACTCTCTAGCTTCGAAATGCCCCTCCAATGAGTTTTTTTATTACAATATCATACTTCGCTGCACCCGCTGAGGGCGAAGCAGTCAGACTGCCTGGTGGATGTAATCAATAAAAAATTTTCGATTCTTTATTAAAAACTGGCCTTCTCCGGCGCTAGAACCGCAGACATATCCATTTCACTCCGGCAGGTAATCTCCCCGGAATTATACGCTTTCCAAATTTGTCTCTCCGATCTCCTCTCCCTTCACCGCCTTAACTAAGCCATCTAGCCAGTCTTGATGGCCAAGCAACATTCTGTTAGGCTTCGCTGTCGCCAAACTTGCGGCCGGCTCGCCGATTTGACTTTCCTGGGTCATCACCCTCACCCTATTTCCTTCAAGATCTTCTACTAACCAAGCATGATAAACTTCAATCTTCTCGTTCGTGTCGCCACCCAGCTGTGTGGACCACGCAAGACGACCGGCATGGCCTGGTCTAGGAGAAGCCGCCTCTTCAACTAGACATGTTAAGACAGGTAGCCCGAACGTGCTGAATTGGAATACATCGTCCTTCTGCAACCGAGGTCCAGTTTTTGGTAAGGTGATTTGGTCGCAATTCTTATAATACGACTGCCACTTTGAAACATCATCTAACTGTTCCCAGATCTGCGTGGCAGTAATGCCCTTGACAATTATTTCGTTACTAACGAAATTATCTGTCGTGCCCGGTAGAAATTTGTCGGGCCAGATGATAGCTGATTGCGTCGGTGTTGACATTTCGCGGTATGAAGTTGGCTTTTTCTTCAGAAATGTAATAAGAAACAACTATGTCTGAGTCGGTATCAAGGGGATCAAATACCTTTGGACTCAGAAATGATTAGATATGTCAGTCTTTTTGTTAGGTTTAAACTAGAACCTGGTGACTGGATTTGTAAGCCTTGGAGCTGTAGAGGTCGTTTACCCTAAAGTCGCCGGGATCAATTTCAAGGCGCTGTACCATAGCCTATACCACGAATATATAGCATGTAAGATCTGGAGCACTATAATCCCTCACCTAGGCGGATCATATTAGTTACTCTTTAGAAACTGAGGCTGATGAATTTGACTGAGATATTGCCGATTAAATTATTAATGTGCAACGTCCGGCTGATTGACATTGGCGTGTCCTAAATGTTTCATTCGGCGTTTATAGAAATGTGAATAAATGCCACTGTAAATTACATTACCCCCACTTAGATAAACCACGAGCCACACGCAGTGTGGTCTAAACAAGCAGTCCAAAACGCAAAAGGCTATTTTGTTATATTCGGTAAGGCCTACATCAGCATTCAAATGTTCAAATACAATTGAAAATAGTCGATTACTTGTATTATCAGTCAGAAGACAAAAGTTTCCCCATTCATCTAAGCTGTCTATCTTCTCTCTGAGCATTACCCTCTGAGACGTGCCCGCTCCCAAAAGCCTATGTTATGCTTGTGTACAGCCTAGGACGTTGTACTATGCTTTATCCGCCAGTTGATCGATCGAAATCATTACTGCATATAGATTCTTAGCACGCTGAGTATCCTCTACCACTTTCTGAAACTCTTCCTTTCCAGTACCCTCCCCATCATAACCCCACTCTAGTCCGTAGTCCATAACGCCACTGTCGAATGTGTAGCGCTGCCTGTCCCGGCATAAGCCGCAGAAGATCTCTTTGAACTCTTCCGCAAAATGCATTCGCGGAAAAGCGTTGGAGATTTCTTGGAACTCTTCGTCTGTCATGACCCCTTTCAAGTTCGGTAGGTCATCTGGTAACCCAAGGAGGTGCAGGCTCGGCCCAAGAAGGTCGCCATGAATGCCGTAGTGGACAAGCGCAACTTCGGGCTCCTTCCATGGTGCCAAGGTTTCCATCGTATGAAGCGCGATAGAATCCCAGATAATCTGCATGCGGCGGCCATTTCTGCTCCACTTGACGTCTTTATCCGGGAGTGTGTCAATGAAGTCACGAGCGAGGTTGGCACTGTCGACCTCGAAACGTCTTGTATTCGTCACAAGTGCCTTTGTTTTGGTCCAAGCGAGATCGTGGAGAAGACAGCTGACGACAACAAGCTCGGCGTCAAGCGCATCGCCTAGCTTGGAAAATTCAGGTATCTTCTTCTGTAAGAGAAGGCAAAAAGCGGCACTTCGCAAAACGTGATTTAAGACTCCGGGGGTCGAATATTTCTTGGCATATTCATAAGAAGATAGCACAATAGGAGACGAGGGAAACTGTATCCCGGTCAAAGGAAAAGGAGGGAAGGGGTTGGTAGTTGAAGACGCCATGTTTGTTCGTGTTGACTGCAGAGAGACGAGAATATCCAGACGAGTGAAGCTATTATATATGCGTGCGGCTATTAGGAGAAGTCTAATGGCCGAATAGATGAGTTGACGATGGAGAATATAGATGATTAATTATTCTTTCGTAATTAATTTGTGAGACGCCTCAGAGCTTGGGCATGTATTAATAATTGATGGTACAATACTCCGTATAATCACGGTAATTACACGTAGGCTGATTTTAGATCAAAGTAGTACAAATGAGTTAGTGTCGGTGGCTTGTTATAATTTAGCAGCTATTCTACTCCAACTACCCTCTTGCGACCACAAAAGCCATAAACTGCCCGGTAATCATAGCGTTCGCCACTTTTGTCACGCCTCTTACATCTCTGTGCGCCGCTGGATGACTGGGTCTTAATGAATTGATAATGGCTAATAGAAAAGTTTCACTTTTCTATACCCCTTCATATAAGACAAGGAGCGATATAGGGCAGCAGTTTACTTCTAACAGGAAACTTGAAGGAAGAGATTAAGGCAACAAACTTACGATAATTATGGCAGATTATAGGCAACTTATTGAAGACATTGTGTTTACTACATAGTTGCTTAACACAGCGATGGCTTCAAGGTATACACGCGCTCGTTTTTTTTTGTGATATATAAAGAGAGGTATTGAATACCGCTACAATCAATGCAGTGAACGATCACTAGCGCCTTGAACTGAAAGTCGCTATCTGCATTAGCAATATCGTAACTGTTAATCTCGGCTTGGCCGCCAAACTGTTAGATTGCAGCAATTTCTATGAATCCATAACTCTGCATCATACGTCAAGTAAAAGGCACGCCTAGAGATAAAATTAATTCTCACGCTCGCTAACATTTTACATCTCAAATTAAAGCTCATGTGGCCACATCTCTGAATTGCTTTTTCTGCACGAGTGTAGCGCGCTCACCATCAAGGAGGATAAAACTGCCCCTTTCACATATGTAGCCAAGAAATTGAATCATTGTTTATACAAACCAATTCATGGCAGCTGATTGCACGTTTTACCCTTCCGCGGCTAGCTTGCATGGAATGGCTAAATACAACCTCATGCAAAAGTACACTATCGCCGCCTAACTTGAGTCATGTTAACTCCGGAGGTGGTCGGAGGTTATATGTAACTAACTGCTTTAATCACAAGGTTTACATTTACACCGTCGGCAAATCAAGACTGTCGATGTTTGTTGGAAAGTCGCTCTCCGAGCCTTGGCGACGAGGCGAATGTGAGATTAATAATAAACATGAACATAGGCTCAGCCTCGGTTCTTGGACTTCCTGTTCGTCTGACCATTTTCGATAATTATACACTAGGTCAGAAGTAAATGAACCAGAGTAAAGCTTAGCAGTTTACTTATAGCAACAATACAGCCGGAATCTGCCACAATAGAAGAAGGTAGTCTAGTCAGTTGAGTAATGTAATTAGAGGATATTTATACAAGACGGGCCTTTAGAAGCTGTAACAGCATGCAGTATATACTCTGCATGAGGTAATAGATAGAAAATAGCATGGAATCTGGATCCGGACTACAACTCTCTGGCAGATTTCAGAACTTGGCAAATTATTTCCACAAATCGCGGCGTGATTACTTCATCCATTCCGTTGTCTTCTCCGTAGCTGCAAGATACCTTTCTACTAGGCACTAGTACTTGCTCAAGATCTTATTCAAGCCCCAGGTGGAGTGGAGATGTCTCTTTATGGAAAGGTTAAAAACATACCATCCGATCGCCTTTCGGTGCTTACCTTGCCTTGGATGCTTCAACCACTTGGAAGTAATGGCATTACGAATAAATAATTTTTTTAGCCATTCTACGGAAGCTTTCTTGGTAGATACTAGATTAGCTAATTGCCTGTGCATATGGCACAAAACTATCTTTTCGAAACTGTAGTAGGAACGCCTCTTGCCTTCCACATGTAACTAGGCGAGCTAGGCTTACTATAATCCTAACTGTATCAAAGAGTATCCCTCAAAGAGTCAGTTACCAATCATAAACCACCTAGATACCTACCTTAGTTACATGATTTAGAGTTAAACTTACCCGCCCATTCATGTTCTTGCAGCAAGACGCTTAAAAATTCATCGGGGTCAGATATACATCCAATGATTAACCAATATTGTTACTTGCATTTAAAACCAACTATCGGCCGTATAGCCCGAAGATAATAGAACGTGAAATTACAACGTCTTGAACCTGCACGCGGTGATTGTGGATCCTATAGACCACATTTATCTTTCTATAAGCTACTAGGTACAGAAGCCGGATGTTTCCTATACCACATTCTTTACCTTTTTCCACCGCTTTACTACTCTAGACGTGTCTCCCATTGGAATATTAAATGGGAGGACATCTTGACATAAATAGTGTGCTGTCGCATAGAAGCCTAGCAAGCCTGCCAAGAATCCGAACACCCCGGCGGCTTTCATGAGTGCGGCACTCAACCTCGCATTTCCATCTGCACGTGTAAAATATGAGCTTGCTTCAAGAGTAAAGCAAAGCTCGATAGTAATGAATATGCAAATGTATACGATATTACTAAAAGTTATTAGTCTGAGTTCATCTACATCAAGATCTGGCATCCACTTACAAAGCAACGCTCGCGACGAGGAAGAAGATATTGAGTACAGCCCAGACTGTGCATGCGGTTAATTCAACACCCTTAAAACGCAAAGCAAGGAGTGTCTTGTATACTTAAAACGAAAAAGCCCATGGAATTATAATATTCAGGCGTGTAGCCACCAAATGCATCAACGATACCCAAAGAAGGTATCATTATTGCACCATAGCCACCGTAAAAAAGGCCTATTCAAATACACATTATAAATGTTAGAGTAAACAAGACACGAGAGCAAGATCTCTTTTCTTTAGTGGAGAAGGGGGGTGTAACATACCAAACGCACTCAGTACTGTGTACGAGAAGGTATTACCGCGCACCATCTCCCACTGGGCCGATATAATTAGCGCAACGCAGGCGACAAAGCATAGGTCTCCGACAAAGACGGTCTGGTTCGAAACGCCTCGGAAGCCCATCATCGCGAGAGACACGGTGAGAAGACTCGTTGCAAAACCGCCCATGGCAAGGGGAGACTAGGAAGATTTCAATTACAGTCGTTAGCACTATGAGTTATCTGAAAACTGGATTTTCTTTTGGTCCTCACAGGATTAGCGAGCTTTGATGCAAGGTTTTGGCCAACCACTTGCACTTTTTCAGCACTTTCCTCATCACCATTGGTGACTAAAGTCAGATGCGGCATTGGCGCCATGATATGAATACCCAAGACACAAAAATATTGAATGCAGGTTTTGCCTAATAAGAGGTATGGTGGCAGTAACGATTGTCTCTTGGATTCAAGATCTGAAAAGAGCGAGAAAAGGGAAAACACTCTGCTTATCTAGTTTGCTTGACTGTTTGCCCTTGGACACCGCGTATATGGCTATATGATAGGGCAGGGCAATCTGAAATCTAAATTGCCGCTACTATACACTAAGCACGCCCTAGAATACCAATTGTCGGCAATTACATGATTAAATGGTAATATTGGGGGCTATTTAGCGCCTCAAATTCATTATATTACCTCTTAATGAGAATCTCTTGGGGGCTGAACGGTAAGGAACTTGACATGATTGGGAGGCTGCCATGTTTACGTAACATTCCGAGAGTACCCGATTGTGCTGCATATGTCTGACCAGCCGAGTTATGGGGCCAATGAAGATATTATCGGGATCTTACTTCGAGATTGGCATAATATACTCGTACCTATTATCGTTCCTGGGCTTAGTGCGGAACATAGAAATGATTTTTGTTGCGTAAAAGTAGAAGAGGGGGCTGAAATATGGCAATTGTCGGTCCAGCTCCATATAAGTTGCTTTCTACGAGGTGCAGCGGTAAGGGAGCTTGAAGGTATATACCTGTTGACATCGTGTAGAACAATGATAGTCTTCGCGGGTATATCCGGACTACGCTCAAAGAGACCCATGGGCCTGGCGCCAACCACACGAATCTAAGCAAATAAGCAGCATTGTGCTATGCGGTCATAGTCGCATACCGCCGCACTTGTCTGTGCATCAAGTGTATAAGGAACATTGTGTGCTTTGAAAGGCATGAATTTATGTTCTTAGTTGCTGAATGTACTGCGCTCTATAGATATTCACGAATGTAAGACGCGGAAAGCGAAACACAAAAAAAAATTTTTATGATGACTATTCGTCTAGTATTCAGGCACAGTAAATTTGTCAATACATATATATTCATGTGATGATACTGCTCAATTGTGAAAATTTTGGGTTTTACATTTACATTTGTTTGTTTTCTTAACGTTTCATGTTTCACTATTTGTTTGCCATTTTATCATTTTATCACGGCAAAGAGCGTAATCTGATTTGTTGACTTCCAAGTCAGATTTTAATATAAGTCGTAATTTTGAGGTATCCTGACTTTTCTAAAAGCTGTGTCTATCGGAATATGTCTTTACCATGCTGTATGACCACCATCTATGACCAAGTTACTCCCCGTCATAAAGGTGCTGGCGTTACTCATTAAAAATAGCGCTGCACCTTTGAACTCGCTTGTTTCAGCCAGTCGGCCCATCATGTTGGCTTGACTCCATGTCTCTCTTAAGCCGGGCACCTCCTCGAAGTTTTTCAAAACCATTGGAGTAATTATGTGTCCTGGGCTCAGGCAATTAACTCGGATACCGCCCCCGTGGTCAGTTGTGGTACCACTCCACTCCATGGCGAGATTTCGCGCCAGTTGTATCAGCGCCGCCTTAGAGGAATTATAAGCCGACGACAATAATCCTTTATTCGCCACAGAACCAGACATGCTGGCCACAAGGCAAATACTTCCATGACTTTTATACTTGAGCATCATCCTGGCAGCGGCCTGTGCCGTCATGAATGCTGCTGTATAGTTTGTCTGCAGCATCTTATTGATATCCTCCTCCTTATACTCTAGTGCTGGCGTAAGCTGCTGTATACCAGCAGCGGCAATAACTCCCTGTATCCCCCCATTTTGATGTGCGATACCCTCGATGACCTTGTTCAGTTCTGAAGTGTTATTAACATCCAATTGCTTGTAGTTCAATGAGCCACCCCATTCCGGAATGACACGTTGAGAAGCTCTTTGCCATTCCTGGTCGGGCTCTGGTAGCCGGTCAAGACAGTAAACTATGATATTGTTAATTGCTTGCAATCATTTTTGTGGCTAAGAGAATCCTTGGTACTACCTTTACCGCCCGCTTCTACGAGCGCTTCTGCCAAGGCCAAGCCCAAGCCTCGAGCACCACCCGTTACAACAAATGTTTTACCAGCAAGATCGAAGTCGGCGAATCGCCTAGTACCAACCTCAGTTCCTTTTGCCAGCCCAGTGACGTTCGATCCAGCCACACCAGCAGTAGTATAGCGTCGTTCATTATTTCCACGAGCTGTCCATGGCTTGCAAGCTACCAAAGGAGTTCTCATAGTGACTGCTTGCCGAATTCCTCGTCCTGCAGCAGTTATCTGGCTTCGACTCTGCGGAGTACAGTGTCGAAAGGGTAGTTTGAAAGCCATTGAAGCTTATTTCTTTCTTCTCTCACAACTTGAAGTAAATAAGACAAAATTGGAAGTTTGATTCATCTGACGCTGCAGGATAAACCTTCAACTTTAAATACCGTCAAATTTCAGTATCTATGTTTATGGCTATTGAGATAAGTACAACGTCATGACTTTTTATACCCATAATTGATCTTCGCTCTAAATTTTAAATGCTGTTCTCATAGACATGTTCTCAAGGAATATGTAGTTACAAAAACCTACGATATCACATTGTAGAGGTTTTCAAACCTGCTCGGAGCATTGGCTCCGAGTGCAGCCTAAACTGCAGTGGAGTAGTAAGTGTCTGCTGCAGTGGAGAATTTTCCTATATAAAGTTTAAGATCGCAAATCATGCTACTTCCGTCAGCTTAAGAGTGGCTATAGTCCCATATATGGCCCACATGTTTATCAGGATGGAATCATTGATTGTAATATATAGTAGATAGGAGGAAAAAATTAACATAGCAAAGAATCACCTGATCATTTACATGGAGTTGACGTAAGTGGCCAGAACCTTGAGCGTTTGACGTATTACAGTTTTGGAGTTCACAGAGCGTTGAGTATCATTATCGCAAGTGTTTATACCTACGAATCAATGAGTTGTCAGACAACACTCCGATAGAAATTGTGGAGCTTGGGTGGCGGTAAGGTATACAAACTGTCAAAAATCTGCAGGAATTACTATTGTTGTATTCAATGCGGCTGCGTAAAAAGAGTAAGAAGAGTCGCCAATACCAGAAATTTGCGGGAAGAAACGAGAAATAGGGTAGATAGCTGTAGAACACCTGAAAACAACAGGCGACCGCTAATTTTACAGGGATACTACCCGGTCTGTAGCCAAGGGAAAGCAATGGCAGTGCTGTCAATTAGTTAATAACCCTAAAATGTTGTTTACATATCCGTACAGTGACTAGCTTTTTCTGTGTGTCTTCCACATGACGGCTGAATATCATAACATAGACCTTGGTAGTTTATGTGAAACATGCAACTTAAAATACCAGACGAGTTTTGATTCAAATCGCAATTTCTCTAAGCCCACAAATCCCCCTAGCTGCAGGCCACTACAAAATTACACCTTAGATCTATCAAGCTTGGAATTGTCTTTGAATGGTATAGCCATTGAAAGGAGAAGATTGTTTAATAGTTGTCTGTTTAATGCAATTATTGAACAGGTTCAATACCGACTGAAGAGAGTAAACGGTGTCGCTGCTATTGTGGACCTGCGTATTGATCCTCTAACCGACTACCCCACTGCAAACACCAACTGTTTCAGGCGACCTTGTGAAATCCACTCCAGGCACATGCGACCCGGAATATAAGAATCAAGGAGAAGGCGTCGGACAATTTGACGTGCTGCTTCCGTATTTCTATCCGGGCCCCTGGCCAGTGTATTCAACCGCCCGGATGGGCTGATGAAACAAGCAATAAAGCGGCTACGGAAACGTCGCTTATGTGTGATGTTAGGGGTCGATAGAAAGTCTAGAACCGAGAAATTGTATATATTGTCCCAGTTGCCAGCTCGTGTGGTGTTTTGGAGATCTTCTTGTATCATTGCCTTCTTTCTTGTCTTATTGTTTTGGTTTCTATTCTTCTTGTCCAGCAGGCTGGTCTGTTCATTACGAGTTTGACACTCTTTACTTCCATTTTCTTCTTTGATTGCTGCTTAAAAAAGCCTCCTGCTTTAACTTTTTTAATCGTCTTTTCCCTTCAATTGCAATGAAGTTCCAAAGCACCTCTACAGCCGCAGCCTTGCTGCTAGGCCAAGCTTTTGCCCTACCTCTGCCGTCTTCAAACATATTTCGCCGAGAGGTTCCCCAGGAGCATTCCCATGATGTTTTCCTCTCCATTGCCAACGAAGCTCTAGCAAAGAGCAACCCCAAGGGCATCACAGATGCCGTATTTGGACTTCTTGGTAATGCCGCAGCTGCAGCTGGCGCTGGAAGTGTAACCAATCTTGACTGTCTCAAACAAGAGACAGCTGATCAGGCTTTCACCAATGGCAAAGCTGCTGGAGATCTTCGACTGATGGCTGGAGCATTGGTGTACCAGGCCTTGGAGAGGAACACTGGTAAAGTCGGATTAGCAAGTGTGACTTGTACCGAACAAGCTGTGAACCCCGAAATTCAAGCTGTAAAGCCTCACCAAGACCCAGCATCTGCCAATGCTGCTTCCATAAACAAGGGTATCACGCTTGAGCTCGCGAAGCAGCTCAAGGCTATCGGCGCAGATCCCAATCTCGCCCTTCTGAGCGGTACCTTTGCTCCAGGAGATGTATGTTTCTCCCCTGACTGAACATCAAAGACCACGTGTGACTAACAGACATATAGCTCAATGATGCAACAGCCAAAGGCCTTACTTGTGACGACCCTGATCCTACTCTTGGATGCATCTACTCAACAGGCACGCTTGTTCTCGATGCGAGCCAGGATGAAGTCGCTTCCGCGGTCGCGGCTGTATCTCAAACGTTTACTGGCACTGGTGGCATTCAAGCTACGGATTTGGTTGACTTGAGTAAATTCTCGACAGCTAATGTTCAAGGTAACGGCGCTGCTCCTACGCCGAGTGCCAATGTCGCGACGACCTCTCAGGCAGCCGCGGCAGCAACTCCCACCAAAGCTTCCCAAGCTGGTAACGCAGCTGCTTCTCAAACCGGAGCCTCTAGCAGTAGCGAGACTTCATCTTCAACAGCTAGTGGAAACAACGTCCAGACCTTTACCGGCACCCTTGGCGGTCCTCCTCCGCCTGTCGTTTCAGGCACGGGAAACCGACCGTTTTCTGTCAATGGAGATACTTTTGTCACTGTCGGAGCCGCTCTGCAACGATCCTGCAGTATCCAGCACAACGCTTGTGCCAATGACGCCAACTCTGGCAAGCTCTCCGGGGGAGTAGGTCAATGTGATACACAGAACAGCCAATGCACAGCGGCCCCCGCATCTGGTGCTACCAGCAGCAGCAGCAACAACAACAACAACAGCAGCAGCAGCAGCAGCGGTAACAACAGCGCTGCAAACAACACGGCCACTGATAGCAGCGCTGCTAGCGGTAACGGTGCGAATGGAAATGCAGCCGGCGCTACTGGAAGTTTTGGCTCATGCTCCAACCCCAGCATCAAGTTCGCTAACGGCCTTGATGGTCGCACTGAGCCTGCATTTGCCCCAGTTGATGAAGCAGATTTCAATCATGGCTCAGCTTTGAATATCAAGGTCATTGCAGATTTCATTTGCGATCGACTCAACTCTAGCTGCAAAGCCGGCGCTGCAGTAGTGTCAAAGTGTCAGAGTGCTTCTGCAGCGGCCTCCCAGCTGCAGGGCCAGGCTGCAGCAGATGCTTTTAATAAAGCGTTAGGGGTCTCTGCAAACTAAGGTAGCTTCAGTGAATGGGCTAGATTTTTATGTTGGATGTTTATCTGCGTATCAGCGCATCGGCGTTAATTGAGCATAGGCCATTAAGACAATTAAGACATGGAACTGCAGGAAGTTTTCCCTAAACAGTATAAATCTATTTCTTCGTTTGTGAAAATGTTCGGCGCGTACAAGTACAACGCGACCCTTCTTCGTATAGAATAGCTAGCATAGACAAGTCATATATGAACGCAGCATTCACGTCGCTGTAACTTCGTTTTCTTAGAGGGTACTAGCAAGCCGAGCTCATTTCTCATTCCATCTTGCGCCCCAAGCTCTTAAATCTCGATTGGTGGGAGAGATATATTATTGTAATAGATATATTATTGTAATATCATCCTTTTCTTTTTTGAGCAATTCGTGGAGAGAGGATGAGAGTCGCTTCGGAATCATTAGCGCAGGAAGTCTAGCTGAAGCAGATTAATTGGGTTTGCGAATGCTTGAATTGGAGGTCATGGAATTATCTCCGGCTCTAACTGTAGGCATAGAACGCTTGGCAGGAAATGTATCGCACCGGCAGAGAGTCAAAGTTTACTCAACTCGAGCCATGAAACAAAAGGTCACCTGATATCTATTCTAACGCTCAATAAACTAGGCTATCCCCGATGGACGTTATTGCATTGGTACGAACTATGAGCATTTATAGGCGGCTGGCAAACGATATCGTTTTCTACAAGAGAAGCAATAGTTTATAAGTGCAATGCTAGGCAGTTAAGATCGCTTTAATAACCTAATGACTAGTGATACTGTTGCTATTGACCGTTTTCAACATAATCATCATGAACGATAACGAAGGAAAAGTTTAATTCTCCGACGAGCTCCCTTGACAACCTAGATGCGCAGCTATGTTAGCATGAAGTTCTATTCCGCTACGACCGACGGAAAGAGAAAGAACATGGCGAAGAAGAGAGGGAGTAAAATATGTGTATACATGGCATCCAAAAAATTCTTACTCACTCAGTCAAACGATTGATTTCGCGTATCAAATACCAATTGACAGTATGAATCAATGCCGCAGCTGCAAACCTCTCATCTGCAGGTACATCCCTGGTTAAGAAATCACCTAGGTGAGGTATACTCAACTCGGCTAATTCTGGTGGCAGCGGGTGGGCTCGACTTAGCGCAGAATGCAGTATGATCATTCTCGTCGTAACGCCTCCTGGGGTCAAATGAACTTGAGCTGTGCCAGTTGGGTCGTGGGCCCACCAAGACGAGGTGGCATCCGGAGCCTTGAGATCCCGGGACACATAGCTTGCTAGAGTCATATAGCTTACGAGTCGCTCGAGAATGGAGAGCATCTCGCCATACGTTTGCTTGGGAAAGCGGCCGCCAAGCGAAAACTCCCAGTCAAGGAACTTGTAGCTTGTTTGAGCTCTAGTGCTTAGGGTTTGGTACTTGTGGAAGATGCGGCGGCGAGCCGCCTGAAGGTGAAACCCGGGGCTTGTTTTATCGCTAATGTCGCCGAAATTGCCACTGAGGCGTGCAAGGATCGTTTGCTGGACGCACATGTAATAGCGTGCTAACCCATACATGGCTTTAGCCATATTTTCGCGGAGTTCTGAATGCTCGGAGAGAGGATACGGGAATATTGTCCAGAAGTAACCAATGAGAACACCGAGGGTGACGATAGCAAGGCGATAAGGGAATATTATATATGGCCGATAGACAGCTTGGCCGGATTGTACGATGGCCGCTTCTCCCAGTTTGCGTACTTGAAGTTCATTCGCTATCATCACAATTGAAGCGATAAGAGCAACAAACCATATGCTGAAGAAATCGGGGAATTTGACGACTGAGAAACATAAGCCAATGATTCCATCAAGTTTATCGCCAATAAATAGTTATATATATACTTACATAGATAGCCAAGGACAAGGAACCACAGCCAAAGTAAGACCAGTATGCCAGGAGTCTTTTGATCGACCACATACCAAATGATATAACTTGCTATCATTGAAGCAATTGTGCCAAGTACCCGACCAAGTAAAAGAAAGGTTGATGATCCAGTGGTGCGGGCCATTGAAAGCACAATCGCAAATAATGCCCAGAGGAATCGTTGGGCGAAATAGAAATCCTGGGAATCGTGAAGAAATGCGATGATGCCAACGGTCATGATGGCACAGGCACCACGGAGACCGTACGCAGCATGGTCGCTGCGAAGAATAGCGCTGATCTTTCGAATATAGTCTCCGATAGTCTCCATGAGGTTGCTAGGCGGGAGGTGGTCAGGATTTTTGGGATCGTAAAATGAAGAACCAAGTTTTATGCTGGTTTGAGCGTCTGACTTTAGAGAAGCACTGTCTCTCTGCGTAGCTCTCAATCCAATAAGTCGCTCAATCCAATAACGGGGATAAAAAAAGGGTGGAATAAGCAACTTCTTCGGCTGTGTATAACAGTCATCCACAAAAATGAGGAGCTTGAGGAATTCTTCTCCCAAAGACGAGAGAATGGTTTGAGACTGTTGCTTTTAGCTAACAATAATGCAGAAGAAAAACTGGATAAGAAGGGTTTCTTACATGAAGAAAGAGAAAGTAGCGTAACGTATTGTAATGCATTTCGGAAGTATATTGGTTCAAATCTCCAACTTGGGGCCGATGCTGAATATAACAATCAAGGAGTTCTTTATTATTCATATCTTCATTCTCTTGACTGAAGCCACGGCCAGTTTCGAACACGTCGCGGAATGAGTTGAGAAAACTTGAGTCTCCTGGCAGTGTTATACCAGCCTCATGCTCTTTATCGTTTTTTCTGGCGCGGCGTTTGTTGAGCAAAATGCGTCCGTTTGTTGATTCTAGTCGAAGTTTGGCGTGCTCAACGCCTTTGACCATTGTCTCTGACATATGTCTTGAATTTTGGTGCATTGCTGCTTCGAGATGTTGCCAGCCGTCGTCCCTTGAAGTAATATTGCTCGCCTCATCAGAGCCGCTATCATCACCCGCATCGCCGACGATATTACAGCCTTCGACGTGTAGTTGTAGCATGTCTGCTACTGAGCTCAAACCGGAGACGGGTGGTATAAGATCGACCAATAGTGAAGAAATTTCCTCCAGCTTTGCATGATCAAAGACGCCCCAAGATATCTCACACGCCGCGTATTTACCATCCTGGCGGGCTTTGCCAACTGCCTTGACAAACCGTTGTAAAGCATCTTCAAGTTGACTGATAGATGAGCTACCGTTCTCTTCTTCTCCCACAGCTGGGGCTTTCTTCAGTGAGATGTCTTCCATGCATTTTCTTTGTGCTTGTATGACAGCTACCAACCCATCAAGACATAGTTCTATATCTTTTCTGAAAAGCCCTCTGCAGCTTTGCGGGAATAGGATAAGTGCATTGACAAGACCAACAGCCTGTCCCACCAAAAAAGCCTCCAGAATAACATTGGACTCGGCAATCACGTCTGACATAGTGGGAGCCCTAGCAAGACTTGGTAGTAGCGCGACTGTGAGGATACCAGCCAATGTGCAGTGAAGGGCCCAATTGGGAAACGCAGATTTTACCGTGAACGTGAACCAGATACAAAATATGAAGAAGATGGCCACGACCGCCTCTGCCGAAGAATTATAGGCGCTTATATCGTTGAGGTTGTTTGTAGTATGATGCCTGGCTTGAACACCACACCAGCCAGCAAGCAGCGCCCAGCAATAGGCGACAACGATGGCGAAAGTGAGTCGCATATTGTGTCTTACCAGCATGGCGCGAGGGAGAGCCGGCAGAACGCAGGTGGATATGATGGGAGCTAGATAGGCATTGGTCTTGAAATGATTGATCCAACTATCCGACTGAATGGCGCATACAAGCACAGCTGGTGGTATAGATGCTTTAATGGCCATGGTAGCCGTATACCAATCGAGAGTCTGGTGGAACAACACCGACTTGACTTGCAGGCGCCTCGTAGTATCAGATCGGTAAACAGTAGCCCCGGACTTGGATCGAGACAAGCCTCTAGACATTGATGATGATGATGCATCAGGTATAGATGCATTTCGGCTACTTGGACGCAAAACCGGTGACTTTGAGGCCATGATGGCACTGAGTCTCCCCTAGAGGAGAGGGCGTAAGCGCAGACTTCAAGTGGTGCTGTATAGCATCATTTCCTTCCATACCCACTTTATGAACGGAGATGGTGTAAGAAACTATGTAAATCTTCAACCTTGACACAGCAAGATGCTAGGCGCGGCTATTTATTACGGCGAACATTGAGCTTGAAATGCGATTTTCCTCGTGCTTAGCCCAAAGTTTCTTTTGGGGTGGCTTGTAACTTGGTCTGGTTGTGCCGCTGTAGCCGTGGCTGCCGGTAAATGATCTACGCCCTACAATTAGAAAACTATTAACATATCCCATAATCAACATGGGTTATAATAGTATATAGCTTCTAGAATCCGGTTGAAACAAGATGTATGAATTCAACTGGGATGCGCTTCCACATGGGTGCTCTTTCAGTACCTAGCCAATCAGCCGGCTCTATTGAAGAGATGTGAAGAAGGGCATTGTAACTACTGAACAAAGCGCCTGGAAGATAGACACATTTCCTTCCAAGATGGCGGCTCCACGCGTAGTGGAATATTCATGATGATTATGGAAAACTACTAGATACATACTAGTGAGAGAGATCTACATGGACACAATAACGAGATGCAGTTGGAGGCGATGATAACCGTGGCTTGTTCCGGCTCGGCAGCCATCCCGACAATTATCGATCTGCTATCTAGATTCTGGAGATAATTTTATTACTATCCTAGTCAGTGAACGTTTAAAATCTATGACTTATCATCTGCATTAGCTAAGTTTTAGATGTCAAGAAGAATATCAGGAAACTTCTACATCTCGCTTCAGTGTTAGGCTGCCGCAACTTCCGCTGTCCTCTGAGGCCATCGCGCAACCCCCACCTCGCCCCTCTTGTTTGTCAACCTAACGCCGCGGCTGCTGCTGCTCCCATTACCTCCGGGCTGATAGCGTCTCCAGTGCAGAGCAAACCCGAACGTCCGCCCGCAAGGTGCTCCTTGTTCCAAGAAAAATGTCTTACCTACTTATCTAGCACGCCACTGGCCGACCCAGTATACGGTAAACGAATAGTTCCGAGTTATTCAGAGTTTTTAGCTCTTCTTGTCGACAACTCCAAGCCTAACTCCGCGGACGATAGAGCCAAGTCGGATGTAATTGCGCCGACCGTCTGTGATTATCGCATGTTGCTTCAAAGCGGTTGAGCTCTGCTACTGATGCTAAGCTCGAATGCTATCGCGAAGTAGCAGACTAGACATACATGCACTCGATAACTTTCGAATTGGCGCAGAATTCTATTCCTGTTTTTATTCGTTCACTGTTTAAGCTACAGATAAACTTTGCCTCGTCCTTAAGAATGATTGGACTGGCTGCTTTGTACGTGAAGCTGAGCACTGAGCAGAATGAGAATTGTAGCCATATACCGCTTCAATTTCCAGGTAAGAAATATTTCTTGCTTCAAGGACGCTTCTCTTGATTTGATGAAAACCAGAGAACACGAATCTTTTGGTTAATCTAGACTGAAGTCCTTGGGCTGACACAATTGCTTCATTTTTACTTAGGTACTTGATGTCACCATTAGATCGTGCTAAGTACTTCGTCTATAGAGATAGAATAGTGGCAAACACACATACCGCCTTCAGTGATTCACCATGACATATCGATACTTTGCTTTACCGAGTTCCATCTTCTTAAGAACGCTATTAGCCTCACTCATTGGGTAAACCTCAACTCTTGGTTTTATCGCTTTGTCAGCGGCTAGCTGGAGCATCTCCCGGATTTCGTTGGGCGAGCCCATAAAGCTCCCAGTAAGGCTTCGACGCTGCGAAGCTATTGCCGCAGCATCAACGTTGAATTGCCCATCATCTGGTAGGCCAAGCTGGCAGAAGCTGCCATCGCGCTTAAGCAGCGTGATATAATCGGTCAAAGGCATGTTGGAACTTGAAATCGTGCAGAGGATCAAGTCCAACGAGCCGGCGTTTTCCACCTCCCAGTTTCGGTCTTCTGCTGTCGCAATATATGTATCAGCTCCAAGGGCTAGAGCATCATCCCGTTTATCCGCATGACGAGAGAAGGCGACGACACGCTGAGCGCCTAGGGCCTTTGCAAACAAAACAGCGAAATGGCCCACGCCACCAATGCCAATTACGCCGACTAACAGCCCCTTGAGCTTCTCGCTCGTAGGACGCTGATTGTAGTGACTTCCAAAATGAACAAGGGGCGAGAAAGCAGTCAGGCCGGCGCACATCATTGGAGCCGCATGCTCGCTTGCTAAATTATCAGGAATCTTAAAGGCGAAAGCCGCCGGGCATCGGTGGTAGCGAGCATACCCCCCCATACTCTTTCCACCGGCGGATGTGAGATACTTGGCGCCATAAGTCAATGTCATGTTGGGACAGTACACTTCATTGCCGGTGGAGCAAGCATTGCAGTCCGAATGGTCTTTGAGCGTTTGTGGCGGCTTGCGGCATTGGCAAGCATCATTTTGAGCCCCAACTCCTACTCGATCGCCAAGTTTGACACCAGTTTTCGCAGCTTCTTTGCCAACTCTCACAGTGATGCCGACAAGTTCATGGCCCACGACTACGGGGTAAGCTGTCTGTCCCTATGGTTTGACACATGTTAGCCTTTAGGGAAGTAAGACTGGATAGCAAACATGTAGGTAATTTATTCCAACCACAGTTCTTACCCATCCGGATCGGAGTTGATGAAGATCTGTGCCGCAAACTCCGCAGTGTGTTATTTCAATGTCGATATCGGTTTCTTCCCAAGGCTTAGGATCATAAGCTTGCCAGACCATATTGCCCTCAGCAGCACTCTTATCCATCGCAACCCAGCCTTCAAACTTAGTGTCGTGATGCGCCATGGCAATGAATTAGGCCTCAAAAACAGAGGGTGCAAGTGTCAATGTTAGAAGAGGCGAAAAAACACAGTGGCAGCAAAATCCTGGCAATTTGAAATGAAAGCTTTTGGTATAACGAATAGAAAGCACAATTTAATCCTTGTTTGATCTTGCTGTACATTTTCGGCTGTCGAGAATTGACAAATATTTATTCCTGGGCGACTTATTATATTCCATACAATCACAGTTAAGTTGACAAACATAATTTCTGCGGTATTTCTAGGTACAGAGCTTCTATCAGTTTAGCTCTTCTCCAATCCAATCCAATAACTGATACAACTTTTAATTTGGCAAACGAGCATTGCGTCACTGCGCCATATTGCATTTAACGTTCAACACGTTAGAGAAGTCATTCATTGTTGAGTTATCATATCTCAGCGCTTATCATAAATATTTTATATTGAGGCCTAACATAGGCAGGTAGCCCACTAATTAATTCATCTATAGCGGATCGTACTATCATCTTTATACAAGCGCTGGCCTTGGAATGCGACGTAATCCAGCGGCTATTAGAGCGCAGTACATCAATTTGATGACGCAAGAGCTTTTCTCCAAAATACTACGTACGGCAGCTAAAATATAATGTGCCGGTACGCAGACCTTTCATAGGTAAGACATGGAAATAGCAATACGGCACAGGTAACGCGATTCATTAAAACAAACGTCAAGGCCATCACCACAGGAAGTTAAAATCGTCCTAGTCACTTATAATCATGCGATTTTAAGCATATGACGTAGGATACTTAGCTTTTAGCGACTTGAATACCTACCTATTTAATAGGAATGTTACTCTCGCGTGAGGCCTTGCATGTTTTTATCTCGATGTACTGAATCAACAGCTCCATGAAAAGGTACATACTTCAACTCGAGCTAAACAAAGCGCTTAAACCTCAGACGATTTCACAAATTCGAAGAAGTTGCCATCTCATACAAGATGGCCCATTTGCCACCTCTTCAAGTCGACACCTTTGTTTCTCCTCCGACTAGAATTCACACCGGCCTCTCAGACATCAACAAGCAATGGTGGCAGCCCGAAACCAGTACTCTAATTCACGGCCCAAATAATGCAGTCCTCTGCGATCCGCCAATTACTATTCAGCAGTGCACGGTTCTTGCAGACTGGATAGACTCGATCCTTGCACTCTATGCTACTTCAACCCGTCCAAAGAAGAACCTTCAATTCATTTTCATCACCCATGCACACGGAGACCATTTCTTTGGCGCACCTGTACTCCAATCGCGCTTTCCTGGAGTGAAAATTATCGCCACTGCTACAGTCGCTGCTGGGATACCAGAGCAATACACCCCAGAAATGTACGAGAATGTGTGGAAGGTTCTTTTCCCGGAGGGTCAGCTGTCCGAACAGCAAGTCTGCGCAACGGCGTTGTCGACGAGTAACGATTTCGTTCTCGACGGGCATACCCTCAAGGCCTACGACGTATCTGCAGATCACAAAGAGTCTAGTATCCTGCATGTTCCGAGCCTTGATCTCGTCGTCTGTGGCGATGTCGTCTACGGTGACTGCCATCAATACTTTGTTGAGTCAAACACGACTGAGAGACGTAGGCTCTGGCTCGATGCGCTTGACGTCGTAGACGGCCTCAATCCCAAGATCGTGGTTGCTTCTCATAAACGAGCAAGCCAGATTGATGGTGCTTATCTCGTGGCCGCGACCAGAAAGTACATCATCGATTTTGAAACTCTCGCAGCTGAATGCGAGGCTAGCGACTGGCAAACTCTATACCAAAAGATCAAAGAAGCCTATCCCCATCGTTGGAACGATTTCTTACTCGAGGCAAGTTGCAAGGCATATTTTTCTATTGATCCATTTGGCGAAACAAGGGCAGCTTAATGTCAAGGCGTGCCACTGAGCGGCGCTTTGCGCAGAACCTCATAATACGCAATTGATGTACCAGAAAGAACCCAGTGTATTGATCATTAGTCTCAAGCTTGGTGTGATGTTTCATTGTACCTAGGTTTTAAGTTGACCCAAATTCAAGACGTCTTTTTTTCACTGTATATCAAACTACATCTTATTCAAAACCTCTGGAGAAAAGCAGCATTTGTAGCTAGTGTACTTTTTTGGCAACATTATAAAGTTTCTTAGAGCATTAGCTGTGGTTAGTTGACAGATCGAAAGACCACACAATAGAGTAGTATGACGATCTTCAATGCTCGGTAGATTTTCCAGATATAGCACCACCATTTCCGTCTATCAACTGGGGCTGTAAATCTTCGTGTCATCTGGAGAGGAAACTTTCTACATCTTACTCGAGGTAGTAATAAAACAGGAATCCTTGCTTTACAATCGTGTCCCGAACACGCTGCTGGAACACGCTGCTGGAATACGCCGCAATCCGGAATCTTCCCCGCTGCTCATGGATATTATCTGTCTAGAAATACTGCATGACGCTGGTGTTCGCCTCTGCTCTCTTTTGCAAAACTTACTAGCCAAATGAAATACATATCCTAAGTAGCAACAGCAGTAGCAGTAAGTTACGTCACCCACGTTTAAGATTAGGCAGAGCCAAAACGGTTATATATATCGTGATCCCATATACAATTTGACTTCATCGACTCGTTCATTGTACTTCAAAACAGATACATAAACACATATACTTCCAAGAACAACAATTATGGCTGCTGGAAACAATGTCCCTCCTTTTCCCTTTTCTTCGCCAGATTGGTCTCGAGATGACCCATCGCACTCGGGTTTTCTCGTCCATGGGAGCGATTCGACAGACGGAAATAAAGCATATTTTATTCACCTCGAAGCAAAAGAGGGGAAAGAAGAGCTGGTCGCTCAGTTCTTACGAGACATCAACACCGGCGTGAATAAGGAACCTGGTACAGGGCCGTGGTTTGGGCTAAGATACTCTAAGACAACATTTCTCATCTTCGAAGCCTTTCCGAATTCGAAAGCCCGCCAAGCGCATGACATCGGACCTGGAGGACAAAATTTTAACCGCGTCGACCTTTTGAGAGACATGCTGGCGTATCCAGCTAACATTTACCGCCTTGACGTCCTGCACGGGAAATTTGGAACCATGCTAGGCAAGGAAGTGGCGCCCATTTCTTAAGACAAGGTGCTGATATTGCCGACTGATTATGGAAATATACATCCCTTGGATCTAAATAGAAGGCTTGGTTATTGTTCTCCCCTGTCCTGGTTTAGGTCGACCTTGAAACTCGCGACTTGTGGCCTTGAAAAAAAAAAGGGTAAACAATACTTCCGAGCAGCTATCCGATCTGCGAGTTGGCACCGTCTATGTAGTTACTATTTCAGCAAGGCATAGTAGCTTATGAGTCATAAATTGATATTGATTACGGAATAAACTTTTGTGATTACAGTTGATTATTTCTTTGTGTTCTAATATTTAGCACTGAATAATAGCTCCAGCTCTGACCACTCCTTTATATACGAACGCTGCCGTAGCCATACGTCCGCATAGATGAAATCCGTTAGGCCGTCTTGAAGCTGCTGTCCAAGATTCATGCCCTCATTTTTGCACAGCGTATCAAACAAAGACGAGACCGAGTTGATCAAGCAACTTTGTCTTGACTTGAGACCAAGCTGGTCTCCTCTCTCCGACATTATGACATTGGAACCGACAAGTAGCAGCCAAAGAAGTATATCTACGTGCTGAAGCCAGGTGGTAGTCAGCTGCTTGGGATAGAGTAATATTGTGGGCTCCAAGTGGTCAAGTAGCATTTCAGCCAGTCTGCATGGGATAAGCCTATCATTCCACGTCTCTGTCCAGCTGCAATAGCAGCACATAAAAACTGCAAGTCGGATAGCTTCCGCGACAACTCCATATTGTCGGCATTCGTGGACTTGAAATGCCAGGCGAGACTCGATAGAAGCCTGCATGGCATCTAGCTTGTGAAACTTGGGCGTCTGCGGCGTCTGCGGCATGTTTCTTGCACACAGTGTTGCTTGTAGCTCGACAATATCTACGATGCAGGCGAGAAGATTGTTAGGCAGCGCATGGCTATGTCGAGCAAAACCCACCGGCAGCAAATGCCAGAATTGTAAGCCCTCTTCACGCTGCCAGCTTATCTTTTGTGGCAAATCCAGGTGAGACATCTGTCGTTTGCAGCCCACTACTATGGCCGCGTTGAGGTCGAGCCAAAATACTGCTCGCAGTACAGCGGGCGTTAAACAGTCGCCATTGTTTTTTAAGAGTTTCAAAATCTCTGACAAGCCACGTGTATGAACATCATGCGCAGCAATGTTACGAGTTCTGTAGGCAGTCGACTTGAGCAGCATGATAGCACCGATAACACCAGGTGAGATAGTCTCTGGCCGAGAGGTGAGTCGCTTATTCATCAATTGGACGATTCTCCCCTGAATTGATAATCCTTCCATCTTGAGAGCCCCTCTGTTCAAGGTCTCTATTATGGAAAAGACAAGAGCGTTGAGAAAGAGAGGTTCGTCTTCACATCGAGGAAACACTGAGGTCATGCTCAGAGCTGCGTCAACATGACTCGCATCGAAAGATGGGTTGGAGACATATTGGAAAGCCTCAGATTTGAACAAATAGTCCAAACGAGACACGGGCAGATGAACGTGCCTTCCAGCAATGTATGTGAAGGGATGATTGACGGTGATTGGCTGTGCCACAACCAATTTACGCTTCTGTAATCGTGAAACTTGAGACTCCAGGATTTCTCCGTCATCTAAAAGCGTTGAAACAGTGTCTGCGGCTGATGTATTGCTAATCATGAAAGTTGGAGACGTGTTTGGGTGTTCAGTGGCATTGGCAGCCTGCTCACACTGTACATGGACAGCCCGATGTTCATTCTGGTTGCCCAGTCCACGGCTATGCCCACCATCAAATTCTATCGTAGCAGGCTTATATCTGACACGAAAATACCGGCGATCTTTCGTCTCACTGAAAAATGTCTGTAGCTGGCATTGCGTCCACATTGGCGGATCGCCACGTTGGCGGCCATGCACGAGCGCCGAATGCCGCTGGATGACTTCAAGGCTTATAGTCAAAGTACGGCCCTCGCAAGGCACACATGTCCAGCCTTGGAGAACTTTTAGATGCAGGATGGGCGGTGTGATTGGCTGAGTTTCGAGAGCGGGCTGGCTGTTGAGGACCTCTTGTAGCGACCTCAATGGAAGGCTGGTCAACGTTGAGACAGCTTGTCGCAATCGCAGCCCTTTACAATGATGACCGTCTCCACGTAAATGTCTCTTAATAGCTTCCCTTGCTGGATGAACGCCACTACCATGTAGTTTGCATACAAGAAATTGAAATCCCGGTTCAAAGCAGATTCCTTCTGAGCAAGTCATGCTTCCGGAGGCTTGAATTGTAATTGTCCGACACGGATATCGTCTTCAACGGTTGGTCGCTGCGGATTGGTGTTCTGAATTGCGCCGTACAGAATACGCCATACAGCACAGCGCGCGCTTCTTTAATGTCGATCTCCGCACTTCCATCTGGGTCGGTCTCTTGGAGTGCGCCGTATTCCAAGTGCGAAAGCTGCTCCAGATGCGCTAATGAAGGCTACATGCCTCTTATTTAGTGGTTCCACTTCGAGAATATGGAAGCCTGGGCTTATCTACAGTTGGGCATAAAAGGCAGAAACCTCGTTGAATATCGGAAAACTTCTCATTACCACTACAGAAGAGATGCGGTCTCAATGTTGGCTTACGCGTCTGCTCGCTCCCCAAAGGATTGGTAAAGCGAAGGAAGTTCATATCAATCAAAGGATTTTCCTCTAATTGTGTGTGTTTCCGAGCTACTCTGGGTAGCAGTTGTGGGCTTTCACACGTGGATGCGTTGCTGATAGCATACGCTTTTCTCTATGGGTCCGTTTTATCAGGCGTTTCGGCAGTTGTGTATCCAAGTGTCAGGCTTTGCCTCATAGCTGCTAAATGTTCGATAAAAGACTATGTATCGATGGATTTCAGGTTGGTTTATACTATCTACCGTTAGCTTCGGGCACGGTCAAGGAGGCTCTGCCGTAGAATAAAAGGAACACATCGAGAAATGAGTAAAGAATGATGTCAGGTAAACAACGCGGCAATGTTTAGTGATATTAACCCACTGGCCCATATATAACCTGGGGTACCATTATTCCGAAATGAAGATTTACACCGCTGTGCAGACTGTGCTTACGATGATCTCGGCTGTGTGTGCCTTAGCGCGTCCACTTGCTGGCGTCGAGCCCTTCGCGGTCGGAATTTGTCCACTAGAGGCCAAAGATTGCTGCAATCCGGGTAGAAATACTAGTAGCGATAGATATACATGTACTCGTGATTCACGTTCGTCCGCACTAATATGCTTGGCATTCCTTTGGGAGGTGCCTGTAATACCATGGAATACTTTGCGAAAAGCCTCTGTGCGAAACACATCACTCCATTTCAGTCGCGGTTAGTCAGAAGTGACATACTAGAGTGTAGACGAGCAATTCTTCTAATGATCATTCGATAATGAGAGCTTTTGGACGCATGATTGTGATAGGTGTGAAGCAATTGCGCATTGGAAAACAATTAAGGCATTGGTGTGATTATTCTAGGTCCATGGAGAAGGGGAGGTGAAATAAAGTAAAGGACTTAAAAAATTTCGAGAAATACAAAAACCGAAGGAAAAAAAAAAAAAAAAAAAAAAAAAAAAAAAAAAAAAAAATATAAAAAAAAAAAAAAAAAAAAAAAAAAAAAAAAAAAAAAACAGAA